ACACCTCACATCTCACACCTCACATCTCACACCTCACACCTAACCCCTCGCAGGGAACGGAACAGCAAAGCCGCAACATGCCAGCCGCAAAGACAGGCAAGGAGGTCGAGGTGTCGCGCGTGTTGGAAAAGGTCGCGGGTTCGCGCTCGCCGCCGGTGCCGTTGACGTCCGTGGCGTTGGCGTACGTGATGCACAAGGGCCCCTACGTGACGCCCGTCGTGGGCGGCAGGAAGATCTCGCATCTGCGGCAAAACATCGAGGCCCTGACCATCCGGCTTACACCGGACGAGATGGACGCCATCGACTCGGCCTACCCCTTCGACGTGGGCTTCCCGATGAACTGCATCTCGGGGAACAATCCCAAGGGCGCCAAGGGGCCGGAGGACATCGCGTTGACCTATCGGATGGGACATTTTGATTTCGTCAAGGGCCAGCAACCCATTCTGCCGCCTCTGGGGGTGGAAAAGTTGAGCGACGAGGAGAAGGCAAAGGTGCTGGGGTACGCCTTGTCAGAATAAACAGCTGAGTGAGGAGGATGAATGGAATTTACCGAGCGACCTCATGAGATAGAGGGGGTGAATACTCACGGAGCTTTCATTAAGGCATCGATATCAAACAGAGGACAAGGTTGCACGCTGAATGTGACGGACAGCCGCGCACCGACCTTGAATCACAACGTAGATAGTGCCTTATGAACAAAACGTCTGCTAGCAGCGTCTTCCAGTGCGAATGTACAGCATCAACTTGAAGGACGGTAGCAGCTTTTGAGAATAGCCGATATTACTCATGACGCACTCATAGAACATCTTTGTGTAATGCATTGAAATTGTGAATCTACCAGTCGCATCGCTACCCCAGGCCGTCCTATCTAACTTGAGTACCACCAATGTCGCCCGCCTAGACAGGACCGATCAACAACTCCTCTCCATTCCTCAGATCACGGTTGGCAGTGACCTCCACCGTCGCAGCCGCACCATCTGTTCTCCAGGTGAATGTGACGTTCGCCGGCCCATCGTTGATGAGTGAGAAGAGACGGGTTAGCGCAACGAAACAGACCTCCTCATCAACATCGAAGGCTCGTGAGTTATTCTGGACACGCGCCAGAATTTCCATCACCACACAACCATCCCAGGCAGCTCCAGAATAGACGTCAATATCCCCGCGCTGAAGCTCGTCAATGGCAGCTGCGATGTGCCGATCGTAGGAGACGTACATCGCACCACCGTAGTCGGCATTGAGTGTAGCGATGCCAGGCGCAGTCAGCGGGTGCCGCCCCGGATTCTGATTGACCCATTGGACTGTGTCTTGGAGAACGTTGCGAAAGAGCTGCTCCGGGACGTGAACGAACCGTGCAAACTTCCTCGCACAACTGTTGCTGCAGAAAGACGTCGTGTACTCGTACGTGCCGTCTGCCTGGCGGTTTTCGGGGACATCGAGAACGCAGTTTTTGCATGGCCTCAGGTCATCTGAATGCGTGGGCGAGTAGAGTTCGGTACGTTCGCTGAAGAGAAGTGCGCCTCGTGGGATGTCTCTAGTGACATGGATACCATAGCCTGCTTGGGAGCCAGGTCCTTCGGTCGAGCTGCCTTCCTTGGACGGAGGCGCTCTCTTCTGAATGACACAGGACCCGGGCACTTTGCAGAGGATCTTGAGTTCGAAGTTGAGTCGACCGAATGCAGATGCTTGAAGACCGTAGAGCTCCTCTGGTATCAGAGGATACTTGGTGACACGAACTCTCCCGTCGCGAATGGCCGGTATAAGCATGAAATTATGCAATTCATCGTCCAACGCGAAGTGTTGCTGTATTCCCTGTTTGGTCGCTTGCGCATACTGTTGGCTGTGCTGCTTGATGGCTTGTTCGAAGGCGTCCCCTGCGGCTAGTTTCAGATCGATCAGCTTTTGCTTCTCCTGATCGCCGTGCGCCTCGAGGAAGTTGGTTTTCAGCGAGATCATCAGGTAAGCCTCAGCATAACAGCCGGCATACATAAGACCATGGGAAACAGCGAAGATGGCTTGGGACTTGTCGTCGTTGGGTTCTTCCTCCAAGTCCTCCTTCAACGGCCCTTGGTATTCTCCACCAGCTAGTAGATAGGCCTTGTGTCCGTCGAATGCACCAAGCTCTGGCAGTGAAATGGAAGTTAGCCAGAGTGACCTCGCACTCCAACCGGCTTGATCGAGGGTTCCTCCATCGCGCAACACCTGGGTGAGACTTGTGAGAGCGGGATCGGTTGGATCGATGTCCTGTTAGGAAGTCAGTTCCATGAAGCCCACATATGATACGTCTGATCAGGAGTGAGTCTCACAGTATTGTGGAGGAGACCCTTGGCCGAGTATCTGTCGATGATTGGCTTGATGTCGCTGCCTGGAGTGAGGACGGAAGACGGAGACGAAAGAGGAAGATTCTCCATGTCTGAAGGTGGCTGAAGGTGGCTTGAGTGTGGCGCTGACGGAGAGGTGGTGGGGATAGTTCGGATTTAAGTTGTTCCGAGCTGAAAAAAGCAAGCCTTAAATTTAGCCGTGAAATCCCGGGCTTGGCAGTGATATGGTGAGAGGTCTTGGCGAAGAAGTGACAAGGAAAGATGTTGACAGTGAAGAAGTATTTCACTGAACATTGAAGATTGTCAATACTCAGGTATCTTATTGTTGTTTAGTATTCACTGTTTGTGACTGACGTCTTCCGGGTGACGCCTTTGTGAACAGGTTCCGGCAAATAACAGCATATCTTCAACTACCCGGTTTGTCCAACGTCCGCCCTCAAACAAAGGTTCAAACATACGCCGCGAAAAGGCAACATGTCTTGAGGGAAGATCAGGCACTCCCAACACACAACTACTGGTGTTGTGATTGCAGGCGGTTGTCGATCAGTAGTCTCGCAGCACCATCTGTTGGCATCAATGCTATTCTCCCCCTTAATGCTTCCGTCTACAAGCCGCCGAAACAGCCTGTCTGCAGCATGCAGCATTGTAACCCTTCATGTGTAGGACGTCCGCATGATCAAAGCCGTTGGCTGTGTAAGCGTCCTGGATGAAGTCCGCCCACTTCAACGTTTGCTTGGTGTCCAAGTCCTTGTCTGTCTCACCCTTTAGCAAATGTGACTGTTCCTCCATAGATATCTGGAGGTCCATTTGTCCGACTCCCTCAAGCTCCCCTTGGAACACAGTGTGCCAGGGCAGCTGTTTGGTTGAGATGGTTCTAGGACAGTGAGACTCGTGTCCAATACCTGACCCTTCATGGTAGGTGAGAGGGTTCTCGTGGATTGAGCCTGATCAGCTCGAGATGATACTCCGTGTTCGAGTAACGCATGGCTCTCACGGCTTTCCCACGCTTTTGGCACATTCTACGCATGCAAGATAGTCGGGTATGGTGCTGGTATCGGAACAGTAATGGCAGCAGTTGCCAAAGTCGGAAGCGCCGTGGGACAACGGTTGTCCAGGGGCTTCCTGATTGAAGTGACAATACCAGGAAATGACTGCATGTACTGCGCACCAATCTGGCAAGTCTCCAGTCTTACCTTGGTCGGTAAGAGCGGCGCCAGAAAGAATTGTTCATCCGCGAGGATTGGAAGATGTCAGCATTGTCCCTCCTTGGGCAAAGTAACAACATACTATTGCAAGCGCCGCCATCTAATCTAGGTGCCGTCTAACGCAGAATCCCGAACCTGGCTCCGTCTCTAGGATTATGCTCTAAAACGTGGAACGATCAATCGGCGCCCTCGACTTTCCTATATGCGGCCGCGAATATTTTCGCTCTGGCCATCAATCTTGCCAAGTCTCTTGAGCTGCTCATTAATCCCTCTCAATTCGCTAAGTCGGGTCTCCTTGTCTTGATGTAGGATCGAAATATGCTCCTCTTTCAGCCGCTCAAAGTCCTCGTCCAGCCGTTTGTGCCATGGGTAGAGGACAAAGACCTGGAAGCCCAACGCCGAAGAGGCAATGACGAAGTTGGTTAGGGACACTCCACGCGTGAATATCATCGTCGCTTGCTTGATTGGAGATCAGACCGTATGCTGGCGTGGTTCATGCTGCCACCGCGTTCGATCAGTATGATTGCTTCTGAGCGGTAGTAACCGGGGGTTTGCAGGATCGGTAATTACATACCAGCGAGCAAAAATTGTCAGACGAACGCGAAGCGCAGTGGGTGGGATCTTCGTGGCACAAAGGGTGCCACTCCAGTGTAGGCTTGAATGTCAGATTCGTCGATCGACAGGGTCACGTCTATACGCCTCCTACCGTTGAGATGATTGAAGACACGGTCAGTGAGTCAAAGATCGAAGTGGTGAAGACTGTGTTTGACCTGACTGGGACGGCGGTTATCGGGGTGTCATGAGACATTTTCGTGGTGCCGGCCTCGGCAGCCGTGAGTGGGGTACATGAAATCCTATGGCTGCACCACATAAACTTTCGTACCTGACTGAGTACGGAGGACATGGCGGTCCATGAGGTTCTCGCCCAATTTGAGGCGCGAGGCTCGCTATTTCATCCACTTTCGAGAAGAAGGCTAGGCCACCACACGTATATCTCCGCCTGGAAAGTCAGCCGAATACGTCTTCTGCCACTGCTACATACGCATACGCATCCACTGCCACCAGTTTTCCGTCCGTCTTGAACTCGTTTCTGGCTCAGCACTCAAGTCACTCTCGAAACTGCTCCGCCATGGACGCGCCACAGGCGTATAAGCTTGAAACGAATAAGATGTCCCTTCATTACCCTCCGCGTTGATTTGAGTCTATTTGCGCAGCAATCTGGTGACTTCAGAAGCCGTGATGAGTCGAGTCATAGCGTCCGCGACGTTCCACTTCCATACATTGGACCCATGATCATGGTAGGGATCAGGCTCTCCAGTCTGACCGCTACGGCAGCTCAGCCTTCTTCAAGAGACGTCTCGAAGGATTTAAAGCCTCGAAATCCGCTTGCTCCTAATCCATTCAGCCATCACGGACCACCCTCCACTAACCTTTCCGCTACGATCTCCAAAGCTTCCAGTATACAGTGCGATCGATTCGTCCAAATTATCCAGACGATCTCAAAAGGTGCTTCTTCGAAATGCCGAGTCTTCAAAAGGAGTGCAACAAGGCAGCACAGATTCTGAAGGGCTTCATTGGTGCGCATCATCCCAAAGGACGCGAAATCAACTGTGTCCCAGGCTGATGCAATGACAGAGAAAGGTAGATTACCGGTTGAAGTCATCGCGAATGCCAAGGGTCTGGCCATATTCTCGGGCTTCCGGGCCGCAATGTATCTTGCTGGCACTGGAGGTTCTGGTGTCGTCGTCGCACGTCTCGCTGATGGATCCTGGTCTCCCCCATCTGCGTTTTCAGTCGTATCGGGCGGGTTTGGCGTGGCATACGGAGTTGATGTGTACGATTGCGTGTGCGTGCTCAACACACAAGAAGCGGTGGATGCTTATACGACGGGCGAAACGAATCTGGGCGCTGGCGGTACCATGGCTGCCGGGCCTATTGGAGGTACCCCCCGCATTAACAACAAGGATGTCAAGCCGGTCTGGACATACACCAAATCGCGCGGCATCTATGGTGGCTTGACAGTGGACGGCACTATAATCAAGGAGCGATCAGGTGTCAATGCAGAAGCCTACGGGCCGAATACCACAGCTGCGCAGATCTTAAAGGGCGAGCCAAAGTGGCCGACAACCACACAACTTCCAGAGGTTTTGAAGATGAGCGAAGGAAAGAGTGCGGATGCGAAGGTTCTCGGCGCCGTCAGTACTGAACCGACGCCTGGCGATCTAAAGGAGCTGTGAATATCGGACTGTACTGGGTGCTTACGTCCACTGGGATTGCACTAGGGGGAGCACTGGTGTGACTGGATTTCTGATGCAGGTATGAGGAATTTCGGAGGCGAAAAAGCGGGCATATTGCACATAATAAGAGGATACTGTACTCCGTAGACACCTCCTTTTACTCCTTTGTTGGCACCATAGAGTGTGGCAAGTGTTAGTGCAGAATCTTAGCGTGGGCTGTGCCAATGATGGGGAAAGATACCAATGAAGATAAGCTACAGTAGCCTCTCTGGCTCTGGCGATGTCGGAAGCACACGAGACCACGGTCTCAGGGGTGTCTCGAGTGTCAAATGTTTGTCCCACCTGTTTTCGGCGATACGGGAAATAGTTATTCCTTAGCCGAGCCGGTTGCCAAGCCATATTTGCCGAGGCTAAACACTTGAAATGCCAAAGCATGAGACTCGATGACCATGGATCGCCGAACAAGCTCCCACGGCTCCTCACCATCACGATTGAATGTTCCGAAATCTCCCATAACATCTCCAACTCCCGGTTAGAAGCATGCGTCAGAGTCTGTGAGCTACAAAAGGCGGGCACCTATTGACGGCTTATCACTCTCCCTCCCCTGCTTCTCCGTGTTCATCGGACCCTAGCCCCTCTCTACTCTTCTGTCAACCAGCAGACTGCCACAACCCATAGTCATCATGTCTGACACGAAGAACGTCGCGCCGACGCCGACCGAGGGCGACCTCGACCAACAGAGGTCGCAAACGGCTGGTCCGGTCAATACAGTTCCATCCCGCGATCCTACCCCCGCAACATCTGCTGCTCAACAGAGCGACAACATTGCCCATGCCTTGGCCGGCGCAGGTGGTGGCCTGCTCGCAATGACCTTGACCTACCCCCTGATCACCCTGTCAACCCGTGCCCAGGTCGAGTCCAAGAGAGCGGATACTTCGACATTGGCAGCTGTCAGACATATCATCAACCGCGAGGGGCTAGGTGGTCTCTACGCCGGGCTCGATAGCGCTCTGTTCGGTATCTCTGTTACCAACTTCGTCTACTACTACTGGTACGAGTGGACTCGGGCATTCTTCGAGAAAGCTGCCATCACAGCCGGCCGCGCCAGCAAGAAGCTTACCACCGTCGAGAGCATGATCGCCGGTGCCATCGCAGGCTCGGCCACGGTCTTGCTGACCAATCCCATCTGGGTCGTCAACACAAGAATGACTGCTCGAAAGAGTGATTCTACCGAGGACCAGTTGCCAGGTGGTGAAAAGAGACCCAGCAAGAAGCAGAGCACAATCGGAACCTTTCTGAGCCTTCTACGAGACGAGGGTCCGTCCTCCCTCTTTGCTGGAGTCCTTCCAGCTCTGGTTCTTGTAATCAACCCAATCTTACAATATACCATCTACGAACAACTCAGGAATGTCATTGAAAAACGGAGGAAGGTGGGTCCAAAGGATGCATTTTACCTCGGAGCTATCGGCAAGCTGCTGGCCACCACCATCACATACCCGTATATCACTGTCAAGTCGAGGGCTCATGTCGCCACCAAAGATGACCCACATGAGGGCATGTGGAAGAGCTTGAACAAAATTGTCAAGGATGAGGGTTATAGTGGCTTGTACAAGGGTGAGCTCCGCTTGTGCTTCCTCTCCTGGCGTTGGCTAACTCATTGCTTGCAGGTATTGTGCCCAAAGTCAGCCAGAGTGTCTTGACGGCCGCTTTCCTCTTTGCCTTCAAAGATGTCTTGTACGAGTGGACCGTGGCCGCAAGGAGGAAGGCAAAAGCCATCAAAGCATAAATCGAAGATATCGCTCTGCCAGGACCCGGTGGACGCGTGCTGAGCAGCACAGTCTTCTACTCAAAAGGGGCCATCGCCAGCGACGCGAACAAACTCTGGAGCTCTGGCCTGTTATACAAGCACAAAGGTGTGCGCAGCCAAGTACCTGTCGACAACCTCATTTTCTGTTATTCAGATGACATTTGGAGCAAACTCGCTCTGGGTTCACATGTTCGGAGGGGGATAGATACCCATTCTTGACTTACATGTCAACCAGCTCACAGCTTTTCTTATCGTTATAACCCAGCCAGATGTGCACGTGCTGGAGTAAGAGATAGATAAAACATATAACACCGACTTCAACCTTTCCAGAAGTCCCGCCGCGATGAGGGTACAAACTCGAGCCGTGGACATGTGGAGATCCAAGCGAACCTCGTGCACGCGTCCCGAGCGCCATCTTCTCCTGTGGTGGGACACATTTGCAAACCACAAGGATTGGACATTTCTTGAGCCTCAACAGCTAGCGTTACATTCGACGCACAGGCATTCCATTCCGCTGTACAGAAGGTGGCGTTCCGGATGGGTATGTTGGAGTGATCAGTGCTGTGTAGGTATGAGAAAGAGGTCCATATATGGAGCGCTGTAAGTCAGTAGTTACAGCACACTGTCCAAACCAAAGTCACCCGTCAATTCGCAGGTTCTTACGACGGATGCCCATGCGAAAGACGGGTGGGAGCATTCAACAAGATGGCACAAAAACTGAGGAATATCGCGGAGTTTGACTAATACTGTTGTACCGTAATGTGCGCTACCTAATCTATGGCATTCATACCTACTGTGTTTCTTTCCAGTGAGAGCCTCGACTATCAGCTGCAGATGCGAAACCCGTCGAATATACGCAGAACGCTTGTTGTTCCAGCTCAAGCGAGACTCAAGAGAATGCCGGTCCTCGCTTGCTGCGGTGGGTGCTTCGTGCGGATCAACCCTGCTTCCCATAACATATTAACACTGTTGCTCATTGATCTCGTAATGTGGGTATCTCGTGGTGTGATGGCGACGACTACCGCGACTTCGCACCCTTCAGTCGCCTACCGCTCATGCCTTCTCAAGGTCTGCGCGACCGTGCTCTGGCTATCAAGTTCTGTCTTCTTGAGATCACTGTGTCTTTCCAGTCACCGCTTTCGAGATTGGGGCAGGCCGGTTGCCTTGGCGTTGCTGAAGCAGTTGATACCCGAAGTAGATGGCGGCCAGCGTGCCGAGAATGAAGAAGTTTCCTATCGCAGGTCAGCGAGCCGTTCATACCCAGGAAGCGACGCATGCCATGCCATGCCATACCTATGATGAAGCCGACCGCGCCCTCAGCCAGGTTGAAGGTGTTCCTGACAAGCCCGATGACCGCATTCAACGCGCCTTGGAAGACGTTGAACACCGTGACGAAGATTCCTTGGATGGCATTGATAAACGTGCCGAAGATGCCTTTGATGATCTCGACGATGGAGGTGATCAGGTTGCCGACGCCCTTCGCAATGTCCGACATGTTGAGATGCGATTGTGTTCAAAGTATCTAGAATCTGACGATCCTCAGTAGAAGGGTGGAATAGGCAGTGGAAAGAGAGGTGGAACCAAGAGTGAGTGATATATGCTTGTTTGGTGCCTTGGGGCCTTACCACAAACTGCGTCACAGTTTCTACTCACCTTCGTTCTGGGAAAGCCGTGTACGTACTTGGACGAAGACAGACTGAATGCGGCGCGTCTTTGACCGCACCCCCAGAATCCCCTGGCGAGAGATCCGTTGCCCATTGTTTGCCCTGTGACGTCAGGTGGTTTGACAGGCATTGTTCCTGGTTTGTGGCTCAATCCCCGCTTGGACCTGACTCATGGTCACGAGGCAGGGCCGATCATGTGGCGGAGTCGAGCGAGAGTCGTTTTGGTCGACAAAGTTGGATTCTGTGAGTCCGAGAACAATCAAGTGGACGGAGATTTTGAGGTCGAGAGAACGCTTATTGTGAACTGAAGTCCGGGGAAGTGGACACGCAGAACAATGACGCTAAAAATGCATATAAGGTCCGCCGCAGTAGGTTCGGTGGAGTAGAAATACCGGATATGCAATAGAAACTTTGGAAAACTCGAACTTAATTACAAGCAGATTCAGCGCAATGAAGAATGCTCCTGCAGCTCCGAGCACGATCACCATCTGGACACCGGAATGGCATTCTCTGCTATTCTACCGTACCAATATGTCGCCATCCGCCTCCCCTCGGACCAAATCCAAGTCGAACAGACGGTCCCAAATACGTAGGTCTTACAACACTATCAGGCCCGAAACAGATATCAGCACAACGGCCCTTGACGAGCTGTCGCTGACTCTGTAACAAGTCTGATATCCCTGGGGAAATATGGATCTTTTCGCACAAATCAGATCATCGGTCGTCCTTACCATCTTACATTTGAGATCCTCGATCGCAACGAGGTCAAGGATGGACGCGAGCTCAGGATCGTCCCTGCCGCTGAGTCACATGCCGCCACGCTGGTAGAACAAGCCGAGACCGACGAGGCTTCGACTCCCTTCAACGAGACGGAAGGACCAGCAACGCCACAGCAGGCGCGGAAGACTAATATGAATACGCACGACGACCCAACAAATCAAAAGCTAACAATGGCCGAAATCGAAGCACTCAAGCAAAACAGCACAGGTAGCGGCCGCGAGCTGATCGAGAAGATCATGGAGTCTCACAGCACACTCGACCAGAAGACGGCCTTTTCACTCGCCAAATACACATTACGCAAGCACAAGAAGTTCTTGAAGCGGTTCACCATTCTGCCCCTTGATGTAGTCACTTTGGTCGATTGGATGTTTGCAGATCGGGAATTCGGTAAGATCATGGAGATGAGGAATGAGGCTGTCGGGTTGATCGGGTGCTGGGCGAACGTTCATGCTGCTGGCGAGGACGACGCTTTACTCGATGTTAGGCCTTCTTCTCGATACCTGCTCGTGGACGACACGGGAGGATTACTTGTCGCCGCTATGGCCGAGAGAATGGGTATCCTGCACCAAACCACTCTCGAAGCGGAACCTATAGCCGACGCTGAAGAAGTCGCCTCCGATGCTGATGACCAGCACCCACCCACCGCCAACCAGTTCCCTAGACCCAGTCGCCAACAATTACCCACGGCCATGAGCGCCCAGTCCAACACAATAACCCTCGTCCATGCAAACCAACAGCCCAACCTCGGCCTTCTGCAATACCTCAACTTCGACTCGAACAATCCCAACGCTTCCCACCCGTTATACACACATCTGAAGACACTCTCGTGGCTGCAGCTCCTCGACCCGGAAACAGATATCGCGTACAAAGAACCTGAAGTCATTTCTGGCCAAGAGCTCGCGACGATGAAGTCAAATCGTAGGAGCGCGTACTATCGGAAGCGAAGACGATGGGAACGGGTCAAATCTGTCGTCGATGAGACTCGCGCCGGTGGATTCGACGGCCTCGTTGTCGCAAGTTTCACAGACCCGACTTCAATACTACGACATCTCGTGCCTCTTCTCGCCGGCGGAAGCCAAGTTGTAGTCTATTCCGCCACCGTCGAACCGCTGGTTGAGCTGGCCGACTGTTACTCCACCGCAAGAAGGACCGCGTTCATCAACTCTCCGGCAGACGAGCGAAACGTACTTTCAAGAAATTTCCCCCTTGATCCGACATTGCTTCTGGGCGCGATGGTACAGACATCCAGGGTGAGGAGGTGGCAGGTATTGCCGGGACGGACGCACCCATTGATGACCGGACGGGGTGGAGCGGAGGGATACATCTTTTCTGGTACACGTGTTATTCCTGCGGAGGGGAAGGTGGAGGCGAGAGGACGGCCACCTAGAGGGAAGAAGGTAAAGGCTGAAGAAAGTACAGAGGTTGTGAGTCAGGATACCGCCGAACAAGTCTTAGTTGAGTCTGTGAAAGATGAGACCGTTCGGTCGCCTGTTAAGAGACAGAAGATTGAAGAGCAGATTAGCTCCGCGACAGAGGGAGGCGTACCAGTGCCATTAAAGAAGCCGATGGTCGAAGAGAACAACGAACTGGAGGCACAGCTGGCAGCCGAGCGCCAGTTCATTGATAGCGCCCGAGAAGAGAGCGGGCAATCGCCTCTCGAGGCAGAGAAGGTTGAGGAGCTTGTCGTGCAAGAAGCGGAAGAGGATGAAATGCCTGTGCTCGGCCCGGCAACGGAGGCTTTGAAGGAAGAAATGGATGAGAAGGATGATGTTCAGATGAGCATTGAGACTTAGCATGGTGGAGCACCTCTTCAACGTCACGAGCCTCGATAGCCATCAACAACAGCTTTCATGACATCCCTTACTACTGTTGATCGAAAGAGCACGCCTTCGACTCGCTCATTTTGCATGCCCGCTCATTCGAATCGCCCGTGGCTCTGTGATCTCCTTCCCTCCCGGGTGCCATCTATAAGCTCTTCCCCATGAATTTCCTCTTCGTGAAGCTCAACCACCACTTACTCGGCACATTCCCCCCGTCGGCATACAGTCGTTGGTGCAACCGAATCGCCAACTCCTGCCTCACCTGGCTCAAATAGCTCCTCATTTGCTCCGCCTCATTCCTGTCCCTAGGCGGCTCATATGCCTGATTGAGCGGAAACCCGGGTTCTCCAGGGATGCTGAATTGCTCCAACGCGCCATTGATAAGTGCCTTCTCGGCCGCTCTACTGTCCATGTTGGGTTTGACTTTGGTCAAGCAATCGCTGAGGAATAATATGCCGTAGATGAGCATGCGGTCGGCGGGGCCTTTGATCTCAAAATTGCGGAAGAAGGTATTGGCGCGGAAGAGGGAGAGGATTTCATCTAGACAGTCGTACGATTCCGAGTCGGGGTCGACATCGAGTGGGTTGGTACCGGGTGGGAGCGCAGGGAGAGTGTACGCCGGACCGCGGGTTTTTGTGCGCAGGGGAAGAAGGGGGAAGTTTCCTGGTTAAGGGAGTGTTAGACGGACAGTGCACTTTGTCGGACCAGGAGGAGTTATGCCATACCTATTAGTTGGACGCCCTGGTCGCCCAGGAAGATGGAGTGGTATGCCTGTGGGAGGGATGTCAGCAGAGGGAGATGTACTTGAAGGAAGTGTCCATAGCTTACCGGCATCTTGAGCCGTTGCTGGAGGGAAGCGAGGGATATAGTAGGAATTAAAGGTCTCTTTCTCCTTACTGACCCATGACCTCCGTTGTAGTTGAGACTAATAATTGAATCGTGCACATCCTAGGAGTTGTGAAGGGCAGTGCGCGCCCGCCAATCGAATCGTGCCCGCAATTGCAGCCCAGGATGCTGTAGTATGACGTAGTAAATTCAACGGTCAGCCACTTGTTCGCACAAGCGCAGTTCAATTTACGCGTCGGCTTGGGCGCGTCAGTAAAGGATGTTGATTGTCGAGAGACACAACCCATTTGACCGCTACCACAACATACGAGACCAGCAAGTCAGTACAGTCGCAGCCATGTCCGACTACGAAGATGATATGGACGTGGACGTCGCGCCCGTCAAAAATAAAGAAATACAGTTCAGTGCCGACGGTAATGCAGGTAAACAGAAGCGAATAGTCGCCGATCTACCTGTAGAGGCTGAGGACAATCTACCATGGTGGGCAAACCTCTGCTTTGACTCGACGCTGGTGAGGCCATGCTCATACTGTCGACAGGGTTGAGAAGTACCGGCCAAACACCCTCGACGACGTCTCCGGTCACCAAGACATCCTCGCGACAATCAACCGATTCGTGGAACATAACCGGCTGCCTCATCTTCTCCTCTATGGCCCACCTGGCACTGGCAAGACTTCTACGATTCTGGCGTTGGCAAGACAGATATATGGTGCCAGAAACATGCGGCAGATGGTTCTTGAACTCAACGCTTCAGACGACCGTGGAATTGATGTTGTGCGGGAACAAATCAAGACCTTCGCATCCACAAAGCAGATCTTCAGCGCATCAACACAACAAAATGCAGGAGGGCCAAAGCTTGGACTCGGTGCCTTCAAGTTGATCATACTCGACGAAGCAGACGCCATGACTTCAGCGGCACAGATGGCTCTACGCAGAATTATGGAGAAATATACTGCCAACACGAGGTTCTGTATCATTGCAAACTATACCCACAAGCTCTCGCCTGCGTTACTCTCTCGGTGTACGAGGTTCCGATTCTCCCCGCTCAAAGAGGCGGACATTCGGCGACTGGTCGACCTCGTGATCTCGCAGGAGCATGTCAACATCACGGCCGACGCTGTGGATTCACTGGTCAAGTTGTCGAAAGGAGATATGCGGCGAGCGCTGAACGTCCTACAAGCTTGTCATGCTGGATCGAGACCACTGCCCATGCGAGGTCAGCCGCCGGTCAAGGATTCCGACATCAAGTACGAACTGATCACGAATGACACGGTTTATAACTGTATTGCTGCCCCTCATCCAGAGGATATCCGGTTGATCATGACGACAATGCTGAGCACACCCGACTTGACAGAGTGCCTGCGGACGATCACTGCTCTGAAGAGTAGTCGTGGGCTGGCCCTGGCCGACATTCTCACAGCTCTGGCTGAAGAACTCCAAACACTCGAGGTCAGCGCTCCTACAAGAGTAACGTGGTTACAGGGGCTGGCAGAGATCGAGTTCCGACTAGCAGGTGGTGGAAGTGAAGGTGTGCAAACGGGCGGGATGATTGGTGTCGTGAGGACAGGATGCGAACTCATGGGCGAGAAGGGCATTGGTGAAAGGATGAGTGTCGACGGATGAAGGATTCAGCTTCCAAGAAGGAAATGATCAAGATATGAGGTCGCATGCCGGCAGTTCACCTTCTCGGAACAAACGTTGTGCTGTTCAAGGACAAGTCAAGCGCCGAAGATTGAGTTTGAGAACATCCCGAAGAGTATCCAGGAGATGATGCTAGGGAAGACATACGTGTTGCCGTTGCTCAATGCGACCAGGTGCGTCTCTACCGCTGCACAAGATGCAGCAGTCAGACAAAATCTGAGTCATTGTGGATCGATTGGCTGCGGTTTGTCCACTTGCGGTTGAAACAGCATGGTGAGCCCTATGCCATTTTCTCCCATTCTGATTGTCCTAAAAGGGATACACACTTGGCTGTTACATCCGACCATACTGGTGGTACCTCCAGCAACCCATAGACCTCCTGCAACAAAGCACTGGTCGGCTCAAAGGTCCTGTTGAACGGCACCTATCGGACGGTAGAATTCCTTTACCAGACTGGCAGCGATGATCAACTTCGGCGGGCAACGCCTCCAGATACAGTTGCACCCAAACATGGAATAGGTCCACCTGCCTTCTCGAGGCAATGTAGAAGTAGCTAGCCTTTTCGCAAGGTATCAACGAAGATGCTCAATGGACTCACTATGCCCACGGCAACGTAACAGTCAAGGCAAGTGAGACGCTCTGTTGTTCACCCTTTTCGACATATAAATGAGCGAAGCCGCTCGTTTCCAAACTCATTCAGTCTGCTCCTGTGTCCATCATCTTACCATCCTCTCCACCATGCATATCAAGGCAGTCTCCCTCATCGCTCTTGTTGCCCTTCTCTCGGCTGGAGACGCCACTCCAGTCACCAACGAGCTCGAGGCACGTGAAAAGTAATTGCCCTCTTCTTGTCCGTGCAAAATCATCTTGCTCACCATCAGTACAGCTTCCGCTGCGTGTACAGTCCAGTCATGAATCCGGCGCACACGGATTGTTCGGGTGGAACATGGCAATGCCGGTGCAACCTTGATTGCACCCAGGTGATATGCCTGGTTGACGGTGCTCCGCCCGAGTGTACCTTCGAAGGGAACTGCAGACTTGTGGGAGCGCCAGGCGGGGCATAAAGTTCCGTCAGAACAGAAGGAACGATCAGAAAGTCCGAAGCAAACACCCAGGGGCCGAGGAATGACTGGCTGGGTGGAAGGACCTGGCGTGTGCCACTGTTGGCTCGAATATTGAGGGAGAGCAGCGATAAGCGACATGGACAAGAGGCCTGAATTTAGGGGATCGGTGCAACTGGCAGCCAGACTGAGGCGAAGCTGCATCAAGCTATTAAGGCATAGGTGTCTGAGTGGTAGCGTCGATCAGGAGTGCCAGCCGCCGGATTCCTTGTCTACGAAGACCGGAAAGTTGTCGCTTAGTCCTGGACAATAGCCGGGAGAAAGTCATCTTGCTTAACATCAGTACCGATTCCGCTGCGCGGCTGCCACACTGCTGAAGGTTGCAAAGTGAACATGCTTAATTACGACTCGGTTCTGAAGCTGACATGAGACGCTGCAGCGCAGGCCACATCGGGAGCATCATTCGTACAGCTGGCGTGTGTACAGTCCACTCATCGATATATCCCCGAGGTAGATTGACAGCAAACGAGAATTGGAATAGTGAACCGTTTTTTAAAAGGCTCGAGTTCAAGTCTTGAGCCATTGCTGGAAACCTCGGAGTCGAGCAAGATCAACTCGGCGTTCGTGCACTCTTCAGGTCTATTTATCTCCGTGTCGTGGCAGATGTAGTGAAGGAAACCCGAGTCGTTGGAGTTCTGGTATGATGCCAGTTTCCTCGCCGCTTTACCGGTATGATTTCATACTAGGTGCGAGTATAGGGCGGCATCATCTTCGACCCAAAGAGAGTGAAGCTTCGGGGCAAGTTTTGATTCCTCCTTGCAACTCTCAACATCTTCCAAACCATTAACCCTGCATTGCAACTTCGCAAAAGGAATTATTTGAATTTTATTTGCGTCCTTAGATATCCCTCCTTGGGCCGACTCTCGGCTGATGAATACTTGTACTTCTCCACAGCAGCGCGACGGCGATGATGAAACGCACCTCACAAAGGCCTGGTTGGACGTCAAAATAGGCGGTCAACTAGGGCGAGTCACAACAAACTCCAGGCATCCATCTTCCTGGTCTTTCGAGACCTCCGAGTGATCAGTGATCGTGCAATCAATGGAACTCGACACGCGCAGTTACCTGGAATACGTAGTTTTGATGTCGGTGTTCTGGTCTCTCAGTTCATCAGCGTGCACATCTCCGTTCAATTACGCAAGGTCGAACCTACAACATGATTATTCGAACTCGAAAGCACACAACATCGACTCCCTACCCGGCTGCCGAGCAGATGCACGTCTCCTACCGCCTTCCACTTCTTCACATATCTACTAAGTACGGACCATCCGGCTTTTCGCGGCTGATAAAGGCAGGCGACAGGCTTGCTCCGAAGAAGCAGCATCAGATGATATCCATACTCAAAAGGTTAAGTATCGCTATTCGGATATCATACTAACGACAGCCGCCACTGTTTATTGCATATGCGAACCGTGACTGACTACAGGTTCAATGGAGCACACTGCCACGTGAACAGATATTGCACTCGTCAGTGGCGACATCTGATGCACAAAGGCATAAAGCACAGATTGGGGTGAAGTACGGGTCAGGGCGGGATGAAGGCTTCACTACCAGCAGGCGCCTGGGCTGTGGCCACACGAAAAGCGATGACTTCTGTTATTGTTCTTCGTAGCAGCTGCCGCGGAGGAACCCCACACGTAGATAGATTGTCGCGTCGTTGCTGTTGCTGTCACCCTGAAAAGTGCAGAATGACGCTCGACTTCTTGGTCTCGTGCACACTGAACTGCCGCTCAACAAGGCGCGGCGTTCTGAAGACTTCGCTTATTGCGAGTCCTGCGACAAACACGAGCAGCACGATTGTAGATTGAACGGTAGATCACGGCCATTAAGCGTCACCGGCGGCATCCAGTGACGATGGGCAAAAAGAAAGGTAAAAGAAGGGCGAAGAATCAACCAACACAGCGGGATGGGCACGACGGCAGTGCGGAGCTGGCAATGCTGAACAGAGGCCGACAAATGCGGCGGGAGTGGCAGCCTGAAGCAGCAGCAACAGGTGAGTCTCCCCTAAACTCCGACTGGCGTTTGGACTCGAGCTGGGCGCAACTTTGGGCTAGTTCGCTTTCGCTTTGGCTGGCGCCCGTCGCTGAACTCCAAACTGCGCAGGACTCGCCCAGCATCCAAATCCAAACCCGCATCTGCTTCCTCACCACCATCCACGTTACGACCACCACACCCCCACCAACCCTCCTTTCTATCCTCCCGACGCTTTCGCAAATGGTTCCCCGCATTACATGGCGAGGTCTCGAAGGAGTCCATCGATGAGGCACCGTTGGCGAGCTGAAGAGGATCTGCATGAGAGACATCCATCATACCGTCCGCGGGATAGAGACAGAGACTGGGACCGCGACGGCCAACGTCCGCATTCACCGCATCGAGGGTATCGAGGGGCCGAGGGGTCTGCACCCTATCGAGAAGGAAATCATCGCGAAACCCGTCCACCGTATAGGAAGCGGCAATTTTCGAGGGAACGATCCGCCAGGAAAACACACGGTAGAAATTCGTCCATTTCGCCTTCCCGTTATTTACAGCCAAAGCGTCATCACTCACCACCCCGAAAAACACTCGAAGACCGCTCCGGCCGACGTCCTGACCATTCACCAAGTCGATCGGCAAAACGGAGGCGTACGCAGAGTCCGTCTCCCGCCAGCAGCGCCAGATTTGGTTCAGAAAGTCGGAGACGGGGTCGCAGTCGAGAATCCCCTGATATCGACCAAAGGCGCCCACTCTTTGATCGGTCTCGTTCCCCGTTTCGAGAACCTCATCCGCATTCATTTCGCCCTGCTTCGCCAGCTGCTAGGTCTCACGTCTCAGACGGCGGTAGGCACCGCCCTGCCGCTCAAAGGGCACCTTCACCGTCTCGCAACGGCGATAAGCCATCAATCTCCCCTCGCCCGTTTTCGAGATCATCTCCACCTCGACGACCTCGATCCAAGCATTCGTCCATCGATACCCCCATATCATCAGTTAACTCGATTCCAGTCAAGTCCCGTGTATTGCTAGGCAGAGGACAACCTCCCGACAAGAAGGACAACCATTCCTCCAGGCCTCCATCTGTCGTCGACGACGCCGACGACCGCTCCATGGACGGACAATACCCTCCTCACCGTGGCAACTATGGCACGCATCGAGGACAACGACCGTATATGGACGCCAGGCATCAGGGATATGGTGGCTCGCCACCATATTCGTCCAACAGCTCATATCATGGCTCACCGCAAGCAAATTCACCATACCACAACCAACGCGGCGGCTGGGGCGGTCATGGGTTAGTTTGCCCATCAATTCCCGTTGATCTATTGCTAATCAAAAGTGCAGGACGATGCATAACTCCTCTCCCCCCTATCGGCAGAATAGTTTCTCTGGGCCAGGTGGCATGAACAATCCGAATCCTTATTACCCGAATCAGCCGGGTCATTATCGAGGTAATCAACACAGCTACCAACAATCGTATCGTGGTCGTGGTCACGGACCTCGTGGCGGACACTTCCAGCAAGATCAGCGATTCAATGGTCCTGGTGGTCCACGCGGACGTGGCAGAGGCGGCCATTTCAACAACTTACAATGGACACCCCCGGACGCGAAAGAAGTTGTTCCTCAAACTGAAAACCCTCAGGGTAACCATACAAGCCATCCACAAGCTTCCCCGGCTCACTCGCACACGGCGTCCCATGATGGCCGTGAGAATGCTGCAATGGAAGAGGAAAACCCTTACAGACCATCCAAGGAACTACAAGTGGAGGACCAAGGGACCAACAGAGTCAACAAAACTGCTCAAAAAACACAGGGTAATGATCAACCACCTTCCGGACCGGCTGCTTCAAAATTCAGCTTCGCCTTCAAGTCCAAAGCTCCTCCACAGGCTCCAGCTAAACCTGCCGCAGATTTCAATAAACCGAAGGGACCGTTCCAGCCTTCAGAGAACCGACCATCCGTTCAGCCACCATCAGGACCCAAAAACCAGAGCAAACATTTCGAGCGTCGCGACGCTGAGAGACAAGCCAACAGACCTCCGCAAGATCGGAAATTCCTTCCTCCACAAGATCGCCGTCATCCCAACGAAGCTTCACGGCAGCCACAAAATGATCGCAGACCTGATCGGTCGCGGTCTCCACCTCATAAGAGAGCAAAGAAAGAGGTCAAACCCCCACGACCGACATTGTCCCCGGAATTTGCACAATCTGAGTCGATCTACTACCGGAAACCAGGCAATGAGTCGGTAGTTGGTGCAGGCACTTACGGAAAAGTGTTCAAAGCCATTCACATCTACACAAAGGACAAGGTTGCTCTGAAGAAAATCCGAATGGAAGGTGAACGCGATGGCTTCCCTATAACTGCTGTGCGAGAGATCAGGTTGCTGCAGCACCTGCGGCACAAACATGTGGTTGCATTACAAGAAGTCATGGTCGAGAAGAATGAGTGTTTTATGGTTTTTGAGTACCTGTCGCATGACTTGACGGGTCTCATCAACCACCCGACCTTCAAACTCAATCCCGCCCATAGGAAGGACTTGGGCAAGCAGATGTTTGAAGGGCTGGACTATCTTCACCGAAGAGGCGTCCTTCACCGGGATATCAAGGCTGCTAACATTCTCGTCTCCAACACAGGCCAGCTTAAATATGCCGATTTCGGACTGGCGCGCTTCTACACCAAATCTCGAGCACTCGACTATACCAATCGCGTCATCACAATTTGGTATCGTCCTCCCGAGCTCTTGCTCGGCGAAACACAATATGGTCCCGAAGTGGACATATGGTCTGCCGCCTGCGTCTTTGTCGAGATGTTTACGAAGAAAGCGATCTTCCCCGGGGAAGGGGGCGAACTCAGCCAACTGGACAAGACTTACAACGTCCTTGGCACACCCACCCGATCAGAGTGGCCTGGAATCGTGGACCTGCCGTGGTTTGAACTCATGCAACCCACCGATCGGCGAAAACGAGTCTTTGAAGCAATGTACAAAGATATCTTCACACCTGCATGCCTCGATGTTGTGCAGAAGATGTTCAAATATGACCCCAAGAAGCGGCCCACGGCGGAAGAAGTCCTAAACCATGAATATTTCACGACGGAGCAGCCGGCACCTGAACAACCCGTGGAACTCGCGCAGGTCGAGGGCGATTGGCACGAATTCGAAAGCAAGGCGCACAGACGAGAGAATGATAAGCGCGAGAAAGAGAAACGGAGGGAAGAATACCAACGTGAGAGGGAGAAGAGAAAGGCAAGAGAGTCGGGGCTGCCGGACTCGGAAAATAAAAGGGCGAGACTTGACGAGCCGGCTGGGAAGGAGACCATGCCTCCTCCTCCGCCTGCTTGCGGAGATAATTCCTCAACAACGGCTCTCAGAGGCAATGAACCCTCGAATGATCGGTCTCGGGATGAAGACAACGACGAGGGAGACTCAGAGGGCGAGGGTGGTGCGCCCATGAGCATGTCGCCCGCCTAAGCATCACCAGCAGGTCACGCCATCCATGCTTCCTAGGACATTGCCACGGCCGAACTACGGACCAGACGTATGTGAGTGTATATCTCCGGACAGAGGATATTAGATAGTTGGATTCTTGAGCGCACGTGTATTTGCGCGTCGTGAGGTGCTTTGAGCAGCATCGTGATGTTTCCAGTGGAATGTAATGAAATGCCTGTGACCCTCTTCCGTCAGAGCCATGTTGAAACGATGATTGCCGTGTGTGTCGCTCAAGGATGCTTAGCGGTACTGTACTCTTTCTACGGGACAAATTCTAAGCGGTGCGTAAGAGCCCACCTCTCGATCCCACAGTCCCAATGACCGTGTAAAAACTTATTTCAGGCCCAGACTCAGTGAACGAAGAGAAGTAATCCACGTGAGATGCAAACAGCTGAGAACCTCTTGAGGAGGCTCAGGACGTGGTACGAAGGGCAAAGCAACGGATGATCAAGATAACCAAGCTGTATCAGAAATTACATATCTCAGAAGAACGTTTCGGCGTTATGCCGCTGAGTCTTGGGGCGTTGAGGCAATCGTGCAAACCAATCTATCGAAAGGTCAACGTCACGCATGCTCGAGTTTGACACGGACACTCGTGAACCCATGGGGAAAGTGGTACGCACCGACAATATGACAATGGGCGGAATGAATCACTTCTCCTTCTTGCCATCCTTCGCGGTCTTCGAGTCCTTTGCCCCTTTGCCGTCCTTTTCTGTTTCTTTCGAGGTATCTTCGTCTTGATTTTCCTTCTCATCGGTCTCATCTTCCTCCGATGTTGGGTCCTTATGCCCTGTTGTTAACCCTTGCCAGATGGACCACGCGAATACGATGACCCCGACCGTGAACACGATTCTGAGGACATGACTTGCGAGTCTGCCATATTTGTAGACCCAGCTGGCAAGCCATTGCATAAAAGGTGTCACCAGCTGCACCCTCTCTTTTTCGAGGTCTGGATTAACGGTGAATAGCAGAGCGATCAGAGCCAGCAGGATCAGTATTAGTGACAGGGCCGTCACGACCTGGATGACCGCCAGCAAGATGGCGATGTCTTTGGTGGTTTGGAGGACCTCGAATCCTGCGGCCACGAGTGGCGTGACCTGATCGAATGCCGCATGGATTTCTTTCGAGTATGGGAGACCCATCTTGCCTGGTGCGACAGTCTCACAAAGGAACAGCGATATACAGAGACGGAACCCCGACCAACTTACCGTAGAATGCGCACGGGGCGAGTAGGAGCAAGCGCGCGTGGCCCTTGTGATCATGGGCATGGCTGAGCCTGCGGCTGATGTCATGCGGCGAGCGCTTGAAGCTGCGGGGCAATGATCCGCTCAATGGTCCAATCGCCAGTTCGACGACTGTTCGAGCTCGGAAGCTTTTCCGAGAAGGCTCGCCCCACAGCAGCCTCGTCGACTTTGTCAATCTGTCTCCAACGTGTTCACCTTGTAGTCAGGACCGTAGCAGGTGGCATTTCTGCGGGGACAATGATAAGATCTTCTTTCTTGACTTGACCAGCTCTGATATCTGCAGGGCTCTGGCCCTCTTCTGCCACAATGCATAGCGCTCTCAACCGGCTCCAGACAACCTTCGGGTATTTCACCAGCTGCGCCTTTACGCTGGCCTGCATCATTGCCCTTCTTTCAATCATCCCTGTTCCCGCGCCCACGGGCTCGCCCCGCGCCTCGATAGCAGTTCGAAATGTACAAGTCGTCAAGGGTCGTCCTCATTATTACTCCCCGAAGCGCGAAGAATATGCGCAGATCCGGTTCGATCTTGATGCCGACCTCTCAGATCTATTCACGTGGAACACCAAGCAGTTGTTTGTGTACGTGACGGCGAACTATCCGAGTGGCAACGATGGCAACGGTGGTCTCTCCGAAGCTGTCATCTGGGACACCATCATCCCTGCAACGTCGACTCCCTACTCGTGGCAGAATCTGAAGCAGAAATACTTTCCGGACAAGAAAAGCTTGAGGTCAAAGACAAAGACCAGGAGAGACTCAAACTCCAAATCAAAGACGACGGACATCGTGAAGCCGGGGGTCATCTCGTTGAACAACCAGAAGCCGAAGTATCAAATAACAGACCCAAGTGGTGTCATCAGCGAGCGAGGGAATGCCACCTTGCACGTTAGCTGGAACGTGCAACCTTGGGTTGGGGCACTGATTTGGGACAAGGGGCATTTGGGCAGCAGACTGGGCAAATGGGAGGCTGGCAGTGGTGGGAGAAGTGAGATATTCGAGTTTCCCCCCCTGAAAGGCTCGAGGACGGATGCTGTCAAGGACAAAGAAGGACCAAAGACTCCCAAGGCTGGCTCAGCAACTCCAGTCGTCGAGATTTGAACGCACGAGAAGCGCGCATCTGTCAATTTCGATTTCTATCAACAGTCGCCTGCCTTTGTTGGCGGCCAGTCGTCCTCGAATGCAGGTGTTCGCTACATGGACACTCCCGGGACTGGTGTCTCACGCGACAAGAGCGACGATCTCGAAGCTCCTCTCGTCTTTGCTGTCGCTCTATCCTCAGCATGGCATCCAATCTGGTCCGTGCTCGGGCTCGAGGAGATCTACCGCGTCCTTATGCAGCCATGGGGATGACCGGACGGTGGCTTGCCGCCGTTGGAACTCGAAATACTTCTGTCATCCGTACTGCAGAGGCCCGTGGCAGCAGTGTATGTTCGAGGCATGTTCAAATGTCAGTACTCTTGTTGGTAGACACGAGACTGGACCCAAGCACGGAAGATTTACGGCTGGAGAATTCGGAAGTCTCCTGCCCTGGCGGAAGGAGACGGACAATATGCGCAGCAAAGCAAGCCTTCGGCGGCACGTCACTTTTCCGTGTTGGAGCGTGTGCCGACAGCAGAGTTTGCCCATACGCACTTAGTTTGGGTCTCTGCCGGAGCTGGCCAATCATGCAATATTCTTGCGGTCTTGGGTGGCTTGGGGGAACTGCCCTCACATCGATATTCGGCCGTGTTCGTGCGGCATGTTTCTAGGCTATACACAACACCTCTATTCGAGGCGTTCTCAGGTATTTAAGCAATGCAAAGCCGTCTTTCCCAGCAAATTCAGTGAACGACAAGTCTTTCCCTCGGTATCTTCAACCCATTTATCCGTCATTTCTTCACTGTGATGGCGCTCAAATACACTAATAAGCTTCAAGACAAGCTTGTCGTCGTCGTTGGGGGTACTAGCGGCATTGGCTTTGGCACGGCCGAAGCAGCTGTGGAACATGGCGCCACAGTGGTGGTGGCCAGTTCCAAGCAAGCAAAGGTCAGCCGTGCCGTGCAAAGGATCCAGCAAGCATATCCAGACGCGGCAGATCGCATCCGCGGCAAGACCGTCGACTTGAGCTCGGACAATGTTGAAGAACAGATCGATGCCCTCTACGAGTTTGCAACCGAGGCTGGCACGCGGAAGTTGGACCACGTCGTTGTGACCGCTGGCGAGGGTTTCGGGATGGTACCCTTGGCGAATGTCACTCCTCAGGCCGTGGTGGATCCGTACAAAATCAGACTGGTGGGCTGCACCATGCTGGCGAAGATTGCGATGCGGTATCTCACCGTCAGCGCCGCCTCTTCGTTCACCTTGACGGGCGGCGTGAGCGATGCCAAGCCCACGGCGGGATGGACGGTCATGGCCCCCGTGGGTGCGGCCGTGCGAGGGCTCACCCACGCGCTGGCCAACGATATGAAGCCCGTCAGAGTCAATTGCGTGTGCCCGGGTGCGGTCAGGACGGAAATGTTCGACACCTTTACTGGGGACCGGCTACAGGAGGTCCTCGACATGTATACGGCCAAGACTTTGACGGGCCGGATCGGCACACCTGAGGATCTGGCGCAAAGCTACCTTTCTGTAATGGAGAACAAGTTCATGACGGGCCAGGAAATAACGTGTGACGGAGGATATCTTTTGTGTTGAGCTCGAAAAGTACTCAGTACGAGGTAGGGGTGTGGCTACACCCACTGCCTGTGTGGATGGCGCATCTTAGACAACAGCTGGTCAGGGCGGCTGACATTAATATGCACACCCCTGGCGCCATGGTTTCTGCCTTGCCTCCCTCCTCTGCACTGCGCCTCGACTCCGGCCCAGGCGACGCTGCTGGGGTATCGTATGGGCCAATCAGAAGGGGGACGATGAGTGCGTGACGCCGATCAGGCTGCCGACTTCATAAGGGGCCTCACAGGCCTGTAAGTCCGCCATGCGGCCCGGACCTTTGCTGTCCCTCCGACCTGTGGGCTAAGGAAGGGGTCTCCTGACTCCTCGTCTCTAATATCATGATGGAAGGCGGCTCACTCACGCCGTATGTGTCGATGTAATCCTTCCATAACACACCGCGATAGGGATTCATAGTACTCCATGTAGCAGCAGCCCACTCCCCGCCATGAGCAACTGGCTAAGTCATATACGCTCGGAGCCGTATTCAGCCCCAGCAATCCCGACCAGCCTCGAAGCATCGTGGCTTCAAACTCCCGCAACTCCGCGGACAGCTCCCAAGCCCAAGGACCGCAACGCGCCCGACTACCGCTATCAGGTAAATCAGAAATGCATCTACGAGCGCCGTCTGCCGGGCGGGAGCTACATCACAGCACACGTCCAGCGCCTCCAATCGGGCTACTACGACAGTCCCGTCATCCACGAAGACTGCATTGACAACGTCCGCTTCGTGGCGATCAATTTCGTGTTCCATCCCAGCCGGACGACCTTCCGCTTCAAATCGGCCGAGATCAGAATTGCCTTGCACCATACGGGCGAGGACGGCCGGAATCCACTGCAGCAGATGGTCACGGATCTGGTGCCGCCTCGAACAAGCAGTCACGACCATGCCACCCAGACCGAGACCGAGACAGGGACAGACGGGACAACTCACGACGCGCCGCTGGTGTGGCAAAACAAGCGTGTTCACGGCCATGGCAGGCCGTCTCGACCAAGATTCCTCCGTCACGCACCCCATCTGCTTTACGGGTCCATCAGTCCCGAGACGCTGAACTGGAACTTCAACCTCGCGGGATCGCTGGGTGTGTCGCAGGGTCCGGCGAGCGCGAGTCTGAAGCCCTCGTACGGGCTCAAATCCAGCTACAAGGTGTACGAGATGATGAAGATCCAGGGGTCCGTCCGGACACTGCGATCCTGGGCCGGACACGAGTACGACATCGAGGACGGAGAGCTGGTCTGGACGCTCGAGGAGAACAGGCTCCAGAAATCGGGACTGCCCCGGGAATTCACCTTCGTCATGCTCCTGACCAAGGGCACCGGCGGGTTCGAAGAGAGCGGCGACGTCAGGTTGGAGATCGACGTCGACCCGAAAGTCACGGGCCGACTGGGCGCCACGTACCCGTCCGTGGTCACAAATCTGCATCAGTATCAACCGTTCAAGCGTGGCACCTTGGACCTTGACGACGAAATCGGCCAGGTGTTTGAACCGTACGTCAAGGGCAAGGGGTTCAATTTTGCCGACATTGCGAGCAGCTTCGACAATTTCGTCTGGCTGCCGGGGAATGCATACTCGACGTCGGAGCCAGAATACTCGGCTGCGCCTAGTGGAGGTGGTCAACAACAACAACAGCAGCAGCAGCAGCAGCAGCAGCAGGAGGAGGAGAAGCAGCCACAGACGGGCCAGCAAGGAGACCAGCGGCAACAACATCACCACCGTAGCTCTACATGGCAGAATGCACTCCCCTCAACTGATACGACGCTTAATCTTCGCGTCTTCTTCGAACCGTCGCGAGGCAGCCCCGTGCCGTTCTCGAATCAAATGCAACAGCATCATCAACAGCAGCAGCAGCAGATACCGTATCTCAACTTAAAGGTACCGCACGCTCGTTCGCAAAATCCATCGCCAATCCCGCCCTCAATCGCGGGGTCTCGCAACTCGCCAACCCGTAGGACCATTACTATCGGTTCAGGGTCGTCCAAGTCTGTGCGGAAGCAGCGATCACGGTCCGAGCTCGCGAAGGAGTACAGATCATCGCCGGAGCCCAGAAGGGCAGAACGCAGCTCTGCGACTGGAGGAGACCCGGATCCCAACAGAAGGTCTCTCCAGGCTAGTAGCCGGCGAGACGAGGATATGAGGAAGAATGGACTCGACCGCGAGAATCGTCACGAGCATGTCGCCACAAAACGGCCCATACTGGATTCTTCGACCGATGACCATGTCGACGGCCATATTGATCAACAACCCACTTTCATGGTCTCAGGTTCGAGTCCCGAGTATACGACTCCGCCTTTACATCTGGACAGAGGCGCGTAGAGTTGATCCCGCAAATACCCAAGTCTAGGAATTGATAAGTAGGACCAGGAATAGAAGTAAGACCATAAGGATAAGTAAGAATAAGAGTAAGAGTAAGAGCAAGAGCAAGAGCACGACCACGAGTGCGATGTGAAGACGCCACATCTATTTCCTACGGTATCCTATCCTACGATATCCTATCCTACGATATCCTGTGCTGTCCTGTCCTATCCTAAATCGCAAGGACGACTACATCGCCACGACAGAACCGCTGCAAACAGAGTATCCCTCTTCCACGCATGACAATCCCGCCTCCGCCTACCACAGCCAACAGAGTATTTCCCCTTCCTCCCACGCATGACAAACCCCGCCTACCTCATCGGCTTCAGGGAAATCAAGGCGAATACCATCCTACCGTACCAATACCATCGCCAGTGCCCGTGCCCGTGCCCGTGCGTGCCCGCATCCATGCTCGTACTTGACGCTCGTACTTGACACTCCAAGGACCAAAATCCGTCGACGAAAACTTGAACACTTTCCCACCGAAGTACCCAAATATATAGATATATATATACTGTATTTTCAGCCGCGCGAATCATTGCACAGCGAGCGGACTGCCGGACTGGCGGGCCGTCAAATAAGGGAAGGAATTGCACGCGGTGATCTGTGGTAGGGGCCACCACTGTGAGTGTCTCGAGTCTCTTGTTTCTTCCATCTCTCTAATTAGAGCTCCGCTCTCGGCTATGAAGATATCTCAGCAGCCCTGCTGGTCCTGCCATGTGAGGGTGAGGGCCAAGGACAGAACAAGGAAGGAACAGGGCAGGAACGGGACTGGGACTGTCCGCGCACAGGATCACGGATCTCAACCTCGATCTCACCCTCACCCTCTTCCTCTCCTTTCCCAGGGTCCCAGGGTCCCAGGGTTCGAATGTTCGAATGCTCGAACGTCTAGTTGGTCATTTGTGCTGGGATGGAGAAGAAGTGAGAAGGTTCAGACGGCGTGGTCAATAGTTGGCTTGCTCAATAGTTGGCCTGCTCAATAGTTGGCCTGCAAGGTAGATCTCAAGTGTGTGCGGTCTTGATTTTTGGCTTGTCGATTCACCGAGGCCAGAGACTTGGAGTATGTGCCCGGAGCTGGGCTAAACATGCAGAGTGTGATAGCCCAGAAGGGATTGTTGCAACACGTTCGAATCATCTGCTACGGAGCTTGAAGGATGTAGGGTCACAGTGGAGAGAGGACGTCGCTCGAGAAGATCTGGAAAGCGATCTAAACATAATCAATTCATTCGTTCATGGATGATAGATTGTCTATTGACAACACTTGCAGTCCGAGCCAGACACTCTAGCTCTTTCATTTAGCGCTCATCAGTCGTCTTTTGTACAACATTCAATGTACAGGGTATATTCCTTCCTGACTTTCCGTTTGCTGCATAACCATGATAGCCCCGTCGTGATCACAAGGATCGTGGAACGCCGACAATTCAAGCAGGTGTGTCATTCCGAGCGAGAGACTTCCCCTTCCGGGCCAGAATCACATACCCGAGACCTCATCAAATTCAAAGCGCACATTGGCGATTTCTCGAAACCCCCCCTATATACTCATCCCATGTACCAACCTCTGCTGGCTCGATCCCTATCGAACCATTCCACTTCCTAGCCTGGGCATACTCTGTCGTCTGGCAAACTCCGCTTGACTCTGCCTCCGTGAATTCGCCTCCCTACTCGCATTGGTGTTCGTCCTCGAAAGTCGTCTAGACTCCGATGTCCCGGACGCAGAAGGCAGGTAAGAGAGACGGCGGCCCTCGTTGTCGGCACGCGCGTTAGCGAGCGACTGGGCAAATGGCGATCGCTTGCGCAGCGTTGGACCATAGATGTAGATCACATAGACTGCGACAACAAGGAGTGTGGCGATGCAGGCGAGGATGGTGCAGGCGTAATTGAGATGGCGGCGACCTCCAATATCTGTGCAGCAATTACGTTAGCCTCAGTAGCTTGACAGCGGAAGAAAACATGGCAAGCTCACTCTCAAAGAATGGTGTGGCAGGAACAGTAAGTACACCGGCCAGGAAATCTCGTGACCAGCCATTACCCCCGGTGGCGGAAGCGGAGTAGGGACCGTAGGCGCAGATCATGTAGTCAATCGTAGCCATGTAGATCGCATAGTTGGCGATACCGACAAGAGCAGCAAAAATCATGGAACCGATCCAGTGGATGGGTGGTCCTTGAATGGTCCACGCAAATCCGAACAGGCCAATAGGCAGACATGGGGCAGTGTAGAGAAGCCACCACAAGCGCGACTCGTACTGTGCTCTTTCATCGCCGGGCTTCGACTTTCTCTCGTTGATGTTGCGCCTGATGGCTGGGATGAAGGAGATCCACGCGATGACATATCCAACTCCCAAGGGCAGGAAGGCCAAGCCGACCGCAAAAATCGCAAAATTCCACTGCTTGTAGACAAGGGAGAAGGATTGGATGAACATGAAGATGAGGGCATCGCTGAAGCCGCTCAGGAGCGAAAGCGTGAGCACGATCGGCTCTGTCAGGAACATCTTGAATGGTCGGATCCAGGTGATGAGAATCTCTTTGGCGCTGAAACGGTCGCTGAAAGGCTCGAGCTCGTTAGGGCCCCAGATATTCTCACCAGTGGCCTTACGTCTCCTTTTGGCGATCCGATCCATCATGATGGTGGAACGGGTTTCCGGGACGAAGAAGAAGTGACAGGCCTGAACGAAGCCACCGAAAATGAGTTGGATCCAGATTGTCCACCTCCAATCGCTGACGTATTGCTCGACAAACCCGCCCACGATGGGCCCGAGAACAGAGCCGAACACGGACGAGAAGACCACATAAGCCACGGCGTACTGTTGACTATCTGCATCCCACATGTCGGCTGATAGTGGTTTAGTCAAAAGGTCCAGACCATTACAGTTGGCACTTACCGATCATCCCTAGTGTTACCGAGCCTCCAGCAGAACTGAGGCCACCCAAAGCTCTACCAACCATGATGGATGCAAAGTTCGGAGCCAGCGCGACAGGGAGTTGCCAAATGTTTACCAGAGTCAGAGAAGCCTGAAGAATCGGCCATCGACCCAATTCTTCGCTCCAGGGCGCCCAAAGCTCGCAGCCAAAGGCATAGAGCACCAAAAATATCATGGCACCGCATCGTGCCGCTTGTTCGCTGACATGGTATTCTTCCGAGATGCCTACGATGCCATTTGAATAAAGGCTGGTGTTGAAGTTCATCGAGAGTTGCACCAGAAAAATTACAGTCAAGATGGTCCATTTCTTCCATTCCGGAAACGAATAGCCCAATTCGCTGTAGCAATCGTCCTCGGTGATCTCGATCTTGTCAAAGGTTTCGGGTTCAGGCTCGGTATCCTTGTCGCCGGCCTTCTCGTCTGGCAAAGTCTTGCCCACATGTTCTTCTTGCTGTAGTTGAGGATCCTCGTCCGGTTCAACGGTGGAGGCCTTGTCCCATTCTCCGTGGGTGTCTTTGCCCTCGGGCGACGCGGTCTCGGAGTCGTTGAAGGGGAGATTAAATTGTGGGTGGCGGCCGGGTGCTGACGCCATAGCGAAAGAGAAACGTAGAAGGAATGCACTGATCACAAATGCAACGAGCACGAGGTGTAAAGCCTAGACGCACCACCAGAACTCGTGTGGAGAATATGAGAGCGGTAGAAGGATATAAGATAAGGACTGTTCGGCGTAAACGACGCTGGTTAAGAGACGGGGCTCGGTGGACAAGATGGTCTGAATAGCAGTGCCACAAATTGAGAATGCGTTATGATATCAGGGTATCCATCTAGTGGAGTCGCAGGAGGGTGACTTCCGAATGAAAAGTATACAGTCCTGTAAGCGCTGCACAACGACGTCAGCACCAGGCACGATCATGCTCAGCTTCCAGAGAAACCGTTGAGGGTCAGGCGCGATGTAAAAGCGGGTAGAATTGAAGAGCGAGTGAGCTTCTGCACTTGCCACTTGACTGCGGAGCTTGAATCATTGTGTATTAAACGCGCTGAGTGCCTTCGTCCACAGCGACCAGGCTGGTGAACGTGGCGGCTGGGCAGGCGAAAGGCTGCGACATGGCATGAGCTTGGTCTCCTCTGGAATCTGCAGCTTGAAGCTTGATCTTCGGATGATCTCCCCTGCACCGTAATTCGGACGAGATTGACTTTTGACGATAATTCGCGCTTGTGGCTTTACAGCTGCCGAGGCGGGGGCGGTTGAGTCAACATCACCATGACGTCGTTGCCATTCTGGTGGCTAGTTGGTTGCCGATGAGGGGATTTTCAGGCCAACATGGGAGATATGCCAACGCTAAAATATCTTGATCTCTAACCAAGCTGTCATCTGCTTGGACGTCGCTTTGAGCAGATGCTAATCCACTTATCGTACTCGTAGCCACGCGAGTACTCGTAGGGTCATGAGGCTAGTTGATTTTTCGACTGTTACCATGGCCCGCGTTGGCACCATGAGTAAGCCTCGTCACCCAGAACACGAGATATCGTCAATCCACTTGTCTACAGGGTTCGCTCAAACGAAGGGACCTCTTTTTGTGTGGACTATTCGATTTGTGCTGGCGACGAGCTGTGGAAATGTGGAATGTCTTCATTTCAGAGGTACATGGACACCACGTTGCCAGTGCACGTAGTGAGGATTGAAGCGTGCACGTAGTGAGGATTGAAGGGTGCACGACCGTCCAGTGCAGGAGCGATACCGTGACAATAAACCGACCAGCGAGGCCATCCTCTGCAGGTCATTCTCCGAGATCAACACTGCAGAAACCCCAGTTTGGCGATCCTTGTGCGGACTTCGCCTTTTACGCCCTCATTCCTAACGGTGTCATTGTTGCCCGTTGCGCCAGCCAAGTCATCACTTATGAATCGAGAAACCGGCCCTTTGCCAGATAACCACCAACGCCTTGCTGATAACGCTCACGTAGACGAATGCCTCACACGTAGATCGGCAAAATCGTTTTTGCAGATCTCGATTGGATCACCTCCCCTGCCAGAATATGCGTTCCGGCAGCTCCGCGTTTTGCCTTCCCCGGATTTGCATTCACATTGGCACTGCCCGCACCATCATCTTGGAAGACCTGTAGGGTATTGATCGCCCAGTAAGCATCGGCAAAGTCGGCCGGATTGTTGGCGACATATTCCTCGCACGTTGGGGCCAGAGACGCGCAGGTGGAAGTGTCCCATACTGCGCCAGCCCACTGAAGAACGCCGGAGTCAGCATACATGTAAGGGGAGAGGAAGAAGAGACGCTTACCTGTCCACAAAAGGTGGTGTCGAAGACGATTTGCAGGTTCCTGAAGTGATCGTCGATGTTGAACTGGCCTTGGAAGAGAGAGTTTGGGGTTCCCCAGTTTGCGGATGGATCGGGGCTGCTGCTGACGATGTCGCTGGGGAACGACCCTCGGGGGAAGAACCATATCTTGATAAAGTCGGACGACCACTCCGTTGCAAACACTCCGCCGCCTGCCTCATTGAATTCAGGACCGAAGGTCAAGTTGGAAATGTCGCCAATGGAACATCCGGCATTCATTGGCTGATCAGGAGCGTTGATGTCGCAGTTCGAGGTTATCACTTGGCCCGAGAAATCGGTGCGGTCGCTGATGACCGGGCCTTCGCTGGTATGTAGGGTCATGCTATTCGTAGGTTGGTCATTGACGCCCTCGACGATGTCGATCTCCCCGTTGTTCGGCCAGTCGCTTCCTACCATCCAGAATGCGGGCCATGTGCCGCAGACACCCCCAGGCATGTGAACAATATCTGCAATGACCAGACCGTGTTGGAAGGATTGTGAGGAGGTGACCCGCACAGCCGCACGACCTTCAGGAGCCACCTTTTCTGTGTCGACGCCCATATAGATTGCGAACGAGGCATTGCCGCCGTCGATGAACCCTGCGATTCCGCTTGAATTTGCCGCCTCGAGCGACTGGAATTGCACGAGTCCATCCGTCGGATCAGGGTCGGTGAAGAAATCGAAGCCTTGCCAGAAGGCGTCGCCGGAGTAGTCTTGAACGATCTGGTAGGCGGCAAACGCGACTTGAAAGCATGTGCTGACCAGCAGCAGAAGAAAAGCGGTCGGGACCATGGTGAGGGTGACTTGTTTGACCTGCAAAGGTGACACGGATTGAACGATGGTTGTCTGATTGCCGAACTAGCGGTATCAAATTTGGGATAGGGAAGGCGCAAGCCGTGAATCAATCGACAGGCTCAGGGCGGAGATCAGGTGTAAGGAACGTGCTGAAGAAGGAGTGTTTGTAATAAAGAAGGCTTGTGAGCAGAGACCAGCCGAACTGGACCGCAATGAAGGTGTCTCAATAGACAACGGGGAATGGGAATGAATGTTTCCGCAGCGACATGGTCAGAAGAGGCGCAGCTGGAGGAAACGGGGCTTCTCAAGCATTTTTTCTGCCGGTACCTACCTTGGCGGGTGTCATTGATGGGAATGTGAGAGGGATCCTGTGGAAGTCATTGCGGTGAAGCTGGAATCTGCCAGACCTGGAGGCATATACGGCCACCTGGTCTTCCGTGCTCACTACGAGACCAAGGATAGTCTACGGTAGGTGAATATGGCAAAGAAGAATCTCGTAGTTTCAGAAACCGTTTGTAGATAATCCAGTCGCTCTGAGAATACATTGAGTTGACTGAAACAAGAGCTGGACAAATACAGCCACGTGAGAAGTTGATCTCATGAAACGCGTTTCGGCAATCGTCGCTGTTTCCAGCCGCATCGCGTCCGCCGCCCGCGGCAAAATCGTGTGGCCTCCGTTGCTTCGCGCCCGCCTTCAAGCCGTATCAAACATTCCGCACCTGAAACCCCATACCACACACCACCACCAATCTACTTGTACGCTGTGGCTGGCTGTTGTCCATTTGACAGAGATATGGCTGCCGCCTGCCACTCCTCCCCCGGGCCACGATCATGACCACAGTGGCGCCCACTCTCGAGACCTCCAAGCAGATCCCCATTGCCGACCTCTCTCCCGCTTCTGACCATGCTCCGTCCTGCATTGTAGGCCAAGTTGTGCTGGTTTGGCCCTACTCTAGCTCGACCGGCACGCTTGCCCTGCTTTTGGCAGATACTGATGTCCGACGGCGCAAATCCAAAGGTCAGGTGAAGGTCGTCTTCCGCCATGGGTGTGCCCGAGAAGTGGCAAGGACAAAAGTCGGCATTGGGGATACAGTCAAGCTGGGGTTAGACGACTGCAGATGGACAGAGACGGGCGATTTGATTTCCACTCCGGGCAAGAAGATAGATTGGGACCTAGAATACTGGAAACAGGTTATCTTGCAAGTTCAACGAGACGGTGACCTCCATTCTACAGTCGACTATAGAGCGAATGAACCCGATGAATCCGATGCTTCCTCCGCAGACAGCGCAATTGCTCTGGTCAACGGCGCGTCCACCACTCGTGCCTCCGTGAATGGAGTTCTGCATCGCCAGCAGAGTACAATCCACGTCCCGTACTTGACACCGCAAAAGCCCGTCCGAAGGGTCTCCGCAGGTACATTTATCGATGCCGCTCTGGACTCTTTCGTGGAAGATGACGGATACGTTCCTGGTCAAGGACGGAAGAGAACCAAGTTTGCGAGGAACAGCGGAGCATGGAGCCTCGTGGACTCGGACGACGACTCAAAAGATATTTCGCAGTCACGGCTCGACGCCGGACAAGTCGAGCAGCAACAAAGCCTTACACACGAAGAGATCAGTTTGACGGTCGAACCCTCTGAGCGTGTTGGGCAGGATCAGATGCCACACGAAGCGATCGACTTAACGGTGGAAACTTCTGAGCATACAGAGCAGGACCAGATGCCACACGAAGACATTGACGATGCCCGGACAGAAAAACTGCCTGCCGACATCCTGCAAACTCCGGCTGTGGAGGTTATCGAGAGCGCGAGCTCACCTCCGCTTACCAACTCAGGAGGGTCATCTTCAATACCCCAACCAGTGCTCATGGGTCCGCCTTCAACACCGCTCAAAGCCACGCGTTTGCATTTGCCACCAGTGGAGGTTGACGTGACCGAAATCAGCCCCCCACCTGACGCTGCCACCACGCCGCGGTTGCTCCCTCTCGCGTCGCCAGGGCTACCATTGGTCTCACCTCTGGTCCAGAGAGCAGGAGTGGAGGTGGGATACTTCCCAGTATTCGATGAGCCTGCATCTCAGTTAGAAGCTTCCGGTGATTCGCTAGCCGTTGCTACAGAAGATGCCAGACCTGAGAACGAGCTGGATGCCGCATCATTATCAGGGTCTGACGGCTCACTGATGATTGTGGAAGAAGTGTCTGTTCTCCGGAAACCGTCGGCAGATATCGAGGCTGAGCCTGTTGGACGCTCAAAGCACACGGAGACCCTTGACGAAACCACGGGCGAGACAGGGAATGTGGTAAGCACAAGGAGCGCTGGATACCAAGAACCGCAGTGGCTGTCGGTTTTGGAGTCAAATATCGACGAAGAGCGCCTTCGGTCCGGTGACAAGTCACCCTCAGAGATAGCTCCCAGGCTCCCTTACCCAGGTGAGGCGGTTGAAGACGAGGATGACGATATGTATGGGGCACCTGCTGATATGTCACAAACAACCGGGGTTTGGGTCAGTCCTTCTTCAGTCGAGGCGCCGAAGAGCCCGCTGGATGTCATCGAACAATTCCTGCAAATGTCCCCAGTTGCACCAACGCGACCCTCGAATGTCTTCGAACACATTGATTTAGGCAATGTCTCGAACATTCCGATTACGCCTTCGCACGACAGTGTGGAGGGGAGTGCAGCTGCAGACGTTCGGCAAGAGAAGACATCAATTCCTGTTTTCGAGAAATCCTCATCAGTTACCTATCCCGAGTCACAATCTCCGTTCAGGCAGAATCGAGCTCAGCAAACAAGCTCCGGTACCTCTAGTCGACGCTCGTCTGATCATCGCACGCGGCTCCGGTCCTTGGATGGCACCCTCGAGCTCCACGACCCTGGTGCAGACTACATAAATCAGCTTGCTCAAATCGCTGCGACCGCGGGAAGCGTGAAGCAGCCTACAGAAAACGCCGAGTACGCACACGGCGCGCCCCAGAGAGATGTGGGTTCAGAACACGACGTGCCACCAGCTAACATTCTAGCCCAAGAGGTGGGCAGGGTTGACTCCTCCGAGGGTGCGGCAGAAGAGGTCACACGACAAACCTACGAGACTGTAAGATTTGACGCGTCTGAGGGAATAGATCCACAGCCTGCGACGCAGACCATCAAGCTACACGACCGAGAGGAGGACGTAATCAATCCGTCTGGGTCCTTGCGCAGCCCCGAAGCTCAAGTACAACTACCAACACCGGATCAGTCGCAACTGTATCAACCCTCGCCTGCACAGAACACTCGTCTTGAGCAGACTGAAGACCCGACAGAAGTGAACGTCGTTGCTCTTCCAACACCTCAACATACGCAGGAAGACGCTGCACAGGAGCAAGTGTCAGAGGAAGTGGTCACACAAGACGACGACGAAGAAGCTGCGCAGGAGCCAAAAGAGACTGATTTCACGCACCAAGAGGAGGTATCTGCACAGGTCACTGCAGAGCTGGAAGCGCAGACCCGAGAAGAGAGATCAACGGATTCTTTTCGGGAGGCACCTGCTCGAGACGCGCAAGAGAAGACGCCAGACATTGACGAGGACGGAGAGAGGGAGGAGCCTAGTGAAGCGCTGGCGGCAAGCGCAGCTCCTGCTATGGCTCCCACGATCTCTGATCTGCACCCTGACACGGTCGCTCCTCGTCGAGTCTCCCAACGCCTCTCGGCCAGAAAGTCCGCCATGGCTAGCAACATCTCTAGTCCGTATTTTACCCCTCGTAAACCAGCTCCAGCGCCCTCTTCGTCACCAACTCGCAAAGAAAATATCCACCCTGCGTCGCCAGATCGGAGCGATTCGCGATCATCCCCGGTGCGAGAGCGAAAGAAGACACCAGTTCCATCCGCCTTCTTCCAAGAGGCAGAGCCAAATGGCATTGACATCACGCCTATCTCCCCCAATTCGCAGGCAAAGAGGCCGACATCCCGCAGGCATACAGGCATCACAACTCCTCTCGCATATTATGCGCACCTGAGTTCTTTGCATGAGCACTTCAGCCAGGTTGTAGACATCATCGGTGTATGCACACAGTCGTCGGCACCGCCGCAAAGATCGAGATCAGGGCCGAAAGACTACCATACCACCTTGCGCTTAGCTGATCCTTCACTCCCCGCTGACCGGCACGCGCCAGTACCTGCCCAGATTTTCCGGCATGCCATGAATGCCATTCCTACAACCACTAGCGGAGACGTTGTGATCCTTCGGAACTTCAAGGTCCAGACTTCTGAAAGAAAGTTCATGCTTTTGAGCACGGAGACATCCTCATGGGCTGTCTTCCAGGCCAAACCCGGCTCAAGTATGAGTTGGTCGGATGTTATCATATCTGGCCCTCCCATTGAGTACGGTCCCACCGAAACCAGTCGAGTCAAGCTTCTCTTCAGCTGGTGGAATTCAGCTGGCAAACAACTATTTTCTGCAAGTACTTCAACAAATGACCATGAAGGTATTGGAGTCAGTTCAGGCGAACCGCGGAGCAGGTCTCCAATTCGCAAAGACGATGGACAACCTCGTCTAAAAGCCCAACCTGCCAGCGGCCGTCGGACAGCCAACATGACTAGCGATTTCGGCAACGAGAACGCGGTGGAGAATTTCTATGCGTCTTTTGCGAACGGGGACAACGTCGACGTGACAGACGACACTGCCGACGAAGAAACTGCCCACGGTGTTCCTGAAAGTTCCGCTGACGGAAGTGAAGTGAACCTGAATGACCGCGCCGTCAAAGAAGCCGAGATAAATGTTCGGCCTGCTCAGCAGACCAGTAGGCGCAAGGCCAACAGGACTGATCACACTGGCAATGAAGGCGACGAAGACGTGAACATGATAGAAGATGATCGTGAGAAGAGCGCTCCTCTGACGGATGCAACCAACCACCGCAGACAATCCACCGTGTCCATAGCGGCATCAGAGCCGGGCAGAACCGTCACCCCACGAAGAAGCACCAGACAGAAGCATAAGAAGTCCCCGAGTTTGGTGCACGAATTGCGTGATGGGACCAAGTACGTCGATGACGATCGAAGGAGGAGCGGAAGTGTCGTGCATGAGTTGAGGGATGGTGTTACTTATGTTGATTAACAGCATCACTGTGTCATGGTCATAGGCGGGAGTCTCGCCGATATCGACCGCTCGAAGCAGCACATCGATAAGCTCGAATCGAGCTTGTAGTGTTAGAAAGCACATAACACGTAATGCATAATATCCTCGCATGGACGCATTGGTTTCACTGATTCAGTTCTACCTCGATCTTCGCGTGCTGCAGCCAGCGTGTTCATGTACATTGTCTTCTCGAGCCATCTGTCCACCACTGATCGACCTCGCCTACCACTCGTTCACAAAAACGTCAAACCCAACGCACTCACCACACTCAGCCCGACAACCGTCCACCCAGTGTAGATAACTTGCTTGTTCGTCAAGCTCGCGCCCGTGTCCCAGACTAGATGCCTAATCCCGTTCAATCCATGATACGTGAAGGGGAAGGCGACCGCGCCCTTGAACAGAACCTTGGCCAGGACCGGCCAGGCGGCGAAACTTGCGGCCAGGGATGCGCTCTCGAGATGCCACCCGAAGAGCGGGGCGACAAGGTACGCAGCGCCGAAGACGTAGATTCCGCTGGAGAGAACGGCGCCCGTGATGCGGTTGAGGGCCGAGCCGTACCACGTTATTTGCGGGCGGTAGATGGAGAGGTGGGGTGAGATCTGGGGGTAAATGTGCTACGTTAGAACTTTGGATGACTTGCGGTCAGGGCAGTGGAAGAGAACTCACGGGACGGTTGAGGCGTTGATTTGCGAGGATCTCTTGGCCGCTCGATTGCGAGACTGTGGATGTCGTTGCTGGTCTGGAGGACGGAGACGGAGAGAGAGACAGTTAGCATGATAATACGTTGTAGACTTTGTGAGGGGTTGTTCAGGAGAACGAGACGAGCGTCCGGTCTCGAGATATCAAGCATCTGCTTTTCCTGCTCTTCTTCTTGTTCTTTCCCATCTGTCTCCCGAGATGCAGGTGTACATCTGTCGCCTGTCGGAGCCGGAGTAGTTCCTGCATCTTCTTCGACTTGTCCTCCTCTGCGATAGACCTTCTCTGGGAGAAACCACCGCGTTGCAGGGATGCGAGGACTGACCTGATCTGTACATTCTGAGAGGTCGCAATGGCTGCTGGGGCCGATAATCTCGACAGAGGCGTCTTGCCCAGTGTGGAGGGGTTTGCTGCGAGGACTTTGTCGACTTATTAGTTTCTCGGTTGGCATCTCGTTTTAGGCCGATGGGGGACTTACGTCGCCGTTGCGTTAGCTGCAGCGCCCTGCGCGAGAACATGTTGGCCGACATGGCTGCTGCGAGGAGTCGTTGTCGGAGTGGCAGTTGAGCTGGTCGCTTGGAGCTTCACAGGCTCATGATGTCGAGAGGTTCGGATCGGAACATTGGGGAACCGCGGAAGAGAGCGCTTGGCAGTCACGTGAGAGCTGATTATCTTTGGCTCGGTTTTGATTTGCTGGGAGTTGGATAGGCGAGCGGCTACAAGCTGCCACGTGACAGTGTACCATCATGGCGGCATCCGGAGCACATTCAAAATTTGACTTCGTACAGATATTATCCCCAAGTCAGATACTCCATACATATACGCGGCATTACAGAGTATACTTAAAATGCGTGCGTTCTTGAGCATGATCGATCAGTGCGACCTCAGTATCAGTCTGGAGACTGCACGTCATCTATGGCTGGAACTGTGTGGGTGAGACACCAAGTTGCTGACGCCGGAAAGACTGGTTCATTGCATCTATTTTGACAGATGATCGGACACCCTGAAGCGTATTTATCAGGGGACATTCTCGGTACAGCATCATCGCGATGACAACGCGAAGTCTCCATGACCCGCAAAACCATATCTGGACATCAGGCAGTTTGCAGCGCGTGTTCTGCTTCACACGACAACGAAGTAATATCTGGTTGAGATTCAAATCCACAGTATACTGTCTTCTGCACTCTCAGTGTTTACCGCGTGAAGAGGGGCAACTAACCATGGTGCCAGTGTCGGTGCCAGTGCCAGTGGTGTTGGTATGATTGACAATGAAGGAGGACCCGGCCCTATTTTGCCTTGCTGAGGGGAGCCTTGTTCCATGATTGTCGAGATGTCTTCCTTATCAGCAGATGCAACCATGGAATCGCCGTGGAGCTGTGACACAGAGACAGCTGTCTCACAAGACACTGCCGAGAGAAAGAGTGTACAACTTCACCCGTGCCAAATCAACTCTTGTGAACAAGGCGATTCACCTGTAAGTATGTGCACTACGCTTACAAGGAAACGGCTCTCTCATGATATACGATATTCGGACATTCGGCGGACTCTGCAGTGCCGCCGGGCGACTGTAAAGCTAGGCCTTCACATATCGTCTTCGATATACCTCCTTTTTTGGACAACATGGTCAGGGCTAGCAGCAGCGTGCCTTGCCATGGCCCCTAGGAAGGACCTAGGTGCTGTCCTTTTGCTTCGCCGGAGAAAGTGTCACAGCGGAGGCCATGATGCCGAAGTCCTCGTGACTTTTTCCGGTCTGGGGACATGCACCGTCTCGCAGGAGGACGACATCTTCACTGCAGACAGCCTTATCGCGTTATCGCTGTGCTGTACCATCGCAATGTTGAAGTCTTTCCAAGTCGTGCTCGTTCCAACCCGCATGTCCTCAACACTCTCCTTCGACCGGCATATTGTCATTGTCTAAGCAAGAAAATTCACCTCATGTCTACCCAGGTTGTCCCAAGAAGACCACGAGGCAGACCTCGCAAGGACACACGGCCTGCGCTCCCAGGTCTTGTTACATACGAGTTTAACACACTCGCCGACCCGTGCATGACCCTCCGTTACAACCCCAGCAAGAAATGCCTGTGTGCCTACCAAAGTACCATCGAGATCGGCGACTCGCTCTGTCCTTATCATGGATGCTACGGCGACAAAAGCAAGACATTCTCACGCAAGGATACAGCCTCCACTCCGGTGCCGAGAAAGAGGAAGAGAGATGACGATCAGGAGGCAGAAGAGCAGGATCACGGACCTCAACTGAGCCCTGGACTGACACTGACTGACAAACGACAAGCAACCCGTCGCATTAGTCCAGAGAACGTCGCAGAAGAGCGCGTCAATGCTGGACCATGTCTGCTGAAGGAACAAGCACAGCAACTTCTACATGATGGAAGCCCTTTTGACCAACACCCAGATGCCTCTCCGAACAGCGAGATAGGTCCTCTGGTAGAGATTGACTTCCTTAAGGCGCCTCTAGAAGCTCGAAAGCTCATCTACCGCTATCTCCTTGTGCCGTCCTCCAAATCAATCACCTTCCCCAGTCAACAGGCCAGCAACACTTTCAGCGAGCTGAATCCCGAACTACAAACCAATATCCTCTTCACGCACCCTGTAGTGTACAATGAATGCAGGCCGATCCTCTATGGCGAGAACATCTTTGTGGCCCGGAGTGCGACAGATTTTTTCTTGCCCACTGGCATCCAAGGTCTTCGACCAGCTACTGCACGAAGAATCAAACACATCTCAATCGTCAGGAAAGGTACGGCGAACCAATGCGACATCACCAGCCACGCGCTGGCGTCGTCCTTGCACAGCATGGTTCTTCAATCCCCAGCTTTCCTCGGCCTTCGCACCATCACCTTCCGCTTCGAGGTCGGCCGACCAGTCCACATGAACCTGTTCACTCTACAGATGTACCTCAGCAGCCATAACGTGACAGCTGATGTCCGAGCGATGTACAAGAAGGCCAAGGTTGTAAAAGACGCGGCTGCGAAAGTGGCGTTCAAAGCACTGCAGAAGGGCTCGCCGTTCCAAGGACTGTGTCTTGTTGAAGAGTCAGAGCATACCATCTGGATTCCGGGAAGAGGACGAGGAAGTCATACCGTGAATGTGAATGAAGTGTGCCTGTTCAGGACCTCCGAGGCTGGCGACACATACGAGGAGGAAAAGCAGATGTTGCGCACATCAATCTTGGACGTGCTGCGTGGCGAAAAACTGAACGATGTGCCAGGAGCGGATCGACGATACGAGTGGTTCTGCAGGAAATGTCCCAATTGAGCTGCCACAGAATGTGCTTCAAATAGGAGGAACTGGCCAGGATATGATCACGCCGGCGTGGTTGGAAAGCTCTACCTGACGATCTGCTTACGAGGCTACGACACGCGATAGTCATGCAGCACGTCCATCAGAGCTGTTCTGTAGAGACAAGCCTTCTGCCAAGAGAGGGATCTCAGACGGAGAACAAGTTGTACTAGAAGACAATGACAATTGCCTATTTCCCTCCCTGGCGTTCAGTTCGATCGTACTTGTGTTTGTCGTTACACAATAGTGCTCAGCCTACGGACCTTGCCATCCCAGCCTCTGTGTGAGTGTCAGAGACGCATTCGGCCACTTACTGATCCACCGTATTCCACTACTGCACAGCACTAATCGTGCCCTGCCATTTGGTCGGGCTTCAAATTTCTTCCAAGCTGCCTTAAGCAAACCTCTTCTTCTTTCTACCACGGACTCCAGCTTGGCAGCTCACATTCACGGCACATGACTATTGCCAATGAAGTGGTCTCAGCATTCTAGCTTGATGACGGAGTCTCAGAAGGACCCTTCACCTGTCGTTAATCACCCGCGCGAGCCGTTCCAATGACTCCGGGGGCTTCATATCAAGGTTACATTTCATCATGAGCACAGAAGATACAAACATGGGGCAACGGCAGAAAGCCAGCCACCCCAGAACGGTTTTGTTCCCAAGCGAGCCTAAGATCGATCTCTCTCGCATCCCACAAAAGTAATGTTCGCCAACCCTGAGATTACATCTCTCGAATTCGATGATGGAAAAAAGCCACCAACTCCAAAATCCCTATGATCTAGGACCACTAGCCACCTTCACAATCCCTTGCACATGATCCAATCCATCTGGATACACTTGCCCATCTTGAACTCATGGTCCCCAACCTTTGTGAACCCCAAGCCCTCATATACCCTTTGGGCCTTGAAATTGCCTTCCCAAACACCCAACCACAATGACCTGTACCCTAAGCTCTGGGCGAGCAATTCGATCTCACGCGCCAGGGTTTTTCCTACCCCGCGACCGTGGTGCGCTGTCGAGACGTATAAGCGCTGAAGCTCGACGCTTGAGCGGAGATGAGAAAGGCATGGCTCCGTTGTCCCTTCGGTGAGTTGTGCAAAGCCGATTACTCTGTCGTCGTCTTCGTCTCCGGCTTCGGCGTCGGCATCGTCGCTACTGTCCTCACTAACCCTCCCGTCGCCCGAAAAGGCGGATCCTTGCCTTGAGTCAATCGACTTCGCTCTCGTGCAAGCCACGAGGACATGCTTCGTCGGACAGCGAATATCCTCCTCAATGGCTTCCGCGGTGTATGCCTCGTTCAGGAAAGCCGTCAGGTCGTGCGGAGGAATGGAGAAGCCAAAAGTTGCAGAGAAAACCGTTGCCCCGAGGTGCGCAATTGCCGGCGCGTCCCTCACTGTTGCCGGTCGGACTCTAAAGGACGGGCTTGTCTCCTTTGGATCATCAGGCAAACTTGTCCGTGAACTGGCAACGCTGATTCTTGTCTGGACGCTTGACGGCGGGGATGATTGCGAGTCGTAGGCAAAATCCGGCGCCGGAACCGGTGATGGCAGGGGTAGTGGATGTTGTTGAACGAGCATCATCACCAGTCGGGTCAGTCTTAAAATTTCCGTTGACACAATCCCTTCGCGCAACTCAATTCAGGGTGGTCCTGATATAAGGCGTGTACAACTCGTGAGCGTTGTGTGAATCTTTCCAAAGCGTGCCTGTAACTGTGTACGTTGGGATATCTTCGACCTTTGGCGCACTCAACTTGCTGGACTCGGGTGACAAATCGAGAGAGAGAAATCGACCATCGGAGATCTATGGGTATATCGCCAACTGCACAGTTCAGACGTCCTCAGGCAGGGCCAACCATATATCATCTATGCGCCCAGACCAGCACCACCAGGGTGGCGGGATGATACTATAAAGGAGGCTAAAAAAAAAGAAGCAAAAACTTTCCACGCCTCGCACATGTACTGTACGCCCTGCAGGAATGCCACAGTTGACGAGAGGACGATGATGTCCGACACAACACGTACATACCGGGTACTGTACGGGAGGACACAGGACTCGTACCTCGTGCGGTGGCAGTGGCTGGCGCGCAGTAGGTGCAGTGGCGTACCTCTAACACAGCACGGACACGAGGCGGGGAAGGGCAGCAGCACCCCTGTGACGAGACCCCTCCAAGGCCCACGCCCTGCAGGATACGAGTACTAGTACCTAGAGACATCCCCCCTGACATGTCATCCCGGCGTCACGCCCTGCCACAGACAGCGTCTATCTGTCTGTCTGTCTCTCTGGACTCTTGCGCCTTTTCACACATACCTGGTACGCAATGCAATATCCATGTTCGCCCTTGCGTCGTGCGGTGAGCACTTGCCACCAACTCCAACTGGGCATGACATGATTATCGTGCAGCAATGCCTCAATACGCAATCAGAACGCATTACGCAGTAGATCTCTGATTAGAGAGGACTCGAACTCGAACTCGTACCCGTCGGCTTTCACGGGAAGAAATGCCCACAACGACAACACCGTACATAACAGTCCGCGATAATGCAATGCAATGCCGAACGCGTGATTTGATTCTTGGCTACATAACAGGCTGGAACAGTATGGAAGAAATATTTCGTGACTCGTTAAAACCTCGATTGAGATACTCGTTAAGGTGGACTGCGAGACCAAAAAGCACGGAACATTGCGCCCGCGGGGGAGGGAGGGAAAGGATGGAGGGGGGGCCTGACCGCCGCTGATATCCGACACCAGCCGTTGGTCCGTTGGTTCGTTCCTTGCGCTGGCTGGCTTGCTTGATTCGACTCAGGCAATCCTGACTTTCGCCCTGCCGCCCTGCCGCCCCTGCCCAAATCAATAACCCGAAAAAAAAAACCCCATCCTTGGCTGGACTTCTTATGGTGCTGTATATATATATGTATGCATGTATGCGTGCATGTGGGTGCGTATGGCGATGATGTCCCGGCACACCTTGTCTCACTGCTTGCTGTTCGACTGCTCAGATGTGGAGAAAGGGAAGGAGGCCCTCCCAGTGGCTCTGGATTTAGGTTCGGGTTCGAATCGAAGGTCAGGTTCGGACTCTCGTCGTGGTATTTCTCTCTCGTAACAAAAGGGTCGACTCGCCACTGTGTCCGTCCAGCTTTGACGAGCCTCCCCATGGGGAAGCAGAAGGGGGATCGGACACGGTGACCTACATGCACGCATGCATACATACATGCATACTGTAGGAGGCGACGGCGCACGCGATCGGGAGGCGTGAAACTCGAACCTAAAAACTTTGCTCCCGTGTCGTAGTGACGTGTGGATCGGAAGTCGTAGGGAGGAGAGGACCAGTGCAATCTCCTGCTAGCGGGACAATGCGGAATCAGGGTCTTGTCTTGGTTTTGGGCGCAGAGTTTTTGCACTTTCTGCCTTTCGACCTGGAGACGTACTGTAGCAACGACGACCTTTCCGTTTGACTGAGAGGGACCCGGATGTCATTCGCTGCCTTTTGACCTGGGATGCCGGGTTGAGGAGCCCAGCTGGAGCTGGGTAACATGCGAGAAGATCTGGCAGAGTCGATGACGAGGCCGGTTTTTGGCGTGCAGCCAGCGGTCGATCCGTGAAGATTTGATCTCGGAGGACTGGAGACCAGAGCTCGACTTGATTATTTGTCCTTGTCACTGAATTGGCTTTTGTACGAGGTGTCGAGCAACCCGCCTGATGCAGAGCTCGAGGGCACGGCTATCCTCGTGCGGCCCTCTCGAGAAGACGTGACCGAGAGATTGGCGAGATCTGCCGGTTGCTGACAGCTGATTGACATGTTCCTGGCGGAACGGCTCGTGGGGATTACGAACATCCCGGCAAACTCTCTCCTCAGCATGGGAACAGCGGTAATGACATGGGTGCTGGACTGCATCTTTTCTGTTGATTTTTCTGTTTTTTCCTCTTCTTATTCTTGCCGGTTTTATCGCTTTTGGTCGGTGTCAGGAAACGATATAAACAAAACTCAAACAAGGCAAATTACTGTCTTCGGAAAATAACACTCAAGCAAGCGCGAGAAATTGCAAGCACGATGAGAACGACCTCCGGACCAGCGCCGTCCGCCGACATCCAGACAAAAATCATCTTCCAGCCTTTGTTGCCCGCTTGGTGGTCGAGAATTTTTGACTGGGGCGGCATTTCACCACGGCGTCAAAGGTCCCCGGAGAGAGGTTTACCCTTTCCAGAGTCTACCACAGGACGGCCGAGTTAGCATGACCTGACTCTGGCACGGCGGGGACTCATCTTCACGTTACTTACGACGAAGGGTTTTGGTTCGGGTCCTCAAGAGCTCAAAGACAGCTTCCTTGTCGACGCTGAGCTTGTCGGCAATGGTATTGTTCTGATTATAGCGGAGATACTGGATGTAACTCTCGACTTTGCGTTCCTGGACGTCGGTGCCCATATCGTCCCAGATGGGCGGATCGGGCCCTAGAAACTTTCCCGCCTCCTGCCGGGCCTTGCGCATCTCCCGGGCGTTCAGGCCGAGTTTGGTCCAGACAGACATTTTGGGATAAGACAGAACAATCGTGCGTCAGCCGTTGTGCGAGATCAGAGATTGTGATACAGAGTATTGCGTGTGGTGTGTTGCCTCTGGTCGTGGTTGACGTGAAGATGCCATCGAACGGGGTTTCATGACAAGTGACGTGTCGATTTCTCGTAGGCGCTTAGCAGACCGTCTTACGTGTTGGCAATATGGTGTTGTGGTTGAAGTCTGAGAGTTCAGTTTATCAAAGTTCCGACCAAGGTGTTGGTCGCAAACCGATACTCGCGACAGAAACCAATGGGTGGAAGGCTGGGCGGCCGAACGAGGCTGCGATTCCATGCGAACCAGTCCTTTTCCCTCACCTCCAACTTACTCCTTACCGAGAACTCCATACAGGTGCTCCATACTCGGCGCGTATGAAAGCATGAACGACCATCTCGAAGTCGTTCCGGCGTGCCTGCCGAGGCGACCGTCGCAGGCACGACCACCTAGCGGCTGCTGATCGATGTAGCAGCAGCATCGATCAACCGACCGATCGAAGCCATCGGAATCCTCATTCCATGCAAGCAGTATCCAAGGACCACTACACCTGACGATCGACGGTGCCCTACCGTACGGAGGACTCGTGTTGCTCCTTCACATGACTCCCATCACCAGCCAGACGAACCGGTTCGTTGGCGCCCCTCGAACCGACACCACCAACGCCAAGAGAGTCCAGGCAAACCTAACAGGCGATTACGCATTGAGAGCCTCGGGGAGTACGGCGGCGGCTACCTCGTCGACTCATCTCATTTGGCGGCTGCGGAGCCGAAATTGGATCAGTCCAGGTGAGAAAGCAAGCGGCGTGCTGAAGCGATGGTCCGAAAACTGACCACGCCGTGGGGCGGTGGGCACTTTACGAGGTCGTGGAGAGGTAGCACGCCGGTCATCTTCAAGCGAGACCATCTCGATCCACACGAGGTAAGGAGAGCGCGGCTGAGACTGGCCGTGGGGATTCCTCGCTCCTGAGATTGAGATCAACAGTGGAGGTCGGATGTTGTCCCGGTCCAACCCTCTGAGCATCTCTTGAGCACTGCTGACCGCTCGGTATGCTTGGTGGTTCGATGCATCTTCAAAGCAATTGATCCAGTGGTTGACTGGGGCAAAACTCTCTGTCGACAAGTCAAAATTCAATTGATGCCCTCAACTGGCAGGCCTGAAATATGGGGTATCTATTGAAGGTCATATGTGCTCTGGCAAAATGTCACACATCCATACATCAAGAATATTCATCACGAGGGAGGGACAGACTGTATCTCAATCCCTGCTCCGATTTGGAGTCCACCTCCGGACATTGACATCCCTTATTTTGTACTTCGAGAGTAACATGCCAATGTCAACATCCTTGGCCTTGGCCGTGTCGTTAGCCTCGCTTTTTAGCGGAGGCGGAATATCCACATAACACAGCACCAGCTGTTTATGCACCTGAGCCTGTACACGATTTACGCCATGCAGCCACCACCAGTTCTTCTTGCTCGTCTTCCTTTCGATCGCTTTCCTCTCTTCGGCCGTGGTTGACTCGGTCCAATATCGATGTGTGTATGAAGGAATAATGACGACTGCGAACTCGGCGTGATAAAACGCGGGCCCGCGGTTATATAAAAGGTAATCTGTGGAGAATTTCACCCCAGAGCGCACAACCCAACCCAGAGAGCGGTAATGGTGGTAGACAGCGTATGAGATCATGAAAGGGTCGTCTGGCTCAGCGGGCAGGGAAAGTGACCGTGGCGGATGATATGAGTGTCTCCGGAATAGTGAAAGAAGCGACGTTGGTGGCAGGACGGTCGTGCTGTCATCACAATATACGTTGAGCACACCCAAGCCGTAAGAGAGGAAAAAAGCTTCTTCTAGGGATATGCTCAAATGCTCTTGATTTTGTTGCTCAATGGGGGCTTCTGGTACCGGCTTCGCATCTTCCAGTGGCGACGTACCCGGGGACTTGATGGGTGAGATTACCGGAGAGGTCAGATCGAATTCTCTAGCCTCGACAGTCGGCGAGAAGTGAACTGTTTTGGCTCGTCGTAAGCGCTCCACTGGTCGGGCGTCAGCTAGACTGGTCTCTGAACACGTCGAAGTCGGTGGAGGCGTCGGCAGCCCATTCGTCTCGATAGCTTTTTTCCACTCTTCGAACCCTTCTATCGACCCGTTTTCTTTGTCATCTTCAGGCGTTGGCGTGGCAGTGCCGCTAGCCGACTCAAGCACTCCATCAATGTTGCTTATATTCTGCACATTGCTCTTGAGAACGTTGAGCCTGGAAATACTGTTGATGTGGTCGTTGATATCAGTGGTCTGTGGAGGTTCACTTATAATCATTTGCTCATCCGGCGTCCGATTTGTGTGCTCATTCAGACGACCATTCTGCTCAGGCTTGTTCGGTCGCACGTTTCCATTGGTACCGTCTATTTGGCCAAAGGCAGTATAACCCTGCTGCGATTCCTCGGAAAGCTTGTGGTCAATCTCTTCCTGCTCTTTTCTCGCTCGTTCATGCTTCAGCTGCCTGCGCTGCTCGCGCCTCGCCGCAGTATTCTCCTCAGCCGTCTTGCCCTTCTTCTTTCTGTTCTCCAACCAGTTTGGCTCACTCCGACTGAGACTCCCCCTACCGAAGAAGCCCATTTCCCAAAGCTTGCGTATTGTGTCTGGGTCGCTTACGTGTATGGATGATGTTGCTGACGAAAAGTAGCCATCGTAGGTGGGTCGAGGTGGCGGGACAATAACTTGAGCAAGGTACGAGAGGGCGATTGCGACTAGTGAAAGCGGATTGTGAGGGATGAGGACGGGCAAAGGATAAACTTCGAGAGGGAGAAGGTGTCGATGGATATGGTTGTAATTAGGTCTCTTTGGCCGTCGTTGAGGCTTGGTCGTCGCTGGCTTGGATGTTGGGACTTCAGCAGGTGCCGGTTGCTCGAAAGCTGAGGCCATGCTGAGTGTCTGCGTTCGTGGTCAGCCTTGTAGAATTTTCACATGCTTCCACATCGAGTCCAAAAAAAATCAAAATTGTGAGAGTCCGTCACTCAGATACCGTTGTAGTCTAATACAAGAAGCCCACACTGAAGAGTAGCTGAAATCAAAGTGCTACCTTCTAGGCCACGAAAATGGTCATCACCGGACAGAAGGGGGTGTAGTGTTGCATGATTCACATGGTTGGGCAGCATACTCACATTACATCCGGATCGCCGTTGAGTAAGAGAGGAGTCAGGGCGGTCTCACATTGAGGTGGGAGCGTCCATCCGAGCTTGGTGGCAGCCTGGAGAGCAGTGCGCACGGTAGCAGGCGAGATCCCGCGTGTCAGAAAAGGAAGTCTTGCAGTCAAATCGACTCGGTGTCGCGGTCGGATTGATGAGTGAGTGTGCAGGCAGTGGACTGACCTGACTGACCCGAAACTGCAATAGGTTTGACCTCAGCCTCTGCTCCCCGCAATTTTCATCGACAAAGGAAATTTTTGGATCGCGCTTTCCTGCCGATTTTGCACTCTCCAACCACGTCAGAGCAATTTGATATCAAGAGCCGACCGAACACCACAACCTGTAGCACAGTTCGCAGTGAAGATTCGACCGAAGACAACCGGGCGCAAAGATGCATCTGATGTACACTGAAGACCCGGCGACGGGCAGAAGGATATACACCTTGAAAAAAGTCCTTGACGGGACCGTCACAAAGTCTGCACATCCTGCTAGATTTTCTCCAGACGACAAGTATTCGAGGTGAGAAGCACGCGATATGATGTGGTCCAGGCAAAACTGACATCGCCCGCAGGCATCGAGTGACCCTGAAGAAGCGCTATGGCCTCCTTCTCACCCAGCAGAGTACGCTCCGCTCCTCCACATGAGTCTCCTCGCCTGCGACTGACACGCACCTACCAGAAGATGAGAAGAAATGAGCAACTCTTACTTGCGGGTTCACAAGGCGTTAAGGACACGGTGCTAGCAGATCAGGGAACAGGATACCCAGAGATACTCGAGGATGGCCATCTTCAGCGGGTTATCAATTCATTCATGGTCGATTGATCATTTCATACGAACTTCTGGTTCATCTCTTCCTCGAATTGACCGCCCGTCCTGCTCCAACTCGCACCCTACCTCCTCCTCCCGTCCTTTCACCGGACAAAATCCCCGGCAGAAAGTCTTCGTCCATCAAGTCCTTTATTCGCTTGGCATCTCTCTCCTTGCTCTTCACGTCCCTGACATACTCCTTTTGGTCCTCCGCGAGAATCAAGTCGTTGCCCCAGCCCCCCTTCCCACCACCACCGTGCCGAGGCCCTTGCCATTTCTGGTTCGCTGTCCCGCTTGTAGGTTTAGGGATGGAGTAGATATTTCCTTTATTGTTCCATTGCATATTCTTCTTCAGGTGGAGCTTAACCTCTCCCTTGTCATTCGTCGTGCAACTCACTCGTGTGAGCGTGGGCTTTCCGCATCGTGGGCAGAACTGTTTATCCATTTGTTTTGTTGTGGAGAAACAGGCGTGGCATCGCAGGACGAATTGCTTGATTTGAGAGATTCGCTGGCAGGTCTTTGAGGAGAGAAGATTCAGGTTCATCTGAAGCAGGACGTTCTGCATTGCAAAATCGCCGGTCACAGTCGCAACCTGGAGGGTCTTCGGGGGTGATTGGGAGGATTTGCTGGAAGCAGATTCATCTTTCGCTTGTCGACGTTTGATGTTCGAGGGAGTTATCCAGCCCTCATCTGAGTCTGAGGCTCCCCCTGGCGGTTCGGTCGTCAATCCTTCCGGGGGCTCCTCCGTCTGCGATGTGATTGCATCAGTGGTATCCTCGGTTACATTCCTTGCCTGCTCTTCTGTCACTTGTGCATCATCCACATTGAGCGTCTCTACTTGCTTCATGATGCCATCAGCCTGTGTCTCCAGTTCACCATGACCGGCATCGTCATCCTCAGCACTGGCCCCCATCTTTTGTTCGTCAGTCTCATCCTCCTTCTGCGGCGGCTTCCCATTGACTCTCTTCTGCCCTGGAACGCTTCGTAATCGCCAATCTCCCCCATTTCTTTCACACTCAACCTCATACGCCAATCCAAGGATCTCGAAATCCGTCGCACTTAGCACAGCTGCATCGCCTGTGCGTCTAGCAAACTCCTTCACAACTTTGATACTCGCAGGTTTCGGTGTGCGGACTGTAAGGAACGGCTTATAGAGCGTTTCAACTCTATTTCGAGCCTCTTCGCCTCTAATTTCGGAGAGAACGGACGGAGTCGTCAAGAGGATGTGCCCATTCGCTAGAAGTGTGGAGATGGAGGGGGTGTTGAGCAGGAGAGGAGATGCATCAAGGATAATGGTATGGATGGGCTTCTTCTCGACCTCGAGAGAGGCGTGCGAGGGTTCGGCCATTATGGGACAATTTGCTGCGTGTCGGGAAGGGAGTGCTGTGATGTTGTCGCTGTTCGTGTTCGCACATGTTAAAATTCCCCGCCTGAAAATTGTAGCGCTGGTTGGAGTCGTTCGCTATCTTATCGGTGGCTTATGTAAGCGTACCCTCCTGCGCTCCTGCGCTTCGGCTCCTGCCAAGGATCGCTCATCCTCAAGTATTGTCGTCTGTCTTCCCGTCCCTCGAAACGACACACATAACGGAGAGTTGCCTCAGGTTTTCTGAACGGACTGTTGTCTCACTTATCTGAATAGCCCTGTGCTACTCAGGACTCGCAAACTCTGCGTGGCAGATAAAAGGTAGGATAAAATGCAAGCATTGTTCAGGCTCCAAAGCTCGATCCCCAGACACTCAGAGTCGAAGCATCAAGCTCGCCCATGTTTGCAAAAGTCCAGACGGAACACATACCAGCAATCAGCCGAATGTTTAACAGCGACAGTCACTCGTACCTTCCCTGAACCCAGATCTGACCTATGGAGATCCGACTCGGAGCCTCGAGAAGGGCAAATCCAACACAGCAGAACTCATGGGTCAAAGTCCTTGCCTTTGGTGCTAGCATGGACAAGGCCGTCACGACGCCGCTCCCTGTCGTGGCGTCATGCAATCTTCCTCGATCTTGGTCTAATTGCTGAAGCCTCCTTGCAAGCCTCGTACTCCGGTAGATACCCAGGACTGTGTGCACACTGACCCAGCTATAGGGAAGGTCTTTCTCCCACAACGGAGCTTCGGGAATACTCATGGTATCCGACGCGTACACTCCGGCTGAAGTACTCCAATTTCCATTCCTCAATAGGAGTGGCATGGTGAAAGGTTTGGCTGAATGACCTGGAGAGACGCTGATGCGAATGACTAGCACTGTACACGACGACGCGGCTGTTTCAGGGTCGATGACTGCACTGCCATCCTCTTTCTGTATTTGAATTTCTCGCAGAAACTGTGAACCCTGGCGATTTTAACGCCTTATCCACCAAGTCCCTCCGACATACGCTGCGTTTGCGTCGGATCAATTCACCTAACTCAATTGGAAGCGACTCAGATCTTTGTGAGGGTTTGCTGAAATGCCTCCTCTCGACAGGGATTTACTGCTGTATTCCAGCATTCGGCAATTGTGTCAGCGGATTTGATGATATGATGGTTTGCGCAACGACTGAAGCTTCAAGTCAACGTTTTCAATGAGTCGAGATTTCGAGAGTTATCCACCAACCTCCAGTTTCCATCCATTGACAGAGTACTTCACCCGGACTTCATCAGCTCATTATTTCCCGCTCATTCCTGAGCTTCATCATTACCGTAGTGACAGCCCATTTGATCCTGACATCACCGAGGCTTCAGACGAATCAACAGCGGGTCCTTCTGCCAGAAGATGAACGTCTGCTGTTCACCCCAGTCCTTGATCCTCGGAGTAACGTCCCAGGTGATGTCGAATGCGTACAACAATCTCGCCAAAATTAGTCGCATCTCCGCCCAGGCGAATTTCTGTCCTATGCACATATGTCGCCCAACCAGGAAGGGATTGAAGGCGGCCAAATTATCACATGGACTAGGTGTTTCTGCTGAGAGGAAACGCTCCGGAATATATTCGTTGGGGTTACTGAAATTCGCAGCGGAGCGGAACGCCGGGTATTGGTTGACCGTCACGAAAGTCTGCCCGAGCGATCAGCATATACACAGCAAGTCGATGGATGGACGGGAAATGATGCATGATGGATCGTGTCTTACTCCTCCTGGCACCCATCCATCGCAGATCTCCTCCCCTGATGCCGGCACAATGCGAGGGACAGTGACAGCACTGGGCGGCCCCAGGCGCAAGCCTTCATTAATCACAGCGGTCAGATACTCCAGCCCACCTACGCTAGCGACATCAATGTCCTCCTCGTGCTGAAATGCAGATCGGACCTCGGCCGCCACCCGCGTCATTGCCCGCGGCGAGTTCAGCAGCCCAAACAAGACCGACGCCATGGCCGTGCTGCTCGTCTCGCTCCCCGCAAACACAATCACACTCATGTTCAGCTCCAACTCCTGCGGCGTCACCTTCTCGCCCTCGCTCTTCTCCCGGTCAGTATTATAGTTCAGCACAGCCTGGACGAAATCCGCCCTCTCGCCCTCCAGCTGCAACCGCTGTCTCACCTTCCGGGTGCTCAGCTCGCGATGGTAGACCATCTTCTCCCGCACAGCCCTTGGCATCGCATACCGCAGTACCTTCTGCAGCGGCGCGAAGTAATTCAGACTCGCGGCCAATGCGATCCCCTTGCCGAACCGACACGCAATCTCAACCCAAGGATGCGGCCTTCCCTGCTCCGTACTCCCGAAGGACTCCCCGAACGACAAGTCCGCCGAGATATCGAACGTCACGAAATTCAACCAGGACACGATGTCCACGACCGCAGCGCCATCATCCCTTGACCCATCATCGGCTATGGCGCGGAACTTCCGCACCATCAATGCAACGTACTTCTCGATCAACGGCGCTTGGTCCCGCACTGCTTTCTCGCTAAAGGCGCCCATGAACGCGCGACGGAACCGGGTGTGCGCCTCCTCGTTGCTCGACATGATCGCCTCGGGCTCATCAGCGCGTTGTTTGCGGAACCAGATCCCGTTGCGCTCTATGGGGGCGCGCGCGTGGCCGAGGCGCGCAGACCCACTAAGCTTGCCAATGTAGATATCCTTCCAGGCTCGGGGGTCCACGTACGAGAGTTCATCGGGTGCGACGCGCACAATTGGTCCGTATTTGTCGTGCAGGGCCAGCAGGTCGCGGTGGAGGTAGCCGCGTTGGAGGGCCAGGACCCAGGTGAGGCGGGTGGCTCGCCATGCGAGGGGCCCAGGATATTCTCGTAGCGGGTGGAAGTAGATGTTGTACACAATCCTGATGACGACGTAGAGTGTTAGCGCGGAGACGAGGAACGTCAGTGCTCGGATGGCGGTCTGTAGAGCGATCATCTCGACGGAATCAGGGAAGTTGGTCACTGCGGTGCTATGATAAGGCTGGACGGAGCCACCTCTGCCTGTATAATATGGTGACAGACACACCGAGGATCGGATATGGAGCATGCGTCTTGAGATAAAAGGAGTCTGGTCAGAAGATATCAATCAGACTTTCAACTTTCATTATTGCCTTGCCTATTTGAGTGCGGCTGAGGATGTACAGCGCCTGACAGGGCCGAGATCTAGATCCAAACCTGGCCACGGCAACGTGCATGAATTCGAGCTTGCTGCAGCCGTCTTTGGCGGGAGTTTACAGTGTCAGAATGTCATGATTGGCTTGGAATGAAGTCATGATTGGTACGACGTTGACAACTCTCTTGACAATTTCTCCAATCACGTTGTACTCCGGCTCTGTCTTTCTTCATCTCCCTGCCGTGGGGATACATCCGCGTCGTTGCAGTGACTAGGCCATACCTCTACGTGCTTAGAGAATGAGGGCAAGCGCAAGGCCACCGAACAGTGCGGCTGCACCAGCCGCCCCAGACCGCAAAGGTGCAGCGGCCATGCCAGTGAAGGTCGCACTAGCTGCAGTGCCTGTCGCCGATGCTGTACTCGAACCGCTTCCATCCTGGGTAGTGTTGGAGACAGTCGAGGTCGGCCACGCGGGCACACCGTCTTCAGTGCCATTCACAGGTGGACTCCACGACGCATTGGGGTTCAACACGTTGTCTATGAATATGACAGCGCCCTCTGAGACCGCCAGGTCGACGTAGTTGACTCCCGCGTTGTTGATGAAGTAGTCTCCAGCAGGGGTGATGGAGACGGTAATGTTCTGGCCTTGCAGTGTCGTCAATTGCGTCCCGTTCTGCAGGTCGTCGAAGTGCCAGACACGACCCTGGCTGGCCACGACGTGGTATTTGAGCAGGTCAGCTAGCTCGTCGGTGCTTAAGGCCGAGAGGGCGTCCTCGACGGCGGCGAAACCGTCATTGATGGGGATGAAATACGTTGCGTCGTGGAGAAGGTCGATCTGCTCGGTCAGGCCGGTCTCGTTGAGCGCGGCCACGAAGGAGCTACCGTTGAAGTCTCCGGAGATCACTGTTTCCGAAACGCTGGGTGGGATTTGCAGAACACCGTTGATGGGATAGATCCATCCCTGTGAGAAGGGAATCGGCGTTGCTGGCCCTTCAGGGCTGTAGTCCAGGCCACCGTAGAAGCCCACCACGTTCTCATCGTCATCGTAGTAGAAAGCGACATTCTGTCCGCCCGTCACGTTGGTGTAATTGCTCGAGGTCAAGAGGGTTGGAACAACGAGGTAGTCTGTGATGTTGTCGTATCCACCGTCGAGGACGTGGTACAGGAGCAGGTTCAACAGGTAGTTCTCGCCGCCAGCCTCAAGAGCGTCTCCACGGGACGAATTCAACAGTAGCGCTATGGCCGTGTCGTTAGGAGCGAGGAAGGTGATGTTAGTCTTTCCCGAGATGGCTTCAAGAAAGCCTGGCACCTCAGACACGACCTCACTGATAGTGGAGGTTCCATCGGTGGAGTTCAGCACCGTGGCAAGGTCTGCGGGTGCTTGAGCCAGGGCGGTAGCAACCACAGCAGCAAGAAACAGTCCTTTGGCCGCCATTTTTTTGGAATCAGAAAATAATGTAGGGGCTTGTCAGAAGAGAGAGCCCTTGGGATGTGAAAAATCAGGTTCGAGCGCCCGCGAGGCCAGCATATATGCCCTCAGTAAAAGCCGTTCGACCACCGCTCGGCATTGCGACCTGCATTGCTTGCACCGCATGACTTCTCTGGGGCCTTTGTCGCGCAAGCCGACCAGTCACGGATACGGAGTCGCAGGTATAATGGTGCAAGCATGAAGCATTCGTGCTGGTGGGCTTGTTGACTGGTTCACTGAGCCCAAGGTAGCTCTAACTTAGCTCGCCGAAATACAACGGCCGTCAAGCAACCGAAGCGAGTGGACGCAAGAAGCCGCTTGTGAGGCTTCAAACGTCCCACACCAGCGACCTCGTCGTCCTGGCTGGTGCTTGTACTTGCTAGATGGTGTCATTCTCAACCCTGTCGAGTTTTCCATGGATCACGAGAGTTGTTGAAAAAGTCTGCTCGTACTTTGACTTCTCGAGCCTAATCTGGCAACGTCAGTGTGAGTAGAGCTTGAAAGAGCAAGCTTTTTTGGCCGACACCGGCGAGCTTGAGATGAGAAGCTGCACAGCAACCCGGCCAGACTCGGTGGTGGGAAAAGACAGATGGATCAGTGGATTTACGGGCGGATCTTATCTGATAATCATTATCTGATAAGATGAGAAATTATCGCGCATCGCGATCAATCAATCTGCCAAGCCTTTCCGCTTTTCCTTCGGCGTGTAATTCCACTACCTCTCCTCTCAGAGGCCTTCACCCACTGTGACGCGGAGACTATTGTGCTTCTCATTCAACTTCGTTCTCTTGACCTGTACCTCAGTGCAGAGCTGTCCAAAACCAGGTTATGACCCACACGGATTAAGTTTCCGCTCCAGCTGCCATGGGCAATACAATACGTTCACCACCTCGCAGAGTCGCCTCTGTCTGGCGAAGCTTCTCTATTCTCTCCTTGGCTTCTTCTTTCTCTCCTAGGCTTCCTCCTGCAGAAGACGTCCACAATAAGCGGAGATTTCCGGTGTCGTGCTCTAGAATGTTATTGTATGAAACACCATGTGCTCAATACTGCTCCATATGCTCTGGGCTAGCGCTTGCCGACTCAAGTGCAGCCGGTATCGGTCGAGCTGCACCAACGGTCGACCAAGATTGATCCCTTATGCACTGTCATATTCAAGACTGCAGAAGCTTGGTTAGCATCAAACTTGGGCTGCGGTTGGCAAAGCTTAAAGGCCTACGCTATCCATACAAGGTGATCCCGAAGTTGGTTCTAGGGCAAATCCTACACTGATATACAACTCCTAGGTGCGAAGAGCGAAGCAACTGACCAGTGGGAGTCTCCAGCTTCAATTCATGCCAAGCCGTATTACGATATTTTGTCGGATACGACGACCAAATACTTCTCCAGCCTGCGCTCACATGCAGCTTTGCGTGATGGGTCTTGGTGGGAACATGTTCTCTCACGCCACTCAATCACAGCAGAAGAACGAATGCCTGAGTGTTCGCTTGTGTATTTCCAGGTACCTTCATTGCCACGCCGAGAATGCTCTAGATCAGTTGCCATGCTCGAGACCTACGTCCGAAGCCTCCTCGAATGTTCCCAGATTATTTTCCGCGTGCTCCGAATGCACGCCGCGCAACTAGAGCACTGACCCGACCTATATACCCAGCATATGTGCCCAGAACCGTCCTCTCTCGTTCGTCTCGCAATTCCTTCTTTTGGTAGTGTTCGATTCTGGATGTCCACGATGAGAGTGCTGACGATTTTGCTCGCACTTTCCGTGCTGTCATCTGCATCTGTGGACAAGTACACTGGTTGCTTGGGTGGCATCCAGACTGCCATCTCATCTCTCAATTTCAATGTCACTGATCCCAGTGACTACTACGGCAATGGATGCACTAACGAGCTCCTGGTGAACTCGATGTGGGCAGCGGCCAAGGTCTATTGTACCGCGGAGCAGATCGTCGCCGGCTCAGAACTGTTTGATGGGTACTGCACAGAATATGGCGGTGTTGAACTGGTGTCTTATTCCGAGGTTCTTCCCATCCTCACCAACAGCTATATCAGGTCACTTCCGGTTGCCGAGTACAGCGACCTGGAAAACTTTACGCTCTTCAACACACCGGTCTTGATTTCCAGGTCCCTGTACAAGACATCCAGAGACACTTATGTAAGTGCTTCTGCTTGTTCGCGAATCCACGGGTCTTTTTGACGAGGGAAAGGTAATATTCGACGTTGAATATGTCCTGCACGAAAGATACGGGTACGTCGTACTCCTAGCTTGATCCTTTCGCTTTCCGAGTGTATGCTGACAACTCTCAGCTGGGCAGTGTATGGGTTTTGGGGTGGGCTCCTGCTGATAGGCACTATCAACCGCATTGCCACGCATTTCTTCCACTCTCGCCGCCTAAGAGCTAGGACAGACGTCGAAGGCAGCCAGTCCTCCGATTCCCCACGAAGCCGCTCTGGCCTCACCGGCGCTGCCAGTGCAGTCCATCATTGGCTCAGGGCACATATAATCATTCCGGCGGCATTCGGCTCACACCACACCCGCCCCTTGCTTTGGTCTACCATTCCGACGCGGATGGAGACGATCATTGTGGTGGCTTTCTGGGTCATGACGTTTATTTTGTGCTGCGTCAGCTATTATATCTTCTCGCCCAACCTTTAGTAAGCTCCCTGCGCGTTTTGAATATGAGTCTGGACACCTGCTCATCCGCATCTAGCTATACCGAGCCGCAGCAGGCCTGGCGCTATATCTCGGACCGCACTGGCATAATCTGCTACGCCACCCTGCCCTGGCTGTGGATGTTCGCTGGCAGGAACAACATCTTTCTCTGGCTTACCGGTTGGAGCTTCGCAACATTCAACATCTTCCACCGACATATCGCTCGCTGTGCTACAGTCCTTGCAATTGTCCATTCAGTTGGATGGTCGGTTTTAGAGGCAAACTGTAAGCCCGTGATAATGGTTTCCTATGCTGGCAATCAATGCTGACTTATTCCCCTAGTGGGCTACTTTGCTGAATCATGGACCGAACAATATTGGTACATGGGTGGAATGGTAAGTTCTTCTACCAGCTCTCGGGGTGAACCCCTCGTTAACGTTAGGATAGGCGACAGTTGCAATGAGCTTGATAGTACTGTTCTCTTTCATGTGGTTCCGAGTCAGATCATATGAGCTCTTCCTCCTCATACACATTGCACTTTCGGTGATAACATTGGTCGGGTTGTTCTAGTAGGTACATCCTCACCTTGCTCTCACGGACGTGGCTAATCTGTGCCGGTAGCCACACTCGTATATTTGAAGGCGAATACGATGGCTACCTGTGGCCGCCAGTCGCAATCTGGTGCTTCGATCGGGCCGTACGTCTGGTGAGGTGGGCATATTGCAATGTCCATGTCAAGCGGTCGAGCTCCATTGTTGGCACGAAGGCAACCGCGAGCTACGATAAAGACGCAAACCTCATCAGACTCGAAGTTGTCCCCGGATCTCGCATGCTTAAGCCCGGACCTGGTCAGCACTACTTCCTGTACCAACCGCTAAGATTGAAAGGCTGGGAAAACCATCCCTTCACACTGGGAGCTTACGAAAAGATTGGGGACTGCGACGCCCTCGGCACAGCCGGATCTCCAAACGAGTATAAGGCAACCGAACAACCATCCAGGACCAAGGAAATACAAGTCAGGACCACGAGCCCGTCCTCGAGCACTTCTTCGGATGTGAGCCCAGCGCCGTCACAACTTGAAGTTTCGACGTTTCAAGACGCGGTTGGCCAGCAAAAACTCACTTTCTTCATCCGCCCGTTCAGCAGCTGGACTAGGCGTCTCCGTGAGGAGTGTCTGAAGTCCCCCAAAGGAACTATCACGCCGAGTATGTTCATCGAAGGGCCCTACGGCGAGCGCAGCCCACTGAACGCCTTCGAAACCGTCGTCTTCATTGTCGGTGGAACTGGTATTGCTGGTGCACTGCCCTACATTCTTGAACACATCCGGACAACCGGACATGCAAAGATGTCAACTCGTGAGGGCAGGCTCGCCACCCGTACTAGAAATATCACGCTGGTCTGGTCCGCCAAGCAGTCCGCCATGATCCGTAATATCGCTGCACACGAGTTGAAACCGATACTGGGTCACGGGGATATTCATGTCCACCTGCATGCGACCTCTTCAGCCGAAATGCACAGCAGCTCTGACGTGAAGCGCAAAGAGATGGCTATTGCTGATATGGACCTCAAAACCACGACCGCCACGAACAGCACCAACGACGAACTGGCCATCTCGTATGGCCGGCCCGATATCCGGCAGACGATCTTGGATCTAGTCAACGATGTGCACGACGCTGGTGCCGCTGGGGGCAGGATTGCCATTCTAACATGTGGCCCAGGAGGCATGGCCGACGAGGCGAGGGCTGCAGTGCACACAGCTCTGAAGCAGGGCAAGAGAGCCGTCGAATATATCGAAGAAACATTCGGGTAAGTCTTTGGAATGCCTGTATTTTGGTGTCTGCTAACGCTCATAATTTCAGATGGTGACAAATCGCCATTGCCAGAGGATATGACGCTCAAGATAAGGCTTTGAGGGCCTTGAGGATTAAATCACACTTGTGGCTGGTTGATCCTGTTACCGAGGGATTCACACCTGTAGAGACTATATCGGATAGAAGGTAGATAGGTCAGCTATTCCTCGACCTCGGAAACGACCTCACGGTATACTCGCCATCACTACCTCTGCGGACGCCGTCGCTCAACTTTGCGTGCTTCAAGACCGGTGCATAGGGCTAATCTATCTCATACAGCAGCTGGTCCGGTGTCGTATAATGGTCTCCTCGCCCCGCCAACAGCACCACGTCGAGCAGGCCCCGATGCCTCACATCGCAGGGCAAATATTCTGGGACGGGAGGAACGGTCGTACAAAAGCACTGAAGACATGGTCGGAGCATACATAGACTGTAGAAGAAATGTAATGTGTGGAGCTGAGAGGTTGAGGCTGTTATGAAGTGATTCAAAGCTGAACGTAAGGTGAGAGTGCCCTGTACATCTGTCGGCGGCTGAGAATGAAGCTTAATTAAGGCGCAGGTAAGGCGAGACCCCTAAGTGACGCTTAACGTTAGGCCGCCAAGCGGTGCCCGGACGGTGAATCCTCGCCGCTGCCCCCGCAGTCGCGTATTGTTAAGTGGCACGCGCTCGCGCCCACGATTTCTTTGACCATGAACGTCTTTTCCACGGATTGCTGAATTCTCATTGTTCGTCATGCAGGGATCATTCTTGGATAAGCCGATCTATGGATTTCATCAGCATCAATGGCGACCGAGAGTCTACTAAACATTGACATAGGGCCCCTTCAGGGTGACCTTCTTGGAGTAAAAAAGGCATTGGTATATACCCTGGTCATCGCGTCTCCATGCTGTCGGAAGCCGCTAATTGCGCCATAGTCGCAGGATCAGCCGCCTTGTTCAGAAAATGACTTGGACCGCGTCGACATCGCTGCGGCGGCAAACAAGAATTCGCCCTCCCAAGCTGGTGCACTGGAATCACAGCTACCTAGTACCGTTCCCGACTCACAGTTCAATCGCAATCTCGAAAGTCAATGGATCTACCTTCGGCCCGCGCCCGATTCTCACAAACTGACTGCGACACGGCAGAAGATGACAACTCAATCGAGCGGTGATGCAACGCAAGAGTTGTCTCAGTCTCACTATGACCTGATTTTGAGCAGGAGTCGGAATGAAGGGCAGCTTCAAGAGCAGGAACAAAGTCAGGCTTTGCACCAAGTCCGGGGAAAGGACTTTGACAGAGGAGAGGACGCCGGAGAGACTCAGCATGAAGGTGACACAGGGTTCATCGACCTGATGTCCTCTTTTGAGAAGCAGAAGCAAGGAGAGGAGCCGGAGGCTGCCGTCGAACAAACTTCAGGGCACGATCAGCGTCAGCGCGGAACCGATTCTGACAAGGAGCAGGAGCATGAGCAGGAGGACTCGGAACCTATTGGGGTTGACTTCTCTCCTACCCAACCAACGCAATCACACGCTGCGCTTTCCCAGTTCCCTGAGTCCCAACGCTTCAAAACACCGGTAACGGCCGGCAAGAAGAGAAGGTACAATGGAGACTTCATCGACAGTCCGGATCTACCACGCAACACTCGACCGCTACTGCGAGGAAGCGAGGACAACGCTATCCCAATGGGTCTCAGTCAGGCGTTTGGAGCAACCCAAGCTAATACCTCTCCGTTCGTCGGAAATGTCGGTATTGGGGATGTTGACTCAGACCGACCCTCACCAGATATCCATCTACAGCCACGTCCTATGACAGCCACTTCTTCATCACCCATGCGACCTCTATCCACTATCAAAAGACCCGATAGGGCCGGAACTGAACCCCTCGATCACTATATATCGTCAAAGGAGTCGCAAGCTCGGAGGGAGGATGCACGCCGTAAACTGCTCGAGGATATGTATGTCAAAGATGGAAGCTCTGGTGAGGATGACTTCGACATCGAGGAGGATAGCTGGTGTGCCAGAGACAGAAGGGAGCGCGAGAGAAGCCGGAGGATACAGGCACAGCTGTCGTCCTCATCGCCTCCCGCGGCGTTCACACGAGGTGTATCATTATCCAAATCATCGCCTATTCGACCTTCGGCCCGACGATCATCTCCGATCAGGATGCGAACCTCACGGCAGCCCAGGCGCAATCCCGAATCAAGTCCAACGAGACCCAATCCACAGTCTCAAGTTACAGAAAGCGAAGAGGAGACGGAACAGGAGGACAATAAGGATATTGCACCAACGAGTTCGAGTCAGTCGTCTGCGCCTGTTGATGACGAAGACAAGGAGAATGTCTCGGATAGGGCTATCCAGATTCCTGCGACCACCATTCAACTGCGCCGACTTACACAAGCCCCGCCTTCTCAGGTGCAAGAAAGTCCCCTTTTACGACGTGGGCGGGCACTCGACGAGGGAGGTTTATCAGTGACCTTAAATAGCTCACAGGCCTTCGCCGTTGCTGATTCCCAAGCAGAGCGAGCAACCCAACAGCCACAGGCAGTTGCCCAGGTTCCTCGATCATCCGCTGCTGATGATGGTCCCGATTTTGTTCCCCAATCCCCAGAGACTACGCCGCAGCCGACTGCTCCAATAAGTCGAACCCATCCGTCAGCCACTTTACCGACACAGGTCATGGTATCAACGGCCGAGCGGCAAGGTGATGCTGTTATCGGATCGGTTGTCCCTATGTCGAGCTCTCAAGCCCGTCAGCCCTCAAACAGCACCATCCCGGAGACAAGTTCTAATGAACCTCAAGATCAGAGTGGGAAAGCTTCCGAGGACACCCCACAGACTTGCGACGTTGAGAGCCGGCCCGAGTTCGAAACTGCTGAGACTCATGTACAGCCTTCTTCCTCCACAGTGGCTCACCAGCCTACGGCAGTCGAACTGAGCAGTCCACCAATTTCCACCACCCCACCAGGCAGGAGACGACAACGCCTTTCAGACATTCAAGGGGACCCATCTCCACAGAAATCGCAGTCCAGCTTCGATGCAACTGCACACTTGCGGTTGGAAATACACAGGAGTCCTACACCCCTGCGAACATCGGCAAGAGCAGCAAAGAAGACAAGACTGCCCGAAATTGCTTCGGAAAGTGTTCGAAACGGAGTCTCTGCGCAAGGAGATGTGCTGTACGGAGCTTCTGAATCTCCTACGATCCGAGATCAAGCTAAAACTGGTGACGAAGCACAGCCACAACATGGTCTCGAGAAACAGTCCGTGCAGCCTGCGCTGCCAGTATCAACGTTTCCCAAGCGAGATAAGAGATCTACAGCCAAAGGTCTGAGTGCTCGCAGCTCTGAGACCGGCGGTGCACCTCCTCGGCGGAGGACTTCCCAGTACGAACTCCCCGAGTCTCCAGAACGAAGGGTCGACTCTGCCATCAAACGCACAGCAAAGCTCAAGCGAAAGATCGAAAACACGGGCAATCCATCAGATGGCGCGCCCAATGCCAACAAGCGGCTCAAGTTGACAGAGAGCAATCCTGCACCATACGATTCCCTACAGAGCGCCCCTGCGCAGCTTCAAGACATACCAGACACTCTCGCCTTGGATAATCAAAACTCCGGACATAGTTCACCTCGACTGGAGAGCGACAAGGATGTTGCCAATGGTGTAGGCGAGGACCTGGTGGCACCGAATATGGTATTCGCTGCCTTTAATGGTAAGAGTCGGACATACCACCCTGCTCTTTGTCTCGGTCGGCCAGCCACTGACTCCGGTCGTTTTACAATACAATGGGAAGGCTACGATCCTGACGAGGTCGATGAACATGGCGTGCGTAGCCTCGATCTGCGAATAGGCGATCAAATCAAGATAGACATGGATGGCTTTCCGAAGGTCTCACACGTCATCAGAGGCTTCACAGATAGGATTCCACAAGGTAATGTCGATCCTGGTCAAGTCGCCGTGACTGATATCCGCGGCTACCAAACCCTCCTCGTGGCGCCAAAGCAACGCAAAAGCCTACCTGTTGAGATTTCGACTGAGGCCGTGAAGAATGTGCCTGTATCCGCGATATACCTAGACACGATCATGTGGGGACAGATGAAGGACCGGGTTTATGAGTGCAAATCTGCTGTCTACCAAGGCAGATTGACGGACAGGTCGACGCCGGTGCCTCAAATATCTTCTTCTTCCCGTCCAAGCCCGCCACCATCACGGAGCAGGCGAGGAGCCGCAGTTGCCGGTCCACCTATCTCATCGACATACACCCGCCCCGACGGCCTGTTCAGCAATATGGTGTTTGCAATCTCTCACTACGATGAACCAACGAAGCAAAGACTTGTCTCTCTAGTCCAAGAGAATGGCGGTAGCATCCTCGAAGGATCCTTCACAGATCTCTTCGTGGTAGACTCTATCGAGCTCAAGGACCAATATGCCAACGTTGGGTTCACCGCGCTTCTTACGGATCGCCATATGTGCAATGTGAAGTACTTACAAGCACTGGCACTTGGCCTGCCTTGTCTCAGTGGCAGATGGATCGAGGCAAGTGTGCAGACAGGCAGACTTGCCGATTGGAATTCGTACCTCCTTGCTGCCGGCGAAAGCACCGAACTCGAGGGAGCTGTGAAGTCTCGGCTTCTGCAGCTCCCATCGAGCATTCAAGGCCTGAAGGTGAGAGACATGCTCGATCTGAGAGCCAAAATCCTCTACAACTCACGAGTTGTGTTCGTCATGGGCAAAGGCAAAACAAGCGAGGATCGCAAGCCGATCCTTTTTCTGGTCAGAGCGCTCGGCCCAAGCCAGCTCACTACCGAAACAAATGTAAGCGGTGCGAAGGAGATTGTTCAGTCTGCGGACCAAAGTAAAGAGCCGGTCGATTACGTGTTTGTTGGGGACGGCGATGTTCAGGCTGCGAAAAGACTGTTCTCGTCGGAAGCGAACGAGCCAAAGGAAGAACAGAAACGTCACAAAAAGGGCAAACCGAAGAAAGGACGAGTCTCGGGTCGTTATGAAACGGAGGCAAAGCAGGAGCTGGATGGTGTTTTGGGCAGAGCCCAGATCATTTGCAAGGAGGATATCATCCAGAGTCTGATTCTAGGGAGATTGTGGATAGGAACATGACACAACACCCGTGATCTCTGAAGGGACATTGACAGCAGGCGGCAAACTACAGTACCAATGCCAGCACTATCTTGGCCGTAAGGTCCCGTCTGTTGGATACAACCACCAGTGCAGACGGTACAGTAGTTGTATAGCCGGTACGAGTTACGACGGGTGAGCAGTACGTGCACAGCTACGGCTGCTTGGGCTTGGTTGGTATGACACACAAAACAAGTCAAGTCATGCCTTTTATAATAGGATCGAATTTCGAATTTTTATCTATGTTACCCAGAGCGAGGGTTGACATTATAGTTTACAGCCACAAGGGTAGTCTCCCCTCCACTAACATAACAGAGGCCCACACACACACATAGATTAGACTATAACACCTCAAAGTTGTGTACTCGGCTGAACCATAAACGACACACTTGAGACTTACTCCGTACAGTACAGTACATGAAGAATAGAAACCGAGCGATGAGGCCCTCGGGATTGGAACTCGATCGAGACACTAAAGTCAGGTACTCACTCGTACATGCCACCATGCGTATGTAGTACTACGTATCTACTACGGAGGTACCGATCTGCCAATCTGCGTATCTACGTGTCTGCTGATCCGCGTGTCTTAGGCGGTAGCTTGGCCGCAACGAGCAAGACGCAGGGAGTTTAGGAGTCCAGTCGTCTTTTGGGTTACTTAATCACAGTTAACTGGTCCTAGGTTGCGGTCGTTCTCGGCATTGGATGGTACAGGACCTCGTACCTACAGGTAGCATAGGAGTCGAAGGGAGTATCGCGTGGTTCCTGGTATGTGCGCTTGGTTCTCGATCAACCTGCTGATTCTGTGGTGTGGCGTGGATGGATTGCATGGTCATGGCGGAAACTGGCGACCACCCCGGCTTGCAGCTAAGAGGGCCAAGGATCAAATATCAACAGGTGAATCGCAAAGACCGAGAAACGCAGCTGGGATAGAAACCAAGAAGATGTGCTTTGAACTGATCTCGATTTTTAGATGCCATGTGGCCGTGCTCAGGCTGCCGCGGTCAATCGACAGATGCTGAGTGTAATGCGATGCGTTCATGAATCATCCATGCGTCAAAGGGACAAAGGAAATGAGATCCCTATCCGTACCTTCAACACTCGATCAAGGGTTTGAGCCTCCATGAGTGCTGATGTCCGTCAGAAATCATATGACAAGATGTGTCCCCCAGTTTTGTTTTTTGGATCCACACCACATCAGCCAAACACTCCCTTCTCTGGCGACGGATACCAATGCCTGAGTGCCTGCCTGTGTCCGAATCTGCTGCCTCTGCCTTCATATGCTTTGATCCAGAGGGTGTAAAGTGGTGCAGTCGTTTGGCTTTGTTCACTTGAGAGAGGGACTGGTATGACTGTGGAATCCAGTGTGCAAGAGGCCGAAACAAGCACGCGAGGATAGTCATAGGGACGTATCCTCAGCGACTACCATTGATGGATCGCTCGGGTAGATCTTTCGGAATCGCAGCTGGAACGGGTGTCTCATCGTCGTCTTCCATTTCGAGCTCTTCAGGGTGTCTGGAGATCGAATCATCAGCAATGCTAAGATGGAGGTCAAGAGAGGAAGGGCTGAACACTAACCCAAGCAAATTTTTGATGTCCTTCATCTCGTAATGCCGCTTTCTCCTCTCCTCAAATTGGCGATGGGCCTCTTGCTCCTCGTTTGACGGCATACCCTCTGACTCCTTGATCCCATCGACGTCACTTCCGTCACTGACACTAACATGCTTCTCTTTACTCGACTCTCGAGACAGGTTGTTGCTTGGGTCACGAGTGATCCTGTCATCTTGAGCGAAACTGCCAGGCGACAGATCCTCTTCCGGTTCACCCAGCTCCAAACCCGGGATCTCCGACTCGCGATGTTTCTTGTTTGTTTTGGGTGCCTTGGCCATTTCAACCTCATCGACATTGACAAAGCGAGGGTCGATAGCCACATCCTCTTCGTCGTCGTCTTCCATCATGGTATCACCGTACTGATAGGGAGTCTTCGGCTCGGTAATCTTCATGCGTCCGCCAGATTCCTGCTCGGCAAGGTAAAGGTTCGCCTCGTCCCACTTCAACCGCATCTTTTCTGGATCGTCGTCTCCTTGGTTTGCAGCGGCGGCGGATGAGTGTCGGCGAGAGGCCGAGGCCCTTCTCGCGGCCGAGGACGAACGGCGGTGACCGGCATTTTGAATTGTGTTCTGCAGGACGAGTTCTCTTTCTTCCTTCGGGTCGAGCGGGGTTGCGGGTGAGATCTGAAAGTGGTCTTTCTCCGGAGATCCAGGCCTGCCACTTGCGGATGAAAAAGATGGGTTCTTCAAGATACCTGGCATGGTTCGGTCAGCGCAAGTTTCCCGTCAAGGTAGTTGTTTGGGGGTTATCACCTTTTGGTCGGATGTTGCCTGAGCTTGGGTGGTGCAAAGGGGGTGGTGATTGTCGGACTTCGACCGGCATCTTGAGGGGTTTCGTGTCAAGCTTGATGACAGGTTAGGTCGTGATTGAGACTGTAATCTGCTTCGGACGCGGGACAGGGTGGTGGTGGTGGTAGGTGTTGCAGGATGTAGTGACGAAGCCGAGATGGGATCAGAAGAAGTTCCAAGATTGAGTCTGGGTCGGCACCGAGTCAGGCGGACGACAGACAGGCGAATAAGAGACGATCAACCTCGACACCGTGAGAGATACACAGAAGTGCTTCCTCTTGCGGATGATCAGTCGCAGCTGTGGGTACAAATAAACTGGAGATCGGACGTTGTCTGGTCAGAGGTGATTGGGTTGAGAGAGACACCGATTAGGAGAATTGGAGAAGTACTCCGTGTCGGATGTTAGACACGGGCTGTGTACAAGGTGTGCGATGGGACGGCAGGGCGACAGGGCGAAGATCATGTATATACGACGCAGATGTTCGTTGTTTTGCAACTGAGCGAGGTCAAGTGCTGGTGAAATGAAAACAAGAGCATGTGCGAGGGACATGTGAGCAGATGATGAGGGCTGCTGCAGTTACGAGTGAGCATTTCGTGGCAAAAGACGCTTCGAATGACGCGGGCGTGACGGCAAACACAAAGCAAAGCACGTGGAAGAGCCACCAGAGCACGCAGACGAGCCTGTCATTCAACGGTCACGCCGATGATTATTCCGTCCGCGCCAGTGCAAAGCAACGTCATAACTGAATCATCATGCGTCTCGCTGCCGTTCGCTTCGTTGGGTTGCGCTCTTGTACTCGTATCAACTCCTCTCGCCGTCACCATAACCTCTTGTGCCTCTGCCTCACAATCCTCCGGTGATCCATGCCAATGAGGGCATCTTCCGGCCGTGAGTCGCGCCAGTGCTGCATTTCAGAGAAAAAATTCTGCACTCGGGCTTTCTTCTGCCTCGCATTGAGAGTGACTATGGTTCGTTCCTTTCCCTGTTACTCACCTGCTATCCCGCTAGCGACAGTGACGAACTCCTCCAGCTGGCCGACCGAACTGCATCCTGCAATCTAGTGCGATAATCCCAAGACTTTTACTCTCATGCCAGCGCAGGACGGACCTATGGCGTCTTCATGTCGTCGCTAGGCTCTATTCAGCTGCAAGTGAGTGCTACGGCAGCCCATCCAGTACAGCGCTATCTGTCGCGTCGTGTATAATTGCCGCTCCTCATTAGTATAGGTTACTCTTGATGCTGTGCGACCGTCGATGTGCCACGCCCCTCGTCGCTACACTGTCCCTGGCACTGATGACCTCTTGCCCTAATCTCTGTGCTTCCCATGGCCCCCCAGTGATTCGTCCACGAGGACATGCAGTGGCACCTGATCTTCTGCAGTCCAGACTGCTAAACTGCGAGACGTCTTACGGACATTGGCCTACCTGGGATGGACTGAACAGACCGACGGCTCATGCATGGAATGGGCCTATCACTACCCCACACGGTACGGAGGTACATGAGAAGTTCGCTCCTAGCTTCCTCCGCTGTCTGTATCTGGAGATAAAATTGGTTTTCTACCCAACACTCGCATGCAGCGACCGGCGAGTCAATTCCTCACACATGGCAGTCGGCCCTGTCAATCAATCTGGTCGTCCATCGCGGAAGATAACGTGTCAGAGCTGTCACAGAAGCCTCCATTGTTTCGCCAGCACCCATCTGATCCAATCCCCTGCGTCTGTCTCGGACCAATCCACAGTCCTTGAAGGGAGGTATCATCGTCAAATAGCAGTCTGCCACCCGTTGCACAAGTACACGTGTATCATGAAAATCACTTCAGCTTGCAATCCCAGGAAAGACAATACCCAGAATCGAACCCAAACTCCCGTACTCCCAGACAGCCACAATCCGCCAAAGACAGGCAAGCCACCCAAAATCAGACGGATACGTCCCTCACTTACCATCCATGGAGAATCGTGATAGTAATAACAGTGGTCTTCATCGAATTGAACGGCCGGCCTCTCGCTCCTTCAGTTTCATCTGTGCCACCACGTCTCCATTCTTTGCTGCTTCTTGCATCCAGTGCAGGGCAAGACAAAGTGCTTGACTATTGCGCCGAAATTCCCCTTCCCCTTCCCACATCATGTCGCTTTTGAAGATATCCGAAGATAAGGTCAGGGGCAGACTCACGATGGGTGGAACATCGGGATGGGTCAGGTAGAGACTCGCAAGCTCTCGTTGCGCAATCGCATTGCCCTCTCGAGCTCCGACAATCCAATACTCCATGGCCTTGAGCACCGATGGCTCTCTCTTCTTCTTGGCGCTCGAGATATTTCTTTTGATTGAGTCTCTGGCCACGATTCGATCTGCGACATCCACCATGCTCCGACAGACTTCATCCTTCCACGCCAACGCTGCCAGCCCCATGTGAAGGAATGCTTGTCCCAGCTCCGGGTCATCCAGGTTGTCCGAAGATGCGAATGCCGCAATGTATTGCAGGTCCCGAAAAAGGGTCTTGGGCCGCAAATCATGGAGGAGATCCTTGAGTGACTGAACTACTAGACTCTCCTCATTCTCCGTGGGCGTGGGAACTGATACGTGCGACCTCGACTGGCACTCGTTTCGTCGTATATTGGCTGATAAGATACTGGGGTCGAGGCTACGTCGTCGTGTGCCGTCTTGTGCGTCAGCAGCTTCCGGTGGTATCGCAGGGGATGTCTCATGCCCATTCCTTCGATTTTGTTGGAAATCCTGCGACAAGAGCTTGAAATCGCGGATGGCCTTGAGCTTCAGAACGGGATCCGTATGATCTCTCACGCGACAAAGGATGTCGTTGAACGCGCTTCGATATGGGAAGTCGTCAACTCGGGGCTGCCGACCGTTGCTGAATAGCACCTTTCCCGAAGAATCAAGCCCAGGGTCGCAGTCATGCTTACCCGAGGAGGACCGGTGCGGTGCAGCACTGTGACTTCGCTGTTTGTGTTTCCTTGGGCCTTTCGAGCTCGATCCCGGATATCCTAAGGTTGTGTTTGGTGGCGGCAACAAATGAGCCAACGCAGAGCGCTGATGCAGCCGTTCCATGATACCGGGGGTCTGGCAGATCGCATCCATCCAAGCGTCGCTCTCACTTCCACAGCTCCACACGGGGCAAGCCAAATCAGAGAGCAAGAGAGAGCTCAAATCCTGTCGCAGAGTTTCCAAGAAATTGGCTTTCTCTTGGCTGCGATCAACGGATCGATTCAGGTGACTCCCTTCGAATGTTGACGCAGGTCTGGACTGTTGTGAGACTGAGGTGACAGACCGTGAATTAGACTGCGTCCTTGACCAGATACTGGCACTTTCCAGGGTTGTGGACGTGGTAGCACGGCCTGGCGAACTGATATAGGAGGAAATATCGCTGCCTAGACCGTCCTTTCCAAGCCTGCTTGAGCCTCCGAATATCGATGCCCTTGAGCCCGCGAAGGTCGGACGCAGGGGGAAAGAAGTGGACGAAAGTGGCTCACTCATCACACTCGGCGGTCTGGTGCTCGGACCACCATACAGTCCGGCATGGATGTCGTACAAACCTCTTTCCCGCGCGAAAAGTTCGCTCGACCACAAGACAGGGCTGGAAGCAATGGTATCTCCGACGAGCTTCCGGATCAGAAGCTTGACCTCCATACAGAACCGATGGATTCTTTCCTCTCCTCGACAAAAGTTTTCCACGTGGTTGCGTTCGAGCCATTTCTTCGTCTTCTCGATCTGTGCATCTGAGAGCTTCCTAGGCCCGCCATACTCCACCGGCGCTTTCATAATTGTCTCAGTGTCGATCCTTGGCTGGTCAAAGACAGATGATGCCGAGGTCATAGAACTCCCCGGTCGAGATGGCTCCGGCGAACCCCCATATTCCTGTCCAGATATAGCTCCTGGCCTGGCAAGTATCGCCATATTGTTCAGTGCGACAGTGATGTTGCGAGCGTTATCGTAGGCATCCGAGCTTGTGACGGCCATTGCATACCAAAGTTTGACCCGGAGCTTATCCAGCCAGTCAGCGGCTGTAGCTAGGGTTGTTCTTGCACAGGCATAAGATGCTTCGAGATCGGCCACCTCTTGTTGTAACTGTAGGCATTCATTTGCAAGCAGAATTTGGCGTCCATTAAGTCTCTGGAGGATTGGGCCCAATACCTTAGTATCGTCACCTGTCAGCACTGTCAACGGATAATAAGTGCGCAAGTAGTTCAGCGCATTATGCCAGTACATAGACGTAAGACTGTCCGTCTGAATGTGGGAAGTCCTGGACTCTTCGGCAAACATTTCTGAGAGACCTCGACCCTTTGCCTTCCCGTGTGATATTTGGTGCACGCTCGTTGGGGCGTGTAGAGACAATGAGCTAGCCGCGAGACGGAGCACCGCGGTCTGGACGGGGTCAAGATCACCTAAACCTTCCCCGGCTGTCGTTATATCACCAGCCAGAGCCGGCGTTGCAATGGATAGATCTCCCCCCGGTGATATTAGTAGTAGAGCCCAGCTCTCTTGACAAGGGTGAACATTCTTAGAAGAGTGACCGGGCTCAATGAAATCGAGTATGCGCCTACAAAGCCTGTCGAATTTCGGAATAGCTCTTGAGTATTGCGAATTGAATGTTGCCTGGGAGGAGCTCAAAAACTGGTCAAATGGGCTGGAGGTGTGTATAGTCTGCGGCCTTAACTTTTCGAGGAGATGGGCGATATCGGCTGCGCAGATTGAGATGTATGGTGGCTGGAAACCCCCGAGAATAGTGACCGGCGTGTGGCCAGCCTGGTAGGGATTAATGCACTGGTCTGCATCCAGTTGGCCGATATTCCAGTTGACAGAATTTCGTACGTCTTCCTCGACTCGTTGCGTAGGCCTGGGAGGAAGATTAGCGAGAAGGAAGAGCGTAAGTAGGGGGAAATGTTACATGGAGCTGACACTGTCGGTGGCACGGGCATTGGCGTGCTCCCACAATTTATGAAGGAGGTGGAATCTAGCACGAGTGCTGATGTGAAATTGAAGGAGCATGTTTTCATCCTGGCCACTGTTAGCTGCATAAGACAAGATTACATGGATACCTACCTCCGGAAAGGACATCGCAATACGCAGAAAATCCTGTACAAACCACCGGAAGAAGAAGTGACCCCGAAAGTCGCTCTGGCTCTGCAAGGTGGGCAACTTCCCAACAATGGCACGACCCAGGCGCAAAGCGCCTACTGGGATGCCTCCATCGCCTGAGCCCAGTATCTGGAACAGCTCCTTGACCTCTGTGTCGAAGAAGGCTTGTGCTTGAGGTGTACTATAGAATGAGTCGAAGATGCTCACATCGGTCCGGCCTTTGCTGATCGAAGGTTCGACGGAGTTGTACAGAAATGCACCGCGTTGTAGGCTGCCCATCAAGAACATTTGCAGACGCTCTTTGATTTGCCAACCATGTAAATGTGCAAATGCAGACAAAACGTCGCCAATTATGGCTTCAAAGGCGGGCATAGACTCTGTAAACAAGCTTGCGCATATTGTAGACCAAGTAGACAATCGCAGTTGGCTTTCGTGGCTTTCAATGTCATTCGAAGATGCGTAAATGTTGTGGATAAGGAATGACAAGGGATTTGATCTCTCGAACGATGAAGCGTAGTCTTCGAGCTCCTTGGAATAGGCCTTACTTCTCGTTAATTGCGCATCGTCTTCATATTCCCTGAGAAATGATCTCGGGCGCCTGCGCTGCGACTCTCGACTGCGATTCTCTGATAGGGATACCAGGACCGATTCGGACAGATTTTTGAACTTGGGAGAGGTGGAAAGGCCCTTGACCTGGTCTGGATTCATTGCCTTGAATCTGTCCACCAAAAAGCGGGGGTTGCACCGTAGAGTATGGAGTAATTCGAGACAGTCCTCTCGAGAGGACGTGGAGAGTTTGGCCAAAAATGGCTCTTTGCTTGGTGTTTTTGAAGTAAAATTCGCGTCGAGCGCATGGACCTCATGATGCCATTGGGCCTGACATAGACTGACCAAGTCACGCATGTGTTGATGCACCCTCGTGAAACCGCTCGGATCAGACTGCTGGGAGATTTGAACGAGACCATCATGTACCCAGGATCCCACGCGCTGCAAGCGAGCAGACAGAGCGATTGCATTCCGAAGCCGATCCCTTTGATGGCAAAGCATTCGTTTCCGATGTTCATGGTGTCGGTGCAAGCGAAGCTCTCGCGCGAAGTCCTCGAAGTGAATGCGCATATGTGCAAAAGGGAGCTCGCGGCTGGAAGCACCAAGAGTACGCTCCTCCTTATCTGGGTCTCCACTCTCTTCCTGTCGGGATGTGCGAACGGCTCTCGCTGTCACCTTCAACATCGGTATATTCTTGTGCTGTTCCTCGAAGTGACTCGCTCGCGAGGCATAGTGGGCAGAAGCTTCCCGTGCGGAGCTCCTGAGCGGAGGAGAACCCGTTGATCTGGGTTCTGGAATTTCGGGTCTCGACATAGGTTCGGCATGGTCTTGAGCATTGTCATCGGTCGGCCGGGATAGTACAGCAAATGGATCTATCGTTACCACAGTGAGAAAAGAAAAGGATGGTCGGGACAGGGCAGGAGAGACTAGGTGACCGACCTTGAACGCGCTGGGACCGACCTTGGCCCTGATCTTGAGCTTGACCTTCCTCAGCACCGGAAACCCCAGGTAGTCCTGTCATACGCTGCCCAATTCCATTACCGCAGACAGCTCAAGCTAAAGGTAGCAGGAGCAGCGAGGAGCTCGGACTGTGGCGAGACCAGGGGCGGCAAAGTGAGGGATCTTCGCGATGCGAGGCGAGTGAGGCGTCGGGGCGAGTGGGCAGCGGTACGTCCTCGCTCGGGGGACTGAGTCGAGGATCAGCTTGTGACTCGCAACCCAGCGTGTGATGTGATGTGACTTTAGCTTCCGCGGTCAGGGCGTCGCGGCAGAGGATGACTCGAGTTCTGGGTCGCCGCTTCTCGGATGTCCGAATGTACTTGAGCTGAGGAGGCTTGCCTCCGACTTTGCTTTGTACAAGCACAAGTGCACGTACCGCAGAGTGACCAAGGCTAAGGTCAATAGTCACTGCTGCAGGCCGGTAATGCGGGGGTGGTTCCTCTCGCTTGTGGAAGTGTTCAATGCCCAATGCGGGCACTATGAAACTCGAATTCTCAAGTCACCTGCGACTGTAATCTGGAACACAGAGATCCGCAAGGCTATCAAAGCCGTAACACATTTTCATCACGGCGCGTATATGGACCAGACAGACTTGGGGGGGTCGTTCTGATCGGGGCCCAGCGACAGGACTAGAAGAACCAAAGAACAACGCACACCAATTCGCAGTACAACACAGCGCAGCGGTATGATGGATGTCTTGCAGGCCCTGGCGATGTTGCCAGCGAATGCATGCATTAGTCGAGGCTAAAGAGGCTCCTTGACATAAGCTCCAGCGACCTCACGAGCCACTCACTGCCCCTCAAACATGCTCCTAAGAGCTCTCACAGATGCGCTCCGGCCCGGCTGTCCTTAGACTCGCTCGATACACCGGTGGTTGCGCAAGAGGCCAACTAGGCCACGGCCTCGTCCCCGGATTTCCAGGAGATGTGGCGACAGCTCAACAGCCGTCCTTAAGTGGTACAGGAGAACAGCGAATGACATGGTACGACCGTGTCTTTCCAGCCTGACTGATCGGCTTTCAGCCTCTCATCGGTACTTCAGCAGTGGCTGAAAAGGCGGCGAATGTCACCTGTGCATCGGCGCGCCACGGTCGACGCAACAGTAGCATACCGGTATTGGAGTCACTTGGAGGACCAAGAATCCCTGACAATGCCAGCAGAAAATGTCCGGGATACCTATCATATGGCGCAATGGATGCTTTCCCCGGCATGTGAGTGGTGCTACAGACATGCTGCAGAACACGACCCTTCGCCTGTCCTCCCTCGGAGCTCTCAGAGGTGGCCACGTCGAGCCTTGGGATGAAGCTTACTGGACTACAGACGAGCTTTTCAGATATTAAACGATCTCGAACCCGAAGATCATTCCGCCATGTGTTCGCCTTTGAGACTCACCGACCGTTCCACTTGTGTACGCCCCCTGCACCAGCCCCACGCCACTCGGATGATGCGTTGGCACTGCATGCTACGTCTCAAAATCTGTTCTATTCGCCCAACTCAGCTTGGAGTGTTTCTGATTGGAACCGCTCGCGTTCATGTTACAGGTACCGATCTCCGACACCGAGTCCTTGCCACCGCTATCTGGATGTCGTGGTACTTGTCACTTCAGCTGAAGGCGAAGTGAAGGCCATTCGATGAGCGCTTTCTACATCGTTGGGAGGTCTGAAACGCATTATACCCGCTACTCAGCTGAACTGATACACTCAGCCGACTGGTGACTCGGGCGCCAGGACTTTGGCTCGTTCATCCAATGCAGTCTCCTGGATCATTCGTCGTAGACTATGAAAGTTGCGGTGACAAAGTGAAATAGCGGATGTCAGGGGAAGGTGTATACCATAAGGTTGTGCTGACAACCTCGCATAGCTATGACTTGAAATCCGACCCTGCGATTGTCCGAGACTCGATCGTTTCGAATTGTCAGGTACTTGCTGTTGCCTGGCGTTGCGATGCGAGCGATCTGGCACCTCCCAAAGGGAAAGATGGAGGACAAGATGGTTTGTACCACGCATGTCAGTGCCTGATGACGCGCGAACAGTTGTGCTGTTGAAAGGCAGTTCTTCGACAGGTCAATACAAAGGCTGATTAGACAGACGCTGATGTCTCTTTTTCGCGAGCATAACCATATCATTCCAATCACTCGTCAACCCATGCTCGAGGGCAACCCCTCGTAATCTTGTCAAACAAAATGCGAGCCATGCATGTGTTAAGACATGGGAGAATCATGATACCGGAGGGTTCATGGCAGAGTGAACCTTGGAAGAAATGATAAGCGGGTCGGTTATGGGCAAGCCTCTTCAGAGCCGGTCAGATCCCCGCGGGTAAGCCCAAAGTCAATCAATAAAGAGTGCAGTGGTCACAAGGTACCCTTGCAAGACAAAATTTCTCAGGCGTCAATAGATGAACGGATACTGGATATCCCCGTAATAAAGTGACCATCTCAGTCGCAGCTTCCTGAAAGTAATGGGTATAGAGTTGTCCAAACCCCTCGTGACAGTCCGCAAGTTTACACAGAGCTGAAAATCACCTACACGGTATACAGGGGATAGTGAGGGCTGGGTAACTTGTAAGCTTAGAGCTGTGGATGGGATTCAATCAATTTTGCTGATTAAAGTCATGTCGGCGTAGCGGCAAGGACAAACAAGTCATACCTAGGTATTCTCGATCCGTTCCCAAGTACGGAGTACTCGGAGAAACAAAAGAAGATCTGATAGTCAAGTACGAAGTTAGCTAACATGTCAAGAAAAAGCGGCATTGCCTGATATTCCGAAACCCGGGGATATTGCTGCCGAGATGACAGGAACCACCGTTTACTGGGTAATCTCGATCTGTGGCGAGGCACGTCACATTCTTGGCCGGCCGTCATAGAGGTGGATGCTTGGCAGTCATGCCACAGTCCTCGAAAGAGCAAGGGAACAATTGTTCTTTAGGTCTTTTCCCCTGATGAGCAGCAGGATGATCAGGAACGTGAAGTTTATCATGGTATGCTTGCGGAACTCCTGCCTTCGTCCAGCCAGCGGGTGAGGAGACTTATTCCTTCTGTCAATGGCTGCTGAAAGGCCCGGGTTAGATGACGTCCATTGACGAATAACCGGGGCATCCTGTAGCGCAGGTGGACATGTGGATCTTTGGGCCTCTGGCGGTTACGAGGTAGAAATGTTGGAATAGCCGGGCCAAATGGAAGAGCAACTGGAGCCTGGTGACGTACAGGGTATTGTTGATCCAACAATTGAAAGAGCAGTCTGACCACACGCTTGATCTTTGCTCCTCTTCGAACAGATCGTTTGAAGCTCCACTGGTGCTGTGCGTACGAGGTATTCAACAAACCACTTCCTTGCCGCGGAAGGATCTTCGATTTGGAATAGGAGTTGGGCTTCATTCTCCGCCTCTGAAGGACTCAAAAGTTGGCAATTAAACAGCCTGCTACAAGTAAGGCTTGCGCACAGCTCTAACCACCCGCGTCATCCGACCGTTAGGAGATCTGCGACCTTTAATTACATGGCATTATACGTGTCGGTCGGTCTCGCTTGGGCAAGGTCTAAAGCAGTCATCGTCGTAGCGCACATCATGCCACGGAACTCACTAGGACACCGCTGTCGAGTTGAGGGTAAAAAGAGATGGGAACGCATATTATCAAGGTGACTGAACTAATGAATCCATTGTACGGAGTACTCGTACGAGCTACCGCTACCTCGTAGTGGGCAGACAGTGTTAGGGTTTGGGACTTTGTGGCGCGAACAACTGTCCCAATCGAGCAGTTCGAACCCTGAGTATCATTCCTGAGTGGCTTTGACAGCTGAGTTGCTGGCCCAAGACGTCGCTCATAGGCCTGTCTCCGAAACTAGACGGGGCTTCTTGGGTGGCATTGAGTGGCGGTTTCGACCGCGGCTCAGCTGGGTTTGAGCGACTCCAAACGCTGGGGTGAGTTAAGATCAAATTAGATCCATGAGCGCCAGACACCAAAACCCCTGGGAAAAGGCCTTGAGCGGACAGAAGCTGCACGCTTGCGATGAGTTTCCATGAGCAGTTGCATAATCATTCTGCATCTCGCAAGATTGGGACGGAACAGCGAGCGCATGTCGGAGCTCAGGCACGCACAGGTTTCTCTTCTGGCCCCACGTGTCGCGGGTCGGCAGAATAGACAGCGGGCTCCCGATCAAGATGAGACGATGAGAGGCCTGTTGCTTTGCCCGTAACATCCGCCGTGGGCCTGTTCATGGGTCGACGGTCGACAAACGCCTTCGAATCCTGGACAGAGAGAGTCATCACTCTACCTTTCTGAGAAACAGGGTGTTAGCCTGAATCCTTGCGTCTGGCTCAATTGACTACCCTTAAGTTGATGGAATAAATACTCCGTAAGCCTATTAGAGATCCGAGACTTCCTTACACAGAAGTCAATCCATCCTGACTCCAATTACTCTCATTTTCTCCTGTAAGGCTGCACCCTCCATCGGAAAGGCGAATACCAATCGACTCGCGCCCGGACTTCTTTGCACACGAACCCTGACGCCCTCTCCGTCGGATGCTCTAGCCGTCCTCGCCATTGGCCCGCGATTGCGACCTGAGTTTCGCGAGGACTAAATTTATAGAATGCTTTAGCACTTGTCCGCTAGGAGGAGTTAGCGATACGAGAAGCCAGGATCAAGCCTGAGGACAGGGCGAAACACTACTCTATCTTACTCCATCGAGCCTTCGGCTAACCAGACCTTGATTCAAATCTCCCTCTTCCCCATCTCTTTCGTCACTCTTCAACGCTCGAGCTTGCTTCACGACAATTGCAGCCACATATACAAGCCTAATAGCACTGTCACCGTTATTGCAGAGCACTTGACACTGTCAAGCAACCTGTCACGACGACTTCGCTCTTTTCATCAGGCTTGCCACGTCGGCCAGTACGAGCCTGCAGCAATCCTACCGACCAAAACTACTCGTACATCGCAGCCAGGCAGTGGCTTCTCCACCACCGACACCTGCACTGCACTGCTACCAAATTTGTACTTCAGCCTCTGGGCAATCTACTTCGCTTTGGATGCTCAGTTTTTGACGTTCCTTTGACTCGATGAGCGTGTTGACAGTGACTGGGACAATCCCAGACCCCACGCTATCGTACAATTACACACAGCCGGTTTCCTCTTTGTCTTTGCCCCCTCATCCCGCGCCATCGCTGGCTGACGGTGCCTTCACTCGCCTCGACCGAAAATCCTACACAACAGCGACCACTACTCAAATAGCGCCGGCGCGAATGATTAGCAGTCACCAACACACGAGGACTGTCTCTTCGAACACGCTGCCTGATCCTTCAACTTCTCTTCGAACCACGACCGCTACCACATCCAGCGCTAGCGCAGGCCATTCCCGCTCCGCCTCCTCTCACTCACGCAACTCCTCGGCCTCAAACAACAATATCATGAGCATGCACAGACAAGGGACCACCGCGTCTGCCACAAGCCTCCCTCGACGGTCAACATCAGGCCGCTCAACAGCAACAAACAGCCCCACATCGTACGTTGCGTTGATGCGAAGGCAGAAGGCAACTGTCTGGTGTGACCGAGCACAGAACATCGACCCACGGCTCGCGGCTGCACAAAAAGCCGCCCGCCACCGTGCCGCGCTTGAGGTCCAAGGTGCGACTCATGGTGCCCGAACAAGCACAATATCATCAGGGGGTGTGGTAGGAAAGATTCGCCACGGCGGTGTTCCCAAAGCTCCCGGCTACGTACCCGCCAACCTCACAGGGGCTTCTGTGCCCCCGCGGTTAAGCGCAAATGAAGCATTAGGCGACGAGGAAGAAGAGGAAACACGAAGCAACAGTTTGGTACACGGCCGGTCGGGGAGTGGAAGAAGTAGTACCAACAGTGCCAAGTATCGCAGCGGCTACCCTCGACCTGATGCAGGTCGATTCAGCAGCACGAGTACACCACCGAGTGAGGGGTCACCGGGCCAGGGTATTCCCGAAGCCTCGGAGACGCCAGAAGATTCACACAAGCGCGACTACTTCGAAGACAAATCACCTCCGGGCGGGGAAGACAGCGAAGATTCATTTGGCGAGCTCAAGGATCTCTCAGGGCCCAGTGCCGTGCAGCGCGCACTTGAACAAGCAAAGAAGGCAGAGGATTTACGGCGGAGAGGAAGTGTGGACGAACGGACAATGAGTATGGGTCAATCAGGAGTCAGGTTATTCGTCGCAAACCCGGATCTCGACGATGACTAGGATTCTGCCACCATTTGTGCTTGTCTTGCATCTTCTATGGGGTTCTTGATTGCGCGGCAGGATTGCAGGTTGTTTTGGGCCGCGCACATGCAATTGTACAGCGGCACGGAGGGTTTGGCTACGGCAGGGAATGAGCAAGTTACGACGAAACCACGGGGCGGCCTTTTCATGATGAGAGGGCATAATTTCTTCGTGCACTACTCCGTATGTCTACGGTAATGTGGTTGGAAACCGAACGACAAGGTTAGGTAGCGCCGATGTCAATGAGAGATGAGTTGAAGTTTTGAAGCCACCTTGATTTCACCAACCAAGGTCAGGCCCAGTTCCATAGGCGAACCAAGGGATTCTATTCTGCCTCTGTCGAGGCTGCGGAGAGGGATCTGCAGTGCCCTCAACCCCCGTCTACCAGGATGGCAGGGGGTCAGCATTAGCTGACACTTCGCACTGCCGTTAGGCTCACAGTATACCCCGTATTGTGCCGCGACACCTCTTATCGCGGTTCTCAAGCCAGGTTTTTGGGCAATCCTGGAGGGTGATGCCGCCGCAGATACTCCGTACTTAGTACCTGCACCCATGCACATGACGACAGTCCCCCGGGGTATCAGGCTAAGCACCAGTGTGTACTCGTACTGGTGGCTATAACATTGGCAGCCGTCGGGTTGCCAGAGGTTACAGCACTAAGGGACAAGGAGTCCAAGACTCTTTAGTGGTCGATCAGGGCAGCCGAAGGCGGCAGATCAGGGCATGTTCCTAGCCGGTTTCCGTCACACAGGCAGCCCTTAACTAGGTGACTAGGGAGGTCTGCCTGGACTCGTGGCCAGGGTAGTTGAGGGCTGGCAGGAACTCTGATAGGTGACTGTGCAGATGAGACGTCAGCCCTATTCTCACTTCCACTTCACATTGAATTCGTCCGATTTTCATCTCATCACTGCTCTGTAGTCCCCTTCTTGAGCGAGAACACGCTGCCATTTCCGCTGTCTGCGTTGTCTAGCCGGTAACCCCTTAGTATTCGTGGTTCGACTGGCTCAAGGCCCGCTTCGGTGGAAAGCTCCTACGGGGCTATCACCAAGTTTCATCTGCTGCACAACGCGCGCACGTGGGCGTGGGGTGCATGAATTGCACGTCCGTTCAATTCCGATATGCCGTACTTACCGTCCGTCTTCCTCATGCTTCCCGTGTCTGCTGTTCCCACTTCATCTCCAGAAATGCTTAGAATACTATCATTTGACCTTGACCGCCTCTTTCTGCTGTCTCTTCTCGGCTAGTTTGAGGAGCTCTATTGAAATTGTGCATTCGCGCCATGCAATGTGCTGCAATGCGCTGCAAGGGTCAGTGCGAATACGCGTATTTCCAGCTTCGAGGGAGCAATTCATGCGGAGTCAAGCCCTCCAGCGCTGCGAGCAGGCCTCGAGGCAACATGTGACACCGGTGGGTTGGGCTTGACATCTTGCGGCCTCTAGATCGAGATGATCCAAGTCCAGCTCCTACGCACGTTCCGAGCCCTGCTGTTTGGGATGGTCGAGGTGCGGCATTGATCTCGCCAATTGATCCAGCCCGGTGAACTGCAGCTGCTTTTCGACATACGTGGCTTTGAAGAGCATGTGCCGTTGCACATTCCTCGATCTGCATGGTCCCGCCATGGCTAGCCCTGGAACAGAAGACATCTTGCAGGGCCAAAAGCATGAAGGCAATACGAGATTTACTGGTATCGGAATTTACCATCACGCTTAGCATTATGCTGAGCACATCCGCACAACGTTCCGTTGTGCGTTGTAACGAAGTCAGAATTGGCCTGATTCAATGACCCTTCAAGAAATATTGACTTCTTACAATCAGCTGCGTTCTTGCTCCACTTTCTGCTCTGCCATCTCTTCTACGAGTGCTAATTCACGCCTGGGGGAGCTGAAGAGCGGGACAAAAGAACAGGGACATCATCGACATACCAACGATACGTGGCAGGACACGTGAGAGCAAACAACCGACCTGAATTGACCATTGACGAGCTACACTTCTCGAAGAAAATAGGTGGACGATAATTGGAGAAAGGGCCTAGGGACGACAACTCGCATTCACATTCAGACACCGCTGCCAATGACGACAAACAGCGGTCATCAGCATTCGCCTATGACAAAGACATACAGCTTCGTCATGGAAGTGCAACTGCTCAGCATGTTTGTGTCTTTTCGGCCTTCAAACCCACGAGCTACGAGAGAAATCCCAACGCTCGAGTGTGGCTGAGGATCCAGACAATGGAGGCGGAGCGCCGAAGGCCGTCAGTGTCTCAGTCGGTGCGCTACATCTCCTTGACAACACAGAGACAGTCGATGCTGATACCGGCTAAATACTGGTTTGTCCGTTGGATCTGGCTCAGCTTTGGCGCCAGGTGGTCAAGCTATGGTTGTGCTCGCATATGGCTTGATCGGTAACTTGCCGTACTGCACGGTTGACGCCCTCAGCGAACTGGCTGTCTTTCCCAATATCGGGAGCCTTCGGGGTGTACAAGAGCAGATTCATCGATCCGGCGTGGGATTTTGCGATACTGATTCCGATGAAGGACTCATCGGGGTGTCCGAAAATGTGGAATCCTCAATCACTCGATTTTGGCTCTCCTTTCGTGATGAAGCCGAGACAGTCGAATGGCCTGTAGATCACAAGCGATGCAAACCTTATGGGATGAGAGCTTAGGTGGCCACAATCTCTACGTCTGATAGCAGATGCTCAGCACCAGCGAGCGCCTGCCATTTCAGTACTTTCTGCGCCCGTACAGGTCTCTGGATACACCCGTGACACGACATTGTACGAAGCGCAGGGCAAGTTACTGTAGGTACGTACTGCGGCTTGGCGCTAATGTGAAGGGCGCTAGTGTGAAGAAGGCTAGACCGGGGTGACCTAGCCTTCCAAGCTTCAAAGCAGCAACAAGCAGTTCCCCGATTCCCCATTTCTGAAGAACCTCGGCCGCTTCGGTTTCGGCTGTCCGTCGCCCAGTGCCGCTACATACGGATGCCCTTGAGGAAATATAATGTACGACTTGGGCGCGCAGGTGAGGTCTATGCCATGTATGCATGAAATGGGGCAGATTTCTCGCGATCCATTTGAATAAAGAAAGTCTTGAGACACAATAACTGCTCGCAACCGAGTGACGTACTGTTGACAGAACAAAGCCAGCAAAGATGGCCACCAGCCCACCACCACTGACTGGCCTCAGAGTGCTCGAGCTCGGAGGCCTAGCTCCAGGTATGCATGTCCTGTGCTGCAATGGCACGTGCCACCGGCACGGGCGTAGGGTTTTCAGACCGTTGTTCTAACATTATCTTCTTTCCGCTACAAAAGGTCCCTTCTGCGGCTTCCTCCTCGCGAACTGGGGCGCCAGCGTGCTGCGTATCGACCGCCCGGGTCCCTCGGGGGCCAGCAACGACCTCCTCACGAGCCACAAGGCGTCCATCGCGCTGGACCTCAAGAACGAAGCCTCGGTGGCGGTGTTGCTCTCCCTGATCCCCAGAACCGATGTGCTCATCGACCCGTTCCGGCCGGGCGTGCTGGAGAAGCTGGGCCTCGACCCTGAGGCGGTGCTGATGAAGAAGAACCCGCGGCTCATTGTCGTGCGGTTGACTGGCTTCCGCCGCGACGGCAAATACTCGACCATGGCGGGCCACGATATCAACTACCTGGCCGTGTCGGGCGTGTTGGGCATGCTGGGCGCGCGAGGCCAGCCGCCGCTTGCCCCGGGAAACATCCTCGCGGACTTTGCGGGCGGGGGCCACGCGGCCTTCACGGGCGTTCTGCTGGCGCTGATCCACAGGTCGACGAGCGGGAAGGGCCAGGTCGTCGAGGCCAACATGGTGGATGGGGTCAGCTACCTGGGCACTTTCCCCCGACTGTTGACCAAGTTGCCCATGTGGAGTGGCGAGCGCGGCACGAACACCCTGGACGGCGGCGCACCGTACTACGGCTGCTACGAGTGCAAGGATCCCGGCAAGTACATGTCCGTGGGCGCGTTGGAGCCGCAGTTCTGGCAAGAACTGCTGCGAGGGTTGGGGTTGACCGAGCAGGACGTCGTGCCGGGCCGGCTCGATCGGCTGGACAAACGCTCGTGGCCGTACATGCGCGAACTGTTCACGCAGCGGTTCAAGACCAAGACGCGCAAGGAGTGGGAGGCCATCTTTGACGGCACGGATGCCTGCTGTGTGCCTGTGCTCGAACACGCCGAGATGGAGGTCGCCGGATACGAGCATCGACCCATCGTCGGGCTGACGGGATCGCCGGCCAGAAAGGTCGACATGCCGTGGGAGGGCCGGGCTTTGGCCCCCGGTGAAGGTGGTGAAGAGACGCTGCGGGATTGGATGGGCTGGAAAAAAGGTAAAGACTACGACGTCTCGGCGAAGGGGGCCTTTGAGAAGAGAGAAAAAGGTAAACTATAACCCGGTGGGTCCATGTGGAATGTGTAGAGCACGATTAAAGTATAATTATATACTGCTCCAAATCTGACGGTCGCAGTATACTTATCGGTCCAGTGTATATCTAATCTAGGGGATATTTCTTGTCCGTGGAATTCGTCGTCTGTACAGGCTGCCAGGCCGTGCTTCACATTACCATAGTCCGTAATACGCACCGAAGCCCGCCGCTGCGGGGAGATCATCGGCGTTCAGCAATCCCACGCCTTCTTCGAGCAATGTTCCCCAGACCGCGTTCCTCGTGCTGATCGGCCATCCGGGGGTGTCCCAGTATCTGGGCAGGATGCCCTTGGACTTGGCCAATGCGATCTGACTCCTCAACGTCGCGAGTTGCGTGGAATTGAACGTAGTGCCGTTGATGGCGCCGATTTGGGCACTGAAAGCCGTGGATGCCACGGGAGAAATGGCCGCCGTGATATTTGATTGCGTCGAGTTCAGCAAGTGTAATTGCGCGTCGAAAAAGTAATCTCTCTGTTGGACCGGTGCGATTTGATCCAGCGGGGTGTTGCCTGTGCCGATGACGGTCACAGGTCCCACGGTGACGCCCGTACCGTTGAAGGTGGTCAAGTAGCCTGCCGACCGGAGAGGTTGGAGTGCGGCGACGACGGCGGGCCAGGTTGTCGTCCCGTTGGTCTTGAGGTCGATGAACAGGAGCAGCGTCTGGCCTGAGGAGGTGTCGTACACGCCGTTCTTGGTCGGGGACGTGACGAATGCGGAGGAGGGGTTCTGTCGCTTCAGCGTGTCCAGAAGGGGCTGGATGTAGAGCGAATCGAGCGTGCGAGCCGGCGTGAGGGCCGAGGTCTCATGGCCGACGTAGAGGGTGTCGTTGTAAAGCCAGACGTCGGCTTCAATCGAGGCACAGCCCACGGATAGTGCCGAGTAGAATGGAACATCGCGCCAGTAATCGTTGTGTGAGTGAATTGGTTTCTGGCCAGAGGACGTCAGTGGCAGGCCAGGGAGAGCGGCAGGCAGCGACACAAGGGGGGCAATCCGAAGATAGCCAGGGAGGCGTAAGTGTTTCCCCGAGAATGGACGAGTGCATCCACCATCTATCACTCGGGCATAACCTGTTGCAGTATCGGCGGACTTACCACAACAATCCCTCTCGTCAAGTCGGTAGGATATGTGTAGGCGTCACTTTGCTGAGTGTTCGCCAGGATGTTCTGGAGGGTAGCACTGATGTCCAGGCCGATAGCTTGTGCTGAAGCTGGTATCGAAGCCGCGTTCGCCTGCAGTGCAAAGGGAACTGCGAAGAGCAAAGCGGAGGAGATCATGGTGAACGACGAGTGAGATTCCCAACACGCCTAGCAGAAACGCTTGAGCGAGACGAACTCAAAAGCAGAGGACCAAGAAAGGGTTGACGTCGCAATATATGGTCAATACCTCGTCTTCGAATGCATGCGTTCTCTCGTGCAATGAGGTCAACGGCAAAGAAGTTCGATCCTCATCCGGCTTGAGCTTGAGTGAGAACGTGAAGGGCAACCAGCCAACGGGAGCAGCGCGGGCCGGTCGGACGCTTACTTGGCTGGATTCACGTCCAACGGGAGGCCTTGGTTCCTGCATCAAAGGACTGAGCGACGGCCGTCTCTCCAATCGTAGTGCTCTTCTTTACACGTGCCTCATCCTATTCTTACTGTCTACTGTCTACTGTCTACTGTCTACTGTCTACATTAAAGATCCCCAGCACAAACGAAAGGTACTTGATAGACTGCCGGCGATGGTCTCTTGGAGACAGGCTCATGGTGACGGTGGATCGATCGACTGCTGGCCGCTCTCTTCTGTACCTGGGTACTGTACCAAGTACGGACCTGTACGTGCTTACCAACAGGCAACTGATGTGCGAAACCTCATTGTATGGTTTGGCACATACTGTTGGAGATCTTATACTGTGTACAACAAGTCGACGGCATTACCTCACCACAGTCCGAATATCCAGACTGCATTGCCGCACACGACATGGCTGATTTGTATGTCGGCCATCAGCAAGCCGAGAACTGAAATCGACTGGGTTGTGATTAGAAAAGACGGGCGTGCAAGACATTTTCAGAGGGGCCACGCCACGTGACCTCAAAGATGACTCAGTCTGCCGAGGTGATTTGCTAGACGAGACTAAAGGTCTTAGCCGTGGTCGGATCTGGTGGCTTCGATGACGACATGACGATCCGAGCTGTTTTGCTTCTGGTTCCACCCAACCACAACTCGGCTCGCCTGTCAATTCCAGGTCAAGAATGAACTCGTCGCTCGTACTCGCGCCCAGTAGGGCTTCACCGATGCGTCGAAAGCCTATCACATGCGGTCCAGATCGAGTGGCCCAACTAGAGCTTCGAAACTGTGGCGCTCTCAGCGAACAAGTGTCAAGGTGAGGAACTGCCCGTTTGTCGCACAAGCCACTGGTGTCTCGGTTTCTTTCACTTTCTGGTGACATGACGCAGCTGCCTTTAAAGAGTTCATTACTCCTTCAAAGCTCTTGCCTTGACATCCACCTCTTAGGATATCAATCCGACATCTTCTCTTCTTTGGATCTAACACATCCTCTTGATTCCTTTGACCCGGACACATCTCTCGAGCCAATTCGAATACTCTTCCATAGACTTCACTTCTCCATCAATCGGCACCATGCAGATTTCCAACATCATCATCTCCGCGCTCCTTGCCGTGCCGGCGCTGGCTCAAGGCAATTCCGGTGAGCCAAGTGCCACACCCAGCTCATCGCCATTAAACCCCTCGGCCGTTGCAAGTTCGTTGTCCTCCGTCTCATCAGAGATCGCCGCATCACTTGCCTCGATCTCAAATTCGGTATCGAATGTTGCCGCCTCAGCCTCCAATTCAGCCGAGAACGCCCAAGAATCCATCGCCGCAAGCTTCAGCTCTGCTAAGTCAGCCTTTTCAGCAACCCTTTCCAGCCTGAGCTCAGAAGCCGCCACCGGCAACACTGGAGCGGCCGCCAGTCTCTCCTCGTTGACTTCGAATGCGGACAACATTCTGGGAAGCATCACTACCGAAGCCGCGTCCGCCCTGAGTGCAGCCACAAGCCAGGCAGGCTCAGTCGCGTCTCGCGCATCTTCAGCTCTGAGCTCTGCGACGGCGACTGCTGCCTCTGCCACTGGCTCATCTACCACCAACGCTGCTGCTGTTGTGCCGACCGGCTTCGGCCTGGCTGGGGCTGCTTTGTTGGGTCTTGCTGCCTTCTTGTGAGTAAGATGGCACGCACGAACGATTGAAAACGGTGGCTTCGGGTGGACAGTTGCTGGAACGGCGCTTGGGCGGACGAGGCAAAACAATGATACCCTGCAGGACTTCCCCTATGATGGAATCTTATTGTCATTGGCCTTGACGGGGAGAGCATATGGCTGGGGTGGGTGGCAGCATACATCGATTTATCATGGTTCGAGTTTCGTTCAGCAAGAGCAAAGGCGCTGAGTGGTTGCAATTAAGCAGTCCTGAGCACCGACTGCTGAGGACAACCTTACATGCGGGCAGTCAGACATGCAGATCTCTGTCCTGTGCGACGGGCTCAGCACGCATAGCATGACGAGGCATCAATCAAACAACAGCATTTCGTCTCACAGCAAATCTCCAAGTCGTGGCTTGCCGTTTCCAACTCGGCGTGACGCCCGGACCAATTTCTCAATCTTTCATTCACCCCATTATTTGATATAGGTGACTCAGCTCGGACCTGCTGCGTCTCCATAATCCCCCGCCTAGAGTTATTGATGCTTGGGGGCGAAGATGAAGAAGACGAAAAATCGTAGTCTCTACTGCAATCGTACAAAACACAGCAGCTCTGCTGAATATTGATTGGGATCGTGTACGGGATCCAGCCCCTCTGAGTGTTGGTAACGCTGATGATCAAGCATAACAGCCAGTCTCGACTAACATGAACAGAGCTCTGTGCCCATTAGCTGCACTCATTCCCGTCGCGTTGGGATGCTACTTGCTTCAAGTACACCGTGTCATCTCGACCACCACCAATCCATCCACAGTGACCGTGATCGACAATGCCTCGCTATCATGCCTCAAATCCAAAGCGTATACCATAGTTAACCCGAGAGCTCACGTCGGCTCACACGACACTCGAACTCCTGCCATCGCGCTTCCTCGGCCAGGACTGCTCAGTCGGATCAGCGGATACTGGCCAATCTCACCGAAGGCTTCTTTGGCGGATGGGTCTTTATGCCGCAGAGGCTGGTGCTACAGACCTTACACGGGAGACTAGAGAGCTTTTCCCGTAAGTGACCGCATCTCGGTACTCTGGACTCACCGTTACTTTTCTGACCGGCGAGAGTAAAAGTGGCCAAGGTCGAAGAAGCAGAGTCAATCTAGACATGTGAGCAACTATCCAGAGTTCGCCTACCATGCGTTGGCTCAGTCCCGTTTGCAACCTTTCAAGTCATCGACAGAGAGCCCGGCGACGACGATCCCAATCATGAGACTGCCCTTGATGGTGCTCCCATATGTCCGGAGACCTTGAGACGACCGGCTCTGCTGCTTTGACTGCGGGTCAGTCAACTCTTGTAAAGATCACATTTACATTTTCGTCTGCAACCCCAAGCAGGACAAGATTATTGGGAGTGGGCGCCTCGGCACCATCCGCCTGTGTAGGCGAAGCAGCTGATTCGAGAGGCTGCGGCGAACGCTCTACAACCATGGCCGTGGAATTCCGCGGAATGCAGTTATAAAGACCCGTGCGCAGAAGCACCTGTTGTATTGTATCTCCTTTTAACTTCCACATCATGTAGCATCGCGATTGCATCTGAGGGCAAGCAGCACTCGATCGCAATGCAGAGGCCACCCTTCCACGACCTGTCTAACGTTTCATAGCCAGCGAATTAGCGTGTGCCATTTCAGTTGAGTGCCAGGCGCTGATGCTGATGCTGAGCTGATGCTGACGCCGGTCTCAAGGCTCGAATTCCTGATCGCCTGCATTATTACCCGTTGGCTGATTACATGGCAGCAGGCAGCGCCAAGTCCTCCGTTATGACGCCGATTATGTATTCCGCGGCGTTGTTGCGATGGCGGCATACAGTACGTGAAGTCTTCTGGACCCCGCTGACTCGTAATGTCTCTCGCCGTGCCCGAATCTGGGTGTCACCGAGGGTAAGCATTGCCATCTGGACATTGCACCTCCACAGGAATTACACCCAACCGAAGGTTGTCGACCAGCGGCTGAAAATCAGTGGAGCAAACAAAATGCTTATGCCCCTCTCTGGAGCGGGAGATCCGGTGTCACCCCCATTCGATCGCCAAAGCGGGTTATCCATCAACACCAAGCTTCCTTTCTCTCCACCACGAGGTAATCGTTTTTAGGGTTAATTGATGCAGCCGGTCAGACGTGGATCTTACATTCACCTGCCTAATTATTACCTACTTCATCTCGTTACCGACTTGGCATAGCCTCTTCCTGTCCCCTTGATATCAGTACACACAAACGTCGACGTACCAGCAATTAGGGCCAGAGTCACTGTCATAATCGTCGACTTCCAGTATATAGCGCGATCGTGGGATCGCGGGCTTCCTTCCTTCCTTCCTCTCTATCAACGAATCTCTCTACATTCCACACCTGAGATGACTCATCCCACGACACGCCGCGTCGTGACCGGTCTGTCTAAATTCCTGCCCGCGGATCCCTAACTAATGACCCCCCCTTGCTTACACCCGTCCCCCCAGGTCACGACCAAGCCGGCAAATCCATCATCGTCTCCGACACGACGCTCACGCCCGCCAACCCGCTCGACCCCGCCGGCTCTCCGCCCGAGGGCATCATCCCGGGGTTCACCAACCTGTTCAAAACAACAGGTTTTCCCGCCACGAACGTGCAGGGACCATGGTACGACGTGCATGGCAAGAAAATCGGCCTGGTTGACCAGACGGGCGTGGTGGCGCGGATTGTCGACTGTAAGTGCGAGCAGAGCAGAATAGAACAGACCAGCACTTCACGTACTCAGACATATTCTCATATTATCTTCGCATTGCATGACCCAGGCGGCCCGGGCCGCCCAAGCATCCATCTCCTACTCGGCCCGGATGCACAGAATATATCTATCCTTGCTGACAGATGATTAATCCCGCGCGCAGTCCCCGCAGTAGGCAGCACGCCCGACAGCGTGAACATCACGCACCGCACGCAGAGCGTCGACTTTGGCATCGTCCTCAGCGGCACGATCATCATGGTGTTGGACGACGGGAGCGAGACCGTCTTCCGGCAGGGTGACGTCTGCGTGCAGAGGGGCACAGACCATGTATGTACCTGACCAACCCACACACTCCCGGAGCGGGCTCAGACTCGAGTGCGAGGGCGAGTGCCTCGTACAAGGACAAAGTACAAGTACTCCGTGCACAGTCTAATTCACGCTGACACCCCTGATTACACAGGCCTGGAAGAACGTCAGCACCGAGAACTGCCGCATGTTTTTCGTGCTGGTGCCGAGCGCGCCGATTGAGAACCCGGCGACCGGGCAGGCTTTTGAGATGACGCCCACGGCCCATCTGGAGGATGAAGAGCATATCAAGGCGGCGGCGCGGTAGGTGAGTATGGGAGGGGTCCGTACACGACCAGAAGGAAAGGCAGGGTTGGCAACTGCTTGGAGCTCTGTAAGGAGGGTAAATAGCAGTAGCAGGTCAGCATGGGTAGGTTGACGCAGTAGGTGCCTAGGTACCTAATAGGTATTTGGTGGGCAGAATTCATCAACCCCTCCACGGGCCACGAGCGGGGATTGTTTGTCGGCGTAGGGTGCCCATGGCGTGCCGTTAATGACGTTCTACGGGTGGTCTATGTTAGATAAGAATTTGCATGGCGGGAGGCGCGGAAGAACGAATGGCGCACGTCCAGCTGCGGTGTGGAGCCATGGTCATAGACATGGACATGGACATGGACGTATGGACATATGGGCACACGGTCTGAGTTCAGGGGGTGGGTTCGATCAGGGTTTTCTGCCGAGGAGCTATTTGTTGTTTCAGAGTCGAACTGGAACCTCGTTGCTACGGCACTTTTCTTCGCGGATTTGCGACAGACAGAGACTGAAGAGGGGGCACGGAGTACATACTGTTCCGGTCGAGTCTGGTCGAGTCTGGTCGATCCTGGTCGATGAACTCATATTGCATAACTACTAACTGTTGGTGAGGCTGCAGACTCACTGGGAGCGCGCCCTGAACACACAAGGTCTACCGAGATACTCAAGGGAAGCCGACTCAATTCGCCGCCAGATCAGACCTCCAGGTTCTTCATGTAGTAGGCCATGTCACCCATGCCGTCTTTATCCCAGAGGCTCTGGCCGTTGCCCAACCAGGCAAATCGGTTCTTACTCCGCCACACGATGTCAAAGTACTCGGAGCCGACGTTCTCCAGACCGTCCTTGAAATGGAGGATGGAGCCGGCATACGTGCCGGTGACGGCGCCGCTCTCTTTGCCATTCTTGTACCACGACCGACAGTTGTCCGCCCACACGGTGTTTTTGAGAAATTCCTGCGAGTACTCGTTGAAGTCGGCCACAGCTTCAGGCTTGGGGGTGATTGATCTGTGTGGTGGTGGGCACCTTGTGGTCAGTCTCTTTTTCCTTCGAGTGGTAAAAAAGGGGTGTAGCTCGCCACAGGGCCGAAAAACGTACTTGATATTCTGAGTGGCAATCTTCTGCGCCCACCGAAGGATGTAATCACACGTCCAGGAAATCTCGGTCAGGACCGAGCCATGCGAGATGGGACAGTTGGGTCCGTTGAACATGTAGTAGTTCGGCATGGTGTCGACCTGGACGGCGAAAAACGCGTCCGGGTCGGTCTTCCACCTCTCGTCCAAGGTTGCGCCGTTGAGACCGACGAGTTTCCACGACGGCACGAAGCTGGTGTCGAAGCCGGTGGCGCAGACAATCAAGTCGAATTCTTCTTCGCCTTCGGCCGTTTCGATGCCTTTCGCTGTGACGCGCGTGATGGGAGACCAGCAGACACGGGCATTTGGTTGTTGAAGAGCTTCGAGGTATCCGTCCCCAGGCTGTAGAGGGTTTGATCATGTCAGTGAAGGGAGGACTTATTTTGCACAGCGAACAGAAGCAAAAACTCACTGTCAGGCGTCGGCAGCCAGGGTGGAAGGCCGGTATCATCTTCGCGGCAAGCTCGGGATCGTCTTTGAGGATGGCCCCCATCTGAGCTTTGCACGCTGCTTCCAGCCCTTGCTGGAATGGGTGGCCGGTCTTCATACCAAAGAAGAAACCGTTGACGCTGTTCGACAGAGGACAAATGGGTCAGCCTATAATTCTGTTCTCGCTCGTCCTGCCATCCGGACAAGTTCGGGAAATTATGGACTTACGAAGCCTCCAACTCCTTGCGGAGCGCAAAGTGAGCTTCAGGGTTTTCTCGGAACGCTTTTCTCTGCTCTTCTGTGTAAGTGAAGTTCTTGCCGTCGGTGGTCTTGTCGGCGCAGAAGTTGATCGAAATCCACGTGGGATTGCGGATGTAAGTGACCAGTTTCGAGACTTTCGGTTGCATGGCCGCCACGATTTGGATGCCTGAGGAACCATTGCCGATGACTGCTACTTTCTTGCCCTCCCAGGAATAGGTGTTGTCCCTGGTGAACGTGTCAGTGGCGGTTGAGCTCCGAGCCGAGTCGACCTTTTGCGAGGCTTACCATTTTGCGCTGTGGACGAGCTTCCCTTGGAAGTCATGCAACCCAGCGATCTGGGGCCATTTCCATTTGCTGTCGGTTTGTCAACACTTGTTCGTCTGGACCAAGTCGCGCATGTAGGGGACTGACTTGAGAAATCCAGAGCCATTGACCAGAATATCTGCAGTGTCCTCCTGCGAGACTCCGTTGGCATCGAACTTGATCTTCCATTTCCCGGCGTCATCGTCCCAGCGAGTCTCCAAGACTTTTGACTTGAGCGACACATATTTGTCCAGGTTGTATTTGGCAACGGTTGCTTTGATGTAGGCTTGGATCTCAGGCTGGGAAGGATAGAACTGAGACCAATCTGGGTTGGGCTCGAACAGGAACGTGTACGCATCTGTTTTGTGGTGACAGGTTAGCTATGGATTCAAGAAACCCCGGGCGACGAATTTCTCACGAGCTGGAATGTCACTATCTCCTGGTCAGCTCTTGACGTCCAAGCCCCGAAGAATACTTCTCTGCTTACCATGCGGCACCGGGGTATGTATTCTCATACCAGGTCCCTCCTACATCAGCGTTCTTCTCGTAAATCTGGAGATCGATCACGTCTTCCAGCTTCCACTCATGCTGGATCTTGTGTGACAGCGTGAGACCAGAGAACCCAGCACCGATGCAGACAATCTTCAATTTTCTCCTCGTGAGGATCGGATCAGCCGATGGCGAGACCCCGTTCGCTTCCTGCCTGCCATCTTTCGAGCCTTGCTCCTGAATAGATCCCATGATTTCTCAGATGGATCTCCTTGCTTGATTGTCGACGATCAAGATACCACAGTCTCAGCAGACTCCGAGCGTCATAAATACGAATTTTCTCTCGCGGAGCGGTGAGATAGCTCATATAAACTCTGGCGTGGCGACACTGGGCAGTCTCGGAACCGCTTTATCTTTGCAGACGACGGTGGAGCACGCCTGGACCAAATCGTCCGGTGGTAAAACGGAGTTGAAACGACCATTGAGCTGCTTGATATGGTTCTTGCAGGTGGCGTACTTGTGGTACGCAACGGACCGTGAACGGCCTGTCGGAAACAATCAAGGCTACCACTTACGAGGAGATACGAGGCAGGAACTAGCAGGGTCTTGGTATTGGGGGGGAGTCTGCGCAGTTCTGGTTCCAAGACAGTCCGCGTAGAAGCAAGGATGGGTTCAAGTTTGTTCTCTGAATGCGCCAGTTGGTGGGGAACGACGGGACCACCATATGAAATTCTGCGAAAGCCAGGGAGCAGATCTGCACTCGCAAGGCTGCATCAAGTGTACTGTGGCGTCGCATAAGAACCACCATTCTGTTTCGTACCTGTGTTTGTGGGAAATCAGTGGGTCTCATTCTGGTCCGGCCATGCTCGAGGCCATGCATAAAAGACTACTGTTCACCCAATGCGGTCTAGTGAATTACAGTGGCAAACCTGATGAATGCGAAAAGACGCTGGCCACCTGATTAGTCCAGTACTGGGTAGCTTGACAGCGGTAGGAGCAGATCAGGGAGCGGCTCCGACTGACCCTGGACTGTCACAAGGCTCCGCGAGGCTGATGAAACAATGTGATGGGATTGGTGGAATTGAGCTTACCCCACTTATAGTCCTTGATTGGTCAACTCTGTATACTATTATGCATGGCCTCGTATCAGGACGCCACTAGAGTCGAGCTACAAATCGCGCCAGCACCGATTCGGATACCCATCCTACCCCACGAGCACAGTCTGCGCATGCCTGCTTTCCCAGTTTCGAGGTCGGGCCACTTGAGGTTAGCTGAAACACTTCCCCGGACGAGGCGAGGAGGTGGTGGAGCCATGGTTCGTGGCGGGAGTGGTTGCAATAAGATTTCAGACCGTTACTGGGTACGAGTACTGGGTAGACTGCGCGGCCGCGGATGATCATCCGCCCCGTCGCCGGATGGGGACCAACGAGGCAGCTTCAGGCAAGCCACTCTTGACCGCTCCGAAATCTTCTAGCTAACCCAGTACTGTGGCCCAGTAACCCAGTACATGTCTCCATATCAATTTTCACGTGCTGAATTACTGCCGTGGTCTTCTTACTCATGGACGCTTCTTGGGACGAACGTGTTGTCTGGGTTAGTCTCGAGGTTCGGCTGAGATGCACTGAGCAAAGCACGGCAAAAGCCTCACGGAGCCCATAATCAAGCGACACGAAAAAGTGCCCCTGAATGTGCTTTGCACCGTTCTCCATGATCCAAAGACGGACTTCTCTCGCTTCCAGAGGAAGAAGGGCCAAGAAAGCCCCTTGATGCACAAGTCATAGGGTTACATATCCCGGCGCCAGACACTAGTCATGGGCAAGAGTGAAGGTGGATCTTTCCAACGGTCGCTTACCAGAATCCCTCAAGTCGGCTTGACCATCTCCCGGCCAGACACCAGCCATGAGCAAGAGTGAAGGTGGATCTTTCCAACGGTCGCTTACCAGAAAACCTCAAATCACATTTCGGCTGGTCACGAGTAGATCAGCGCATCGACTTCCTAACAATTCTATTAGCGTGTATGCAATGCAGATCATACAGCTACTGTAGGTACTGGGTACGCAACAAGACGCCAGTGATACGAGCGCCGACATGGTCCTGGTTCTCGAAACACGATCCATCTCACGAGAACCGTCCAAGAGGAACCTTGGTCACCAAGCCTTGGGGGTCGCTCAACGCCCTTCCTCACGTTTGTTGCTGCCAATTCTTGGGTTGAGGCTGAATCAAGCGCTTTGCTCGAAATGTACAACGTTAACAGAGCATACTTATGGTTTGACAGCTTCGGTCTTGACAAGTTGATCGGCTTGGGCTTCGGCCCCTGCATTTCATTAACAACAGGTTCCTCGACCTAGGAACACCCTGTAAGCGTTGCGGAGCCCAACTTGTAGGGTCTGTACCCAGTATCCCTGGGGTCAAAGCACCGGGGGATACAGCGGATATTGCATCCACCTTTGGGACCATGAGACCCGAAACGGTCTTGGATCCCAAAAGAGAATAGGAAAGTTCTAGGTATCTCTTCTGGTATATTGCCGGTTTGTACCATCGATGGAACATATAAGAAATGCGAACACCTCTGCACGCATCCCGTCGAATCCAAGTTTGGTTCATTCCCATTTTCTCGATTTCCGATTCACTTTCCCGGGCGGCAACCCTCTGTTATACTGTACCATTTATTTTTCTCTTGGTTGTGTGTTGAAGCGCACAGAATATGTCCAACAGCGGAGTGTTTGGACCCACCCCTCCCGGTGTCGACCTGTCCGAGACGCACAATGCAGCCGTGGTCGAAGCAGTCGTCAGTTTGATGGTGATTGGCACCGTTGCCGTGGTTTTGCGCTTTGTGAGCCAGTTCCTGCGCGATGGTAGAAAGTTTTTGTCATGGGATGACTACTTGATCATCCCGGCACTGGTACGTGGCGATGAGAGATCCCTTTTTTGAGAAAACCCCCCATGTCTAATTCATCAATCAGGTGTTGGCCCATGGCACAGCAATCTGCTCGTTGGTCAGTAAGTGTCTCTCGAAGTCCTCCGGCACGATCTTCTCCGAAATTGACGAATCCCCCAGGTCTCCCATATGGAGGAGGAAAACACCTCTGGGTCTTGTCAGCACAGGACTTTACGACGATTTGGCAGGTATGTTGAGCCCACAGCCGTCGGGAGACATCTGTTGACCCCCTTCCCCCCCGAACAGATTCTTTTCGCATACGTGATGATCTACGCAGGCGCTGTCAGCTTCACCAAGGCATCCATTGTCATGTTCTACTGGCGTCTTTTCCACCAGAAGTGGACAACCTACGTCTGTCTCTTTCTGGTGTGGAGCTACTTCGTGGTCATTATCGTCACGATCAATACCGGCTGCCAGCCGTTGGAGTACTTTTGGGTGAGTACCTGCTATATGTTCCCCCGGATCCCTAGTATCTACCGCTGACCTTCGGAAAACTAGACTCAGTACACGACCCCTGGGGCAGAGGGTCATTGCATCAATGTGTCGTTGTTCTTCTTCGCAAACGGCATCTGGGCCATGCTTGTCGATGTCTGCATCTTGATCACTCCCATCCGACCCAGTGAGTGTGCCGACCCGCTCGCTGTCGCTTAACGCATGCTGAAAATGTCCGCAGTCTACAAATTGCACATGTCGAGAAACATGAAGATCATGATCGCCGGAGTCCTCGGACTCGGTGCCTTGTAAGCTCATGCGACCACGATCGAGGCCAATTCCCATCTGACGCAGAGACAGTGTTTGCATTGCGTCTATCGTACGGATAATCACCATCCACCATCTGATCAACAGTGGCGACCTGACCTGGGCCATGTCGAGCGTCTTCATCTGGTCCTGCTGCGAGCCGTTCATTGGCATTGTATGCGCTTGCATTCCCTGCTACGCGCCCCTCTTCCGGCGGATTTGGAAACAAGCTCACACTTCATCACGATCAAAGGGTACCTCGGCCGTCTCGGGTGGGAAAGTGTCAGGCCAGGATAGCAAGGCGAGCCAGAATGCGTCCAAAGGTCAACGATCCTGGAATCGTATTCAAAGTGACGACGAAGTCCAACTTACAAACTTTGCTGATGGGCCAGGGAGCATGCGAACCAAGGGCAGCGATGAAGCATCTGGATTGAAAGACATGCACGTCAAGACTTGGGAAGCCCATGCCGTCTGATAACCTTCAAGCAAGTGATATTATTCCCCTGTTGGACACATGGTGCTCTAGAAAACATCTGGTTTTTCAGCTCGAAGATACAGGGGATAACCTCGGGGGTCGTACGTCGACCTCCGGCAGTTTGCATGCATATGGACGGCACTGGATCCCAACATGTTGTTTCCAACCAAGATATGCGGAAGTCCGGGAGCTATTCATCGCGGACAGAGCTATGACAGCGTATTTTGGCAAACGCTTGCCTTCAAACGCAACAGAATGTCGACACGTTCCTCTTCCGATGCAACGAATCATTTCATCTGGACAGCGACCCGGGTAATCGTGGGAACACAACCCTCCGTAACAGGATTTTCCCATCAATCGTTGGCCGAAGTTATTGTTATGGGCTATCCTTTGATCAGGAGTGAGAAGTGCTTGGCGGCGGATGGATGGCAGTGGCTGCTCCCCCGTAAGGCCATGATGAGTGAAGATCCGATTTTCGCAGAACTGTAGACTGGTCGTTCTTGCAGAAGGCTGCATGAGTAGGCCGGGAGAGCGCAGAGGCGAGGCAATTGGTGTTGGCTACCTCGTCGAGCCCACTTTTCTTCCATGTTCTTGCCCAACTGCATTTGGTATGACTCTCTGCGATCAGCGGCACCAGTTGAGGGTCGCACTTGTGCATTTCTTCCCCCAGCCGGCATTGTTGGCGGGGAGAAGGGGACTTTAGCTTTGACGTCGTCTGGAAGAGGAAAGAAGGGTGCTGGCTGCGAGAAGATGTCTTCGATTTCTCCGGTGGTGATACCGTGGTCAATGATGCTGAAGAAGCCGATATTACCTGCAGTGGGAGCTGGCTCAGGGGTGATCTTGTCGGTGTGGGTTTCATAGTCGGCCGGGGGTATGGTGGGGTGGGGCGATCAATATGTCTGGTCTGCTCTGGAGCCATCGCGGCACTCCTTTTCGGTTCGGAAGGACTCAGCTGTATCAATAGAATAGGCGTAGAGAACTGTAGAATAGCCTACTGTGCGTCTGTTGTTGCAGGACCAGAATAGAGATAGACGCACGTTGATGAAGTTCTTCAAGGGGTTTGGATGAGGAGGACCCTTTGCTTTTATGTTTCCTCAACCAACACGAAGCGAAGAAGGTCGGTAGGACACCTCAGCTTCGGAATGCCTTGGCCACTAATAGCGGTCATCAACGTACAGCCCGACAAGGGCTGTCCACCGCTGCCACGCTCTTATCCCCAAATCCGGCACCGTCGATCGTCGTACATTGGTGATGGGATCGGTCCAGCCAGCCTTTCACACAGCCTTGCGCCTCTGTCTCTCTCCGCTCAGAGCGCTTCTTGTATGTCGAAATTCAGGAGATCCTCGAAGAGGAAGTTGTTGCTGATACCGGTATGAGGAGGGAAGAGTTGCTCGAACGTCTCGTATCCTAGGTCCGAAATGGGGATAGGATCTTGTGATCCAGGCGTTCTCGATCTCGAATCGGTCGGTTCGTAAAGCTCCAGAGAGGGCTCGACGCCTCTGTTAGCGGTCCGTAGGGAATGCGTGAAAGAGTCATTTCCGACGAAGTTTTCGACAAACTTGGGGACGTTGAATTTCTGCCGCTTGGGTTGACTCCGATCTCCGCTCATACTGTCATGCGTGCGCTTCCGATAGTTCTCCAGCGTCTGATCGGCTGTCAAGCGAGCCTGCTCCGCGAGCAGAGAAGAAAGCAGTCGGATGCCACGCATTGCAATCATGCTGTTCTCAAACTTGCCCAGCAAGACGATGGTGTTTTCGACCAGCTTTCGGTGTTCTTCAAATTCTGGCTCGTTCGGCTTTCGGTGAAAAATGTCCAAGGCGAGGGTTATTCCTGCCGCGACCATGAAAGCCTGGTCGATCCACAACATCGGCCCTTCCTCATCGTACGCCTGCCTGGCCTCCTTCAAGATCGTCTTTGCGGCAGCCATGCACGTCCGCCTAGTGAAATCGAACGTATGTTCTGTGAAACTCCTTCCCAGAAATGCCCTGTGTATCATGATGATCTTGTGCGCAAAGCAGATAGTCAAGCTTCGTCTGGCCCACGGCACCCAGGCAGGCCATTCCGGTTGGATCGCTTCCCTGACGTCGAAGAACCGTGGGAGTCCTTCCGTGGCAAGGGAGCGCATCTGTGCATCGTAGTCCAGCACCTGCTCATATTTTGTGTATAGGGTATTTGAGGAGATGATTGCATCGTGCATCTGAGGCATCAGGCCGGCAATGTGACACAGGAACGTCGGGAAGCTCGTCATGCTTGGGACATCTTCCGGTAAAAGTTCCATCGTGTCATCATCGCAATGGATGGGTTTGAGTGTGGTGAAATGAAGCTTCTGGATGGAGTACATCTCGGAGAAGGGGATTGAGAACCAGTCTTGGATGCACAGTTGCTGCCAGATCCTCCTACCCGTTTCTCGCCTGATAACCCTGTCCCGCTGAGCTGGTGCGGACGGAGTCAATGTACCGCTGGCAGTGTTTGTGTCGTCTTCGGGCCCGAGCCGTTGCAAACCAAGGCCCTGAGCAATCTTGACAGCCGCGCCCAATAAGGTACTTTGCGTGTTGCTGAATCCGAGGATATGAGCCGACATGGTCAAGGTTGTGATGGCTTGGACAGAGTAAACATGATGCCGCCACATATAGTCTGCGAGGTTAAGGCACGTTACCGTAGCCTTGTACCACTGCCGCGTGAGTTTTGCTCTTTCATTCTTCTTAAAGCCCCAAGACTGAGCCATTTGCTCGCTCGCACAAGTCATGCTTGCAGCCATCACAGCGAAGAGCAAGCCAGTCCAGCGAAGGTCCATATTTCTGACTTGCATTCCGCTGGGGCCCTTGTATACTTCTTTCAGCTCGTCATAGAAAGTCGGGCCATAGAAGCACCCATGGTACCACAAGACCGAGCTGACATGGTATTCGACCAGCTGAAAGACCTGCTTGCGATTAGGAAGCAATAATTGCAGAAAGGAAACCTGAGCGGCACCAGTGCCACCGAAGCCGTTTGATATATCCCAGTCGGATCCAGTGTCCTTGGGCAGCGCAGCGTTGCCCGTCTGGTGAGGCTCCTTGAGAAGCTCCAGCGCCTTTAGATCATAGTCGGACAATTTGTTCCGACCCCAGGTAAGAAACTCTAGCACAGGGGCAGTATTATCGGCAACCTGTTCCGGACCATTAGTCGGCTGCGGGTTGAACACGATTGGATGAGCTGGTGGCAGTTCACGAGGACTGGGTCCAGAGTTTACCGACTTGGGCGTCCTCAGAGACGGATGTACAGCGGATTCTGGGATATTAATCTGCGTAGTTCTCGGCGATGCTGTGGTGGAGGCAGGACTGGCCTGTGCTGCTGTGGATGATCGAGGGTAGATTCGATGTTTCCTGGGATCATAGCCACCTTCTGGCCATTCCCGGGTGCACTTATCGGCATCGCCCCGCTTGACGCAGCGACCGCAGGGTAAGTTTCGATCACATTTCTGCCGGCGCATAGAGCACTCGGTGCATGTTTGACGTTCTTTGGGCATGGCTATTGCCGAGCAACCAACACATAATCTTTCGTACTATCTTCGGGTGATCCACGATCGATCGAAGTTGTACGCAAAAGGAGGGATAGGATGTCCACAGCTCGTACGGAAGTACGAAGGTGGAGGCGGCAAAATGAAGCTGAAGTGGAAAGAAAAGCTCGAGCCCGGCGAATCCGGCAGATGCGGCCGAGGCGGCTTGGCAAAAGCCGGGTCACGTGATACACGTTGCACAACGATCACCGGTACGAGGTACAAGTGAAGAAAGAATAAGGGAGCTGTGAGACTACAGGGATGTGGGAGATTTGGTATATGCTCTCGAGTGCGTTGCTCAAGTGCCTCCGCCATCGCTGGCGACCATAACATCATGCTTATTTCTTCCAGCACCCTCATCCGTGCGACAAAAATAACATCCTCCATCAACGTGTTTCTGGCGAACATCTCAGTGCCAACATGAAGTGGCCGTCACCGTCGCCAACTTGTCTCGAGCAACCTCGTATTTGTGATGGCCTCAAGACCAATGTGCCCTACGACTGAGGAGCCCGCTGTACTCAATACCAATATTCCACCATAATACCTCGGACATTGCCACCTTGCCTTCACCACGATCGAATAGGTGAAAATGAACGATATCTTAGGGTAGATCTCTTTCATCGGCTCGTTGATTACTGTAGATGAGCTCGGCTATGCCCCTCAAGGCTCTGACAACCGGAAAATAAGGTGTTGACGTCTAACCTTCGCGATTGAATTCATTGCGTTTAGCTAGCGTTCCCGTTGGGTCGCAGTGTCGCATATCTTTCACCAGTTTAAGCTCCGGACGATGTAGCACCGCTACAGTTGCAGGGAGGAGTCGAGGTCGTTGGGAGCGCAGAGAAAGTCGCACCTAATTGCGATTATTAGGTAGTCTTCGTCGACAAAGTCAACCCGATCGCTTTTCGCAAGAGTTGTTCGAATAATCAGCTTGGTGTTCTCCGCCGTGCTGCACTGCCTAATCCTTAACAGAGTTGGATCGATATACCTTCGTGGCGTGATGATCTCGAAAGACCAGCGATATGGCTGCGTACCATAAATGATCTGTCCCGAGAGCTTGACTCGAGATAAGTCGGACTTGTCGAACTGGGGCGAACCGCCGAGCCACCCAAAGAGCTCATCCTTCGACCCCAGTCTTCTTGCTGAACGCATCTCTCGCCATCATGGTGTTCAGCACCGCACAGTTGAACGCTGCTTCTCCCGGAGGAACCACCACAAAGATGTACGTATTTTCTGTGAATCTGGCTAGGAAGCAATTGAAACGTGGCGTCTGGACCTTGTACAAGAGGAAACCCGCACTTGCCGCCGTGGTCCTGGTATTTCTCGCCGCTGTATGCTTGTAGCTCTTCATGATATTTGATATGCGCTCGTGTCGGTCGACGTTGTCATTGTCCTGGCCGAATTGTGTGACCACATTCGTGACAGTGAGGAAAGTTGACCTCTCGAACAAGACAATCTCTTCGGCCTT